TGCTATTGATTTCAGTGGGATTTACTTCCACATGACTGTGCTTGAAGTCTAAGAAATTTATTAGACTACAATCTTTTGCCAACTACAGTCCACTTCATCAGGTGAATGAAGCCTTATTCTCTTGCAATTTCCAGTTCACTAAGAAGAGGGATTTATTGTTAAACCATTCTGGAAATTGCAGTTCTGTGAGAGGAATAGGGGTCTCCTAACTATGCTAAGCACCCTTAACAAACTATAGTTCCCAGGATTCTTTGGGGGGGAATGTTGACTGTTTTAAGTGGTATGATACTGCTTTTAATGTATAGTGCAGATGGGGCCTCATTAACAATGTGTGTGTATAAACACAGGGTAACACTTTCTTTATCTCAAGTAGTGAGCTGTGATGCACACACATTTATGGCACAATAATGTGCTAGTTTTTAAATGCCACAAGGCTTTTTAGTTGCTTATGCTGCAGGAGACTAACATGGCCACTCCTTTAGAAATTATAATTATGCTGAAGTCTTACAGTCCACGAGGGCATATTAATCCTCCCCTGCCCCCCCCCCCCAAATCTGTAAAGTAAATATGACCAAAAATAAATAGATGAACATAAAGGATCCAATACCTGATCAAAAAGTAATGAACGGTAATTATGCTTGGTAAACAGTAGTTCTGATATTGGGATTCACTGTGGGGAAAAATATGAATAATACATGAGAGCTGTAGTCCCAAACACACTCACTAGGGACTATGTTCTGTTGAACTCAATAAATCTGTTTATGATCACGTTGCAAGAGCTTCCAAACAGTGTGCAGTGTTTTAAGAGCTACAGGAAACAATACAAGTTTTTTTAACTAACTTCATAATTGCAAAAACACAAGACATTGCAAAACTGGCACAGTGTTTCAGAAACAATTAGGTACATCAATAGTTTGGAAGATCTGGTCCATTGTAATTTCACAGCTTTTTCTAATTACTATTTTCCCATTTCTGACTTGACTGAATGTATTTCTCTTTAATTCAGCATAAACAAGCCGTTATGAATTCCAGACATTAGTATACTGAGATAGTGGTCCTCTGCCATTGTCCTTTTAGTTAACATACACAAGAACATTAAATGCTTCTTGTGGGGAAAACAGTCCATCTTTATCATGGGTGTAATTTGGAAAAATGGGTGAAAATGCACTAGTCTATGTCTTGAGCTGCTCATTCTCCATGTCTGGATTGTTTAGAGTTAGCACGCCAGTTGCACTGGGTGGCTTAGAAACAGTTCAAGGCTAAATGCCTGGAACACAATTAATTTACCCTCACCTTCTCCAAGGAATGTGTGTATGTACATGGGGTTTTTGCTCAGTGCAAGGTAGCAGCAAAGAAGCTAAAGGTTACATACTGTATGGTTCAATATAGTACAGTGGTGCCTCGCAAGACGAAAAGAATCCGTTCTGGGAGTCTCTTCGTCTAGCGGTTTTTTCGTCTTGCGAAGCAAGCCCATTGATGGGATTAGCGGATTAGCGCTATTAGCGGCTTTTAGCGGCTTTTAGCGGCTTTTAGCAGCTTATCAGCTTATCAGATAAGCAGATAAGCGGCTTAGCGACTTAGAAAAAGAGGGGGGAAAGGAAAAAAAAAACCCAGGAACTCGCAAGACAGTGTCGTCTTGCGAAGCAAGCCCATAGCAGATTCGTTTTGCGAGGCACCTCCAAAACGGAAAACTCTTTCGTCTAGCGAGTTTTCCGTCTTGCGAGGCATTCGTCTTGCGGGGCACCACTGTATGGTGAGCCAGCATGGTAAAGTGCTAGTGGATTTCTCTGTATACTTGTATCTTTACAAGGTTTACTTTTAAGACCAGAAGAACTGTATTATAGTACTGTAGATTAGTTCATGATGTGTCAGCATCTCCTAAAGTTTATGTAGCTAGCGTGTTTATGTTTGTGCCACGAGACTTTATATTCTAAACTGAACTGATTGAGATAGGAGTTTTCTTAACTGGGAACTCTGGAAAAGGCTGACTATTAGAGAGCAGGAAAACTCTGATGTTCTGCTGGAACACTCTGCTCAGAGATGGATTTAGGGGAACACAACCAGTTCTCCCACACCGGACACCAAGCTGAGAGGGTGCCACAGTAGACATTGCAACAATGGGAGGCAAGAGACGGGGTGGTGTAATATCAACAACAGATGGTGGGCCCAAGTCTCTAACACAGGCTTCCTCAACCTCGGCCCTCCAGATGTTTTGAGACTACAATTCCCATCATCCCTGACCACTGGTCCTGCTAGCTAGGGATCATAGTAGGCCAAAAACGAGGGGCCACTAGGGGCGCATCGGAAGATGGCTGACAATAACATCTCTCCGACCCACAGGAGGTAATTAGGAGGCTGTGATGGGAGTAAATAGCCTCCCTACCCCCCAAGGTTATGGGGGGGGCTGCCCTTGCCTGCTGTGCCCTATACCACCCCCGAATTTGTGGGGATGGGGGCACTAGGCAGAATGCCGTCCTGTGGATCTCGGTGCTCCTGGACGCTGTCTCTGATCCGCGCCGCTAGCTGCAAGAACTTCAAAAGGAACAATTAGGAAGAAGCAAATGCACATATTTCAAGGAAGGAGGGGGAGTAAAGACTGCTAACTGAAGAGTTCTCTGATAAACAAGACGAGTCGGAGGAACAAGAATCAATCATGAGAAGATATGCCAAGACTCGGTATGGCAAAGGGACTGGATGGAGGAGGGGGAAAAAAACTTTCCTTTCTTTCCTCTATGTGATTAAACAAGAATCCCCCCCCAAGTCAGAAATGCCGTTTTAATGACTTAAGCTGTGGATTTACGACTGTGTGGAGATGAATTTTCTAACCAAAGCATGTTTTAAGAAGAGCGTGGAAAGTTTAAGAGTTTTGGAATGACGCAGTTAAAAATACCGTCGCCATGTTGGCAAGCTCTGTCAGAGGACTTGAGTCTGGGAGAAAGAAAAGAGCTGTTTTTATATTGTGGGTGAGACTCCTCAGTGGGACTTAAGAACGACAGATCCTGAGATTAATGATGGAAAGAGCGATGTTATTTATGAAAGTGATGATATATGGAAACCATCTCGATATGAGGATTGGACGAACGGAAAAATCCACACAGGATATAATTAGTGTTTATCTGCTTAAGGAGATTATCAGAAGAGATCATAAAGAAAAAAAGAAAAAATATACGAACAAGATGAGATGTGGAAACAGCAAGATAACACTGGATAGAATTACGAACTTTATTTGGACTGATTTGGACATTAACGCAGTAGCAAGAAGATGATCAGAATCCCCCTTCGGAACTTGAAATATGGGTCCCCTCAACAAAAATTTAAAATTTGGCTTTGTAATTCGGAATTTATGTGATGTGATTTGATTTGATTTGATTGGTCGGTTAATAAAAATTATTTTTTTTTAAAAAAGGAGTTGTAGGCCAAAAACATCTGGAAGGCCAAGGTTGAGGAAGCCTGCTCTAACAGGTTCATGGGCCAACTGACTTCTACAAATCAAAACATTTATCTTCCCCTTGGCCATTCTGTTCGTGTGTTAGTTTTCCCCACAACTGTAATACTCCCAAAAAAGTTTATGATAACAGTCCCTTGTGGCCCCTTTCATACTGTTCCAAACTGTGATCACTGAGTGGCTGATCGGGGCTTTACTTTTTTGATCTGCATTGTTTTAAGGGGGGAAAAAAAGATATTTGGAACTGTGTGTCTGGATCTATGTGTTGATTAGTTTTATTCTTTAATTCCTGGAAGAGAGAGAGATTTGTGCTTGTGGCATGTCCAACATATATAGTGGTATGTCCCTAAGCCGGCAGTTATGAGAAACCTGGTTGATTTTGGAGTTTTAGTGGGTACCACACCATCCATGTGTCACCTTTAACATAATTTATTGGGTGTGTGAGGAAACTAATTTTGGGACTGACTGATTGTGCAATTAGTTCTAGGCCATCTCCTCTATTTCTTTACCACAATCAGTTTCCCATAATTTCCTGAGACTTTCTATAGTACCCATGTCTAAATCTAACAATATTCCATCAATATTAGAGACCAAACTAGTATTACTGAATCAATATCTGTCAGCTAGGTACTCTAAGACAAGCAAAGGAGGTAGGGCTTACTTTTTCTTTTTAGCTTGTGCAAAGGATCCAGCTCAGGTTAATAATGCAGTTTTTAAACAGATTGGAATATTTAATTCTCTCTGTATTTATTTTGTGAGTATCGTACGCAATCCGGTTTAATCTGAGGTTAGAATGTTAAGTGGCATCTGATGCATTTCTTATGCAGCAGAAGCTTCCGGGAAGAGCCACAGGTCAGGGAAAGCGCTCGTGCTTTGCATTCACAAGGAGCAATACTCTGCTCTCAGAGACGCTGTCAAAAAGGGTCGTAAGAGGGGGGAACGGATGAGATGCTCATAGAGCCCGCATAACGTGGGCAGCGAGAACCAACGATTACTTGCAAGGTCGCTTCACACGTTCGTATTTAATGAGAAAAAGAGGGCAGCCTTCAAAGTGGCAAGGGCAATACTTAGCCAGATGCAACGGAAGACGGTCTCCTGCGCTTCTTCAAATTAACCTAGAACAAAATTCAGCAGGTGTGCAGCTTCTTTTACCTCTAGAGCCGTTTGTCGAATGCTTTAACCCAGCCTGCTACCTGCGCGCATGGGTATGATTTCAAAGTGCCAAGTGGAGCGAGAGAGAAGGCGAATAACATGGTCAGGAGGGAAATGCATAAGGAAGCGCGACTGCGAGAATGAAAGCAGGAAATGGGTTTAAGAAGGAATAGGTTTGCATTTCTTTGAGGAGCGGGGCTCGCGCTCCCAGCCCTTTCTTTTACTTTTCTCTTTCTCACCCCCGTCCCAATCATTTGCCGCGGGAGACGAAAACCACGGGGAGCCAGTTCCCTTGGAATCCGTGATCCCGAAGAAAGACGCTGAAAGTTTCAGAGGGAAGCCAGAGGAGGAGGAGGGCGAAAGAGACGCCGAGAGAAGTCAGCTGACCGCTTTGGCTTCACGTGACTTCCCAGTCAACATGGCTGCGCCCAGGCACAGGCCGCTTTGGTTCGCTCTCGCTTGCTGGGCTGTGTGGCTCCGCGCCGCCGTGTGCTTGGAGGGAGGCCAAGGCACCTGTGGCTGCAGCAGCGCCAACCGGGCGAGCGGCGAAGAAGCAGCCGCGAGGAAGTACTCCCTGGAGGCGAATGTCGCCCATCAGCCAAGAGGCGGGCCGGAAAGCCCGCAATCGAAAGAGGAGGGCAGGCAGGTAGGTGGGTGGGTCAAGCGAAAGCGGTCGAAGGATAGCTGTGGGAAGAAGAAAGGGGCGGTACAGATGGTGGCACCGCAGAGACCAGATTAGGAGCACGGCGAAGTTTGGTGAACATCTTCCAGTGGAGTCTACGGATGGCATTTGATCCGAACCAATGGCTTAAAGGTATAAGAAAGGAGATTACCACGGAACAACTTTGACTGTTCGGCTGTGGAACAGACTCCCACAAGAGGTGGTGGGCTTCCTTGGTTTGTTTGTTTTTTAAGCAGAGGACTGAATGGCCATCTGTCATGTATGATCTAGCTGAGATTCCTACATTGCTGGAGGTTGGGCTACATGACCCAGTCAGAGTCCTTTCCAACTCTACAATATGATCCAAAGAGGACCTCAGGCTAAGGTTACCCAGGAAGTGTTGTGTGAACAAGTGTGGCTGTGTGCTTAAGTCTAAGGCATATTATAGCCTTCCTCTGTGTGTACCCTTGAGTACCACCAGAAAAAATCAACCACTGGCCTTTCTCAGCCTGGTGTTATCCAGATAATTAGGGCTAAAATTCGCATAATCTCTTCCTGCCTGCCAGGCTGACTGAGGAGCTCTAGGGAAGTGGCTGGGCAAAGGCAAAAATCTCTCAGACCTGTGCCTAGAAAGCACGACTACTGGAAAACCTCTAGGCCCTGTGCTCTCTAGGCATGGGGCAAACAGAAATGGGGATAAGCCCATATTGTGGAGGTAGCCATAGGTTTTGCTCTTCAGCTAACATATCACATGAGAGCTGGGTTGATCAAAATACCATTTCACCAGCTACCTTTGTTTAGTTTGTTGTGAAGAGGCCACATTTTCTCATTAATAAACTTAAGTATCTTTTTCTCCTGTGACAACACCCACAACATCTTGTGGAATTTTTGTTATTTCTATCAATAATATGGCCATTCTATACCTCAGAAAGCAGAAATGGAATGATTTGTACAAGTTCTTTTTCACAGCTCATGAGGATCCTAGGAGCTTGATTGCTTCACAGATTTGATCTGGTCTGGAATTTAGATTCTCCTGTTCATTGTTGGGTATAGCCATGCCGGCCCAACTGCACTGGCTGCCAATTAGTTTCTGGGCCCAATTCAAAATGCTATTTTTGACCTATAAAGCCTTAAAGGCCCAGGACTGCAATACCTCAAGGACTGCCTCTCCCCATATGAACCGACCCAGAACGGGTGATCATCATCTGAGGCCCTTCTTTATGTGCCTCCTCCACAAGAGGTCCAGAGAGTAGAAATATAAAAATGGGCCTTTTCTTCAGTGGCTCCCCACTTGTGCAATGCTCTTCCTCAGGGAGCCTTGTCTGGCACCTTCATTACATATCTTTAGGCACTAGGTGAAAACATTTCTTTTTAATCAGCCCTTATAATACTTACAGTAATAGTAATAATGCCTAACAACTCATTGATTTGAAACAGGAGCACCATTAATGTGATGGCACTCAAAGATCTCAGGCAAATCACTTTCTCAGCCCTTACAATGGGTATTATTTATTTATTTATTTAATTAAATTTATATACACTCTTCATCACATGATCTTAGGGCGGTTCACAGAATAAAATACAAGATAAAAACACAAGTAAATAATTAAAGCAAAAACAATAAAATAATACCCCCCCTTCCCACAGACACATTTAAAAGGCTGTAAAATATTAATCAGTCCAAGGCCTGGTTGAAGAGGGACGTTTTCACCTGGCGCCTAATAATATATAATGAAGGCGCCAGGCGAACCTCCCTGGGGAGAGCATTCCACAAACGGGGAGTCATTGCAGAGAAGGCCTGTTCTTGTGTTGCCATCCTCCAGACCTCATGTGGAGGAGCAACAGGAAGAAGGGCCTCAGATGATGAATGCAGAGTCCAGGACTCTGAAACGGGGGATTGCAAATGGGATTCCTTCATTAAGGCAGAACATGCATGCAGTCCAGTGTTGGAATGCTCAGATCCTTAAATATATGTTAGCCCATACATAAGATATAAAACTGTCTTCAGATCTGCACACAGCTACCCTAGAGTTTGATGCTGTTGCATGGAAACGGAAAATATTTCAGTGCTGTCTTGACCATTGAATTCCGAACTGTCTAGTAGAGTAAAGGTCTGGTTGCATGGTTGCAAGTGCAGCTTGATAAAGAGTCTATCCCAATGAACAGATATATGATTGTGTTGTTAATTTTAATTGGATGACTGATACCTAGCAAGCATGACTGGGTGTGGGATGACCACTGTCAATGCTAAATAGAACTCATTTCTGAGAATGCTTGTACAGTTCTGCCAGTCTTTTTTGGGTTGATTGTAAGGTAATTAGAATTTCCAGCTTTCTTTTAGGATTCTGGAAGGAGCATGGCAAATCTAAGGTTATTGACATGATTGTATTTTGTGTGGATATGATTTTAAGCAAGTTTCTAGAAGACCATATGATTGCAAAAGAAGTGAAATTGAATCCCAGGACCCGTTCACACAACATTGGCAAAGAAAGAGTCCTGACATTGGTGTCTCCTCATGGTGTCTGAAACGTGGCATCTGGACAGGTGTGGTGCCCTAGCTTTTCCCAAGTCTCCATGGTTGAAGTCATTGAAGTGCTTCCTAAGACCACTAAATCAAGATAGGAAGCATGCATTTAATTCAGCGGCTGTCCTATTCTTGGGGCTTCTGGCAATTTGAAGATACCTTCTTACTTCTTACTATATTATATAATCAGTCTTCTAGCCTGCAGCTGCTTTTTTGCATATAGTAGGTGTCTTTGGGAGGGCGTGTGCCAACTGCAGTATTGGCAGTGGGTAGTTATCTAGGAGCTGGTGGGCAATTTCTGCTAGAGGCAGAATGTATTACATAGCACACATGTACAATACGTTCATAAATTGCAGGGTTCACTCTGCATCTTATTTGCAGAGCCTTCAAATACTTAAAAGGCTTCCAGGAAGAAGAGGTATAAGTGCTTGCCTTATTTCCTTACAATTGCTCATCTTTGCATTACTGAGGAGAATACAATGCGCAGCAGTTCTGAATTTACTTAAGGAAGAGCAATTCAAGTGAAGAAACTTAAGTAGGGCTTTGGAATCTATTTCCTTAAGGGGTTTCAAGAACAGTTTGGTAGTGCTTCTTGAAGATGCTCCCCATCCAAATAATTGCTAAGTCTTGGCAGTGGTTTTTCTGCCTGTTGTGGCAATTGTAATGCACTATGCGAGATGCTATATGATTTTTAATAGTATTTTCTTGCTTCTTTTATTTCTTATTGTAAAGGTATAGGACCCCTGGACAGTTAAGGCCAGTTGAATTCGACTATGGGGTGTGGTGCTCATCTCCGCTTTCAGGCTGAGGTAGCCAGTGTTTGTCTGCAGACAGCTTTTCCGGGTCATCTGGCCAGCATGACTAAACTGCTCCTGGTGCACAGAACACCGGAACACCGTGTCGAGTGCCAGAGTGCACAGAAACACTGTTTACTTTCCTGCCGCAGCAGTACCTATTAATCTACTTGCATTGGTTTGCTTTCGAATGCTAGGTCAGCAGGAGCTGGGACAAAGCAATGGGAGCCCACCCTGTCGCATGGATTCAAACTGCCCGCCTTATGATTGGCAAGCCCAAGAGGCTTGGTGGTTTAGACCACAGCACCACCCGCATCCCGGTATATTTATATACCTTTATATTTTATTGTATTACAGTTTGAATTCCATGAACATTTAATATGGTTAATGTGCCATCTCCCATCTTTAACCAGAAACCCACAGACAAGCTGTGGACCAACTGAATGAAGTTTGTGGACCATTGCTGGACCACAGCTTAGGAGCCCCTGGCAAGGGCCTTCTTCCTGCTACCTATCAGGTAATTTCCAATGTCATGCTTCTGCAAAATCAGTAGAACTACAGTGGTGCCTCGCAAGACGAAATTAATCCGTTCCGCGAGTATCTTCGTCTAGCGGTTTTTTCGTCTTGCGAAGCAACCCGATTAGCGGATTAGCGGATTAGCGCTATTAGCGGTTTAGCGGCTATTAAAGGCTTAGCGGCTTAGCGACTTAGCTGCTAAAAGGCTATTAAAGGCTTAGCGGCTTAGAAAAAAGGGGGGGGAGCGAAAAAAAATCTCAAGACTCGCAAGACATTTTCGTCTTGCGAAGCAAGCCCATAGGGAAATTCGTCTTGCGAAGTGCATTGAAAAACGGTAAACCCTTTCGTCTAGCGGGTTTTCCGTCTTACGAGGCATTCGTCTTGCGGGGCACCACTGTAATTTGAAGCAATTGCAAAGTTGCTAGCTTGAAAGACCTTATAAACCACACTGTGGTCTGGTTTTAGTGGTTTCCGAATTATCTTCAGGAAACATGGCATGGAAATGTGCAGTCAGTGTTAATTTCAGTTGTAAGCAAAATAAAACCCAGGCACTCCGTGAACCTTCTAGATTTTGTTATCTTCTGTATCCAAGATTTTAGGACAGCACATACTGTTTTGGGTGATGCGATACAGAATGTTGCGTATGCCTGCCAATGCCTTTTGCTGAATAGGAATTGGATCTGCAAAGCTACTGGTAGATGGATCTTGTGTGCTGCTGGAGTTATTAGAATCAGGGGGTTGACGCCATGCAAGAGGATGAATTGTGTAATTGGCTAGTATATTTGATGCTTTGCTCAGCTCTGCCAATTCTGTCCTGATTAATTTGAGCGGCTTTGTGGCAAGCACTTTACAAGCATGCCCCTTCATGTCATTACTTTTTGCTGAATGCCCCTGGCTGTTTCTTTTGTTGCACAGCAGCATTTTGATAAATGCTTCCCAGAACTGCCCACAACCTCTCATACTGAACTTACAGTCTCAGTTGTTGGTTGTTCCATAATTCTAAGTTAGAGCAATAAGTGCTAGTGGTCCAGGACTGCAGGAGCAGCCAGTCTTTATCTCTCAACGTTTTATCATTCATTGTCTGGAAATGACTAGAGCAGAACTGATGGCCGGGAATCTCTCTCTGGTCTTCCTTTTCCCAATAGAGTATGGTGAGTACAGCTATCTTTGCTGCTGTTTCTGGGACCTAGAAGTTTTCATATTCTGAGTAGGTGACGCCAGAAACTTCTAAAAATGGCGAAGCTAAGGAGCTGGGGCCACCCATAACCACCCCATATAGCTGCAGCAAGTGCAGGAGGCTTTGCCACCACATATTTGCTTAGGGCAGGAATGGGGAACCTGTAGCCCTCTGGATGATGTTGGACTGCAATTCCCATGAAGCCCAGTTGACATGGCCAATAGCTAGGGATGATGGGAGTTGTAGTCCCTGGTTTAGGGAAATATGTAGCTGATTCCTTATTAAAGACAAAACAAGGTACACAAGTATACATCATAATAATACTCAAGGGTGTTTTTATGCTACATAATACTGGATAGAAACAACATTTGAAGTCAGTGTGGTGCTGTGATCAGAGTGTTTTGTTTATTCCTATACAGTGGTACCTTGGGTTAAGTACTTAATTCGTTCCGGAGGTCCGTTCTTAACCTGAAACTGTTCTTAACCTGAAGCACCACTTTAGCTAATGGGGCCTCCCGCTGCCGCCGCACCGCCAGAGCACGATTTCTGTTCTCATCCTGAAGCAAAGTTCTTAACCTGAAGCACTATTTCTGGGTTAGCGGAGCCACTCTAAGGGGCTTGAGGCAGTGTACATGGTTTTGCCCATCCTCTCCTCCTTAAGTTTTATCCTTGCAAAAAAAACCCTGTGAAGATAGTGCTTGGTCCAGGGTCACTTTGTGAGATACATTGCGTTGGCTCCCCATGTTGTGTCTTGGTTTTGGGAGACGCAGGTTCAAATCTCCTCTTGGCCTTTTACTGTGTGACTTAGACAAGTCACTGTCTATTGGATTACCCTATTTTTAAAGGAGTACACTATGAGGTGAATGGAAGTTCAACAGAACTGCAAAGCACTGTTGTGTCTTTGAGCTACCATTATTTATCTCGCTAACTTTTCCTCGTGACTTTAGAACAACTTTGACTTGAGCAAAAGCAATTTTCCATTTGCAAAGAGCTTTGCAAACTCAGCACATTCTGGCACTGTGCCAGGAGGATATTAATTAATTGGATGTCTCAACTCCTAAAACTCATTTTTACTGAGGAAAATATGATTTGTGAACATAATCCTCCCCTACTTCCCCCCCTATTTGTATATTAGATATTTGCATGTTAGCTAATACATTGAGCACAACTATTGTTTGTTTGATAGGGAAAAAAATAAAAGTCAGAGGCTATAAAATAAAAAGCGATCTTTCCCTTCATTCCAGCTCTTTCAGACATTGGCAGCAAACCTTAGAATGCCAAGGACAACCTAAAAGGAAAATAATTTCACCATTAAGAAGTTTAAAGACTCCAAGTTCTTCTGCGAAGGGCTAATATATGAAACTGCATGCTTGCATGTTTTGCTTCTGTGCTGATAACACTTCCAGTTTTTTATCCTGTGTCTTGGAATGTGTCTGAAATTTTGAACTGGAGCTTATTCTAGTAACATATCTTTGTGGTATGGTTGCTGTTCCCTCATATTTGGCTTCCATGATTGCCCTCCTCAGGCACCCTCCTCACATTTATTTATTCATTCATTCATTCATTCATTCACTCACTCACTCACAGGGCAGTTTACAGTATAAATCACATGTTAAACCAACAGTCAGTTTGGAGACAAGCGTGCAAAGCTCTGACCGCTCCACGTGTTGGAGGTTGAATTTCTGAAACGAGAAAACATCTGCACTCAAGGAACTTCCCTCAAAATTTAGAAACTTGGTCTTCCAACTTATTTATTTAATCAATTTGTATACTGCCTTCCAAGAAAGAAAGAAAAAACCATTCCCAAACTGTGCTTGCCCCAGCTGTTGTGTTTTACATGCAGGTAGAATATCTTAAGTGTGCTAATTCATTAGTAACACCTGTAGGTCTATATCATGTGTCACCCAAATTTTTGTTGATGTTTAGTTTGTGGTTTATCCTGTCAGAATGAAAGGTGGTATATAAATTCTTATGATAAATAAATAAATATTGTTGGCACTGCCCCTGCACCCGAAGCTTTTATAAAAGAAACTTCTCTTTCTGCGCCTGCTAAAAATTGGACTCTTGTATGGTTTTCCAGCCTCGGAATGATTGGTGGCTGCATTGGAAATGGCTGAATGGCATGCCAATAAATTGGCATCCTGTAGTCATTCATTCCCAAGTATCCGTCCCCTTTACATTGCTCATAAAATTCATTTATTTATAAAAAAGTATTTCTGTACCACTGTGTCATAAAAATATATCACAGCAGTTTACAACAGTATAAAACCATACGGTGAAAAACATGAAAAGTTAAAAACAAGTTAAAATGGGGAAAAAAATCAGTAAGCCATTGTGGGGGATTACTCATAATCACCTGCATAGGCCTGCTGGAATAGAAAAATTTTCAGCAGGCATTCAACAGTTGACACTTGTTGTTGTTATGACATAAGGCTGGGGAGCGGAGCGGAAGGATGAACAGTGAAATGTCCAGAATGCATTTCTAATGATTTATATATATATATATTCACATGTTAACACTAAGTCAGGGAACTATGATGATGATGATGATGATGATGATAATAATAATAATAAATTATTTATTTATACCCCGACCATCTGGCTGGGTTTCCCCAGCCACTCTGGGTGCTTCCCAACAGAATATGAATAATAATAAAGTGATAAAATGCCAAACATTAAAAATGTCCTTAAACAGGACTGCCTTCAGATGTCTTCTAAAAGTCAGATAGTTGTTTATTTCCTTGACATCTGATTTAAGGGCGTTCCACAGATGGGTGCCACTACCAAGAAGGCCCTCTGCCTGGTTCCCTGTAATCTTACTTCTCGCAGCGAGGGAACCGCCAGAAGGCTCTCTGTGCTGGACCTCAGTGTCTGGGCTGAACGATGGGGGTGGAGACGCTCCTTCAGGTATACTGGAGTCAAACAACAGTGAGACGACACATTGGCTACCCCTGCTCTGGGCCGTAAAGTGTGTTATTGCACCATGCTGTTCAGAAGCTGTGAACAGCGTTTCTGCTCTGCACGAGCAAGTAAACAAACCATAAACAGTTTATCTTAGTGTAACGTCTGAATCCAGGGCCTGTGGTCTATTCCATCCTTAACAAGCTGCGACCATGGTTTCAACAGCAAGTCATGATTTAAGGCTGCCCTGCGATCATATTTCATTGGAGCAAAACAAAACCTGGTCTGAGGTTCAGCTGTCGTACTACGCTTCATGGCTTGTTGCCCTACTCATGTGATGGGAGAAGCAAAATGGGTATGTGTGCTACACAAGCAGCTGATCTTACCTGCCCCCCTCACCTGACATCTCTATGATGCCAGATGTGTGACAGGTGGTTGAGATTTGGGGACCTGGCAAACCAAGGGGGAGAGGCCTGGTGGGCCATATCTGGCCTGCAAGCAGATCCCTCACCCCTCTATATAACATAAACAAGTTTGAATTCTGCTGGAGACGGAAAACCAACATTGATGTTAAATAGCAATACAAATTGGACTCCCTTGGGATGTTGTCGACTCGCCTTTCTTGGAGGTTTTTAAGCAGAGGTTGGATGGCCATTTGTCATAGATTCTTTAGTAGAGATTCTTGCATTGCAAGGGGTTGGACTAGGTGACTTTTGGGGTTCATTCCAGCTCTACAGTCCTGTGATTCTTTGAAATGAAGAGCATGCACCTTAGGAGCTATATTTCCTTTACAGCTAAGGCTGAAAATAATCCACACAGGTACATAATTAAAGGTAGGCTGAAATTCAGCTTCAAGGACAATATTGAGAGGCTGTTTGTTTTTGTTTTTTTAAACTGTGCATTGACGGGCGAGAATCTGCCTGCATACGTCAGTGTGGGATGATTCAGTCGCTGAAGCATAAAAGAAGGGTTTTTGTTCTTCTGCCTTTAATTTTTGAAATGCTCCTGTTCTTGTGTGTGCTCCAGAGATAACCGAGGGGTGAGCTATTAATCTGTGATTTCTGAGCCAACTTGGAACAGCTACCTTAGCAGTAGTGAGTCAGCAAGAAATGGGAAGATAGGCAGAGCTGCAGTTCATACCTTTGTCATAGTCTTGCATTTTATTTAGATCAAAAGAAACTCGCACACACAAATAATTGCGCCCCGCCAAGCAATAAACCAAGGAAGACAGAACACAGAACTCCTCAGCTGATGGGTTCTGTTGATGATGATCACAAGGCATTTAGGCAACTGCTGTGCTTGAGAGATGCAGGAGGTATTTTTAATATTAAATCCAGCCCAAGCTTAGGAAATAAACAGAATTCTGTTGAAAGCATGTGTGTCTCTTTTTCTTTAGGGAACTTCCCAGTTCTGGTTGCGCTGCTAACTTTTGTGCCCATTTTGTATTTGGCTTGATTATAAAGAAATCTAATGGAGCTAAATCTCTGTGCTGGGAAATGTTCTACCTGTTGGATTTTTGCCTGCTAGGTGGTTGTGTCCAGGCACAGGAGGGATAAAGAAAGAAATAGAAAATAAAAAGATGATCCAGTCTTAGAGCACAACAGTTTGGAGGTTTATTTGAATATAGACTGCAGTTTTTGTTCACTGACAGCCTTCTTGCTTGAGACTTACAATAAACCAAATATATTAGTGCTGTTTTGAAAGGTCCGGTCTACCATCTTGATTCAAGATGGCATCCAAATGTTATTCAGAAATAGACTTTCTGCCTCCCTGTAGTCAGGATAGTCTGTATTATTTTGTCTTCATTTGTTCTTCAAACTTCATCTCAGTCTTCTTTGAAGCACACCTTTATATATACCCCCATTGTCATTTACCTCTTTTGCATTCAGTGTCTACTGATTCCCCATCCCGCTCTGTTTTGCCTGTGTAATACAGTAGAGCTTCAGATATCCCCACTATCAACAACCTGAAGCTCCCTCAGCCCCTTTAAGTAACTTAAATCCATTGATTTCAATGGGTCTACTGTGAGAAGCACTAACATTGACGATTACCCAATATGACCTCAGTGTAAAGTTGTTGGTCAGTGGCACGCCGGCGACCATACAAGTACAGCAATTGCTTCTTTCCACATCCAGCATGGAAGGAAAGTGAGGAGCTTTGCTGATATGTACTTTCCTGGAACAGCCTTCTTCATTTTGCAGATGGCCTCTATTCCAGCCGGAGTTTTCACGATGGGAACTGATGAGCCTGCTATACAACAAGATGGAGAGTCACCCGCCAGGAGAGTCCACATTGACCATTTCTTCATGGATCGCTATGAAGTCAGCAATGCAGAATTTGAGAAGTTTGTGAATGCCACTGGCTACCTCACAGAGGTAGGGAACAGAAATGTTTGGGGGGCTTTTTCACAGCAACGTTGCAGGAAAACAGTAACTTACAAAGCGATCATATGTGATGGATTAAGATAAAATAAAATAAATAATATAATACAGGCGACTTCCCACTTAAGAGGGGGTTACGTTCCGGGCCCCTGTGCACATAAGCAAAATGTGTGGAAATGGGGAGCCTCGTCAGAGCAGGGAACTAGGGCAATTTAAGAGGCATCAGAAATAACTTTTTCTTTTATACTGTACCTTTGCCTCCCGATCACCAGAAAGGGCAGGGAACAGCCCTTCTGATCCTGCTGCAATACAGTTTCCTGCCCAACAGCTGTTGAGCAGGGTAGCGCTGCAGCAGTGAGAGGTCCCGTGCGCCATTTTGGGAGCCCATAGGTTCTTTTTAAAAAGCCTTTCAAATACTTATTTCTGGACTTTTGGCTCAATGATGTTCTTTTCAGGCTCTGAGGAGAGACTCCTCATGAGCCTTGAGGACTTTCCAGCTCTTTCTCGCCATTTCCAGAATTGCTTGCTTGACTGATTTTCTGGCGCCACAAGTATACGTGATAGCCGCTGACTTCTGGTCCTGCCCTGAGAAGATTCACCCTACTTAATAATAATATAAAATGTTTTTGCATAGTGAACCATTTTCCATGGATTTGCTGGTCTTCAAATCCCACCTTAATGACAAGTTCATTAGATGCTTCTGATCAGGCTGCTTTCTTTCAGCTTCTCCCTTACTTAATAATATCTCTGATATGAGCATGATTGTATCCCTCAAGTTTCATTTCAGCTTTTAAAAATAAACTTCTAAATAATAATAATAATTGAATCTGAAATATTATAAAATAGTATTCCCAATCAATGGAAGTAGAAATGTTTGCTGCAGCTGCCATCTGCTCTTCTAATCAGAACCAACAGTTGTTGTTTTTTATTATTATTATTTATTATTACTATTATTTCCTGTTATTTCTATACTGACCTTCATTTAAGGATCGCAGGGTAGTTTACAACAGAAAAACACAAAAATGCATACCATAGTAATAAATAAAAACAATACCCTCCCTCCACACAGTTTAAAAGGCCATAGATTGTTTAATTAGCCAAAAGCCTAAGAGAAGAGGAATGTTTTTGCCTGGTACAAAAGTGCCAGGGCCAAGCCTCCCTGGGGAGAGTGTTCGAGGAGCAGGAAGCCACCGCAGAAAAGGCCTGTTCTCATGTTGCCAGCCTTCAGACCTCTTGCGGAGGAGACATACAAAGAAGGGCCTCAGAAGATGATCTCGGGGTCCGAGTCACTTTATATCTTAACAATGGCTTTAGGAAGTTCCTGGGTGTATCAGTGCCAACTTCTGTGGTGTTAAGCTCCCTTCTTTTGGCTGAGATGGATTTAAAGGGAGGTTTAGACCACAGTTAAGTTCACTGGGTAGGGTTTATTTCGTAGTCTGTGAGGGAGAAAAATAGCTTTAGGAACGATCATGACCTTGAGCAGAGCGATCTTGTCATCTCCCTGTGAGTCTGCCACATGGCGTATTACTTCCTTTAACAACAAACTCTGAATTGCTGTTAGGGAGGATTAAGTAAAGGCCATTGTGCGCTTAATTGTCTGATTTGATGCTTTCTTCTTTTGGCATTTTGGAAATGAAAACACTGGTGCTGCAAGCATGCAAATCCAATTGACTTAGAGTTGTCTCTTCTTCTCTCTCTCTCCCCCCCCCCCTTTCTTCTTCTCAGGCAGAAAGATTTGGAGATTCCTTTGTATTTGAAGGTGTGTTGAGTGAACAAGTGAAGACTGGAATTCATCAAGCTGTGAGTCACATACCTTCCTAGCTATTGTGTTCTGGCCTGATAATTCAAGGCTGTGAACATTTTATAGTAATAATACTAATAAGTCCGTTGTAATCAAAGTATGCGGAGACCTGCAAAGATGTGTTAGATTTCAGTACAGGAAACATTATCATAATTATTTTCAAGGATTATTAGTTCACGTTAATTTTGTCCGTTGTATTCCTCAAACACCTTGGGAGAAGAGCAAATACAAGTACAAAGGAAAAAGTATAAGAAATAAATGAGGAGGTGGTGGCTGGATTTTCTCTCCTTTCTAGCTCAGCCTACACTCGAGTAGGACCCTGGCAGAGCTATATGCCTGACTGGCATGTTCTCTTTTTTTTTAATATATGATTGTCAGGGAACTGACATCAGAGCGAGAGGCGAAGGGGAGGCTCCTGGATGATGCTGGAGAAGGACCCAGCAGCAGGGGGAGAGGCGACTCAGTGGAGGGGGAAGCATTTAAGCGCAACACCAGGAACAAAAGTGAGCAGATGGGAAAATCGGAGAGAGGGCTCACGGACTCTTCACTGGAACTCAGTGAGGAGGGGACAGGTCCCCGCTACCCACGCCCACCCTGCGCAGAAGGCTCCCGCGCAGTGAGAGGCGGAGGCGATTGGGTGTCAAACAGCTCTTATGTTGGAAGAGATTCAAGAAACGCCCACTGACGGATTCTGCTAGTGACTGAGACAGTCCTGATCAGAAGGGGCTGTGCAGTCAGAAAGGTTTAACAAGGCAAATCAGCCTAGAGAGGCACCAGTTTACGCACGAGTAACTCATACTCATTATAGCAATCCGTCAGTCCCTGAAAGTTGCTCGTGCGCAGCAGCAGGCAGGCAGCATCATGAGCAAGCCCGGAGAAGCAGGCGCCCAAGGGGAGCAGCTGGAGGGCAAACGCTGGAGGAGAGGAACCGAGATTTGGAGCAGCATGTGGCCATTCTGACGGCACGGCTGGACGAAAGGCGGTCTCAAGATGCACAGGTCAGACCCACCCCCATAGCAAGGAAGGTACCGGGACTGGTGCACAAGTTTGGGGGGAAGCCGCAAGAATACAGTGCGTTTAGAACGGAAATAGAGTACGCATTGGACTTGCAGCATAACGATTTTGAAGACGACGCGGCGCGGGTGGCATATGTTGTGGGTCACCTGCAGGACGGGGCCAGAGAATGGGTCAGACCCCTTATGGCGACGCAGAATTCCGCCATGCAGGACCGGAGGAAATTCTTCCAAGCGATGGACGCGATGTTTTCCACTGATGTTCAAAAAAGTGTGACTAAGCGGGAATTGATGAACTGTAAACAGGGGAGCCAGTCAGTCAGGGACTACTGGTCGCGCTTTGCCATGATAGTTCATCGCCTCGGGTGGGAACTGGGCTCCGAACCCATACAGATGTTATTCGAGGAGGGGTTGTCCCCAACGGTTAAGGATGAACTTTCCCGCGCACCCCGCCCACAGGGGATGGATCAGCTGACCAAGGCTGTGCTTGCGATTGGCGCGCGCCAGGAAGCGCGGGCCCAGGAGAGGCGGGAAGGGAGAGAGCAACGTTGCCATGACTACCGCATTCCTGAAATACCAAGGCAGCCCTCCCCGCCAGCAGAGCCAATGGAAATAGATGGGCGCGCGCGCTGGAAGTTTCAAGCACCAGCGAAGGGCGCAAGAAGGAGGGAAAGGATTGGAAAACCTCCAAAAGGTGTTACCTTTGCCAGCGGCCAGGGCATTTTGCCAGAGCCTGCCCTCAAAGAAAGGCTTGGCAAGGAATGGTGGGAGCCGCAGGGGTGAGGAGGAGGTGGTAAAGGAACAGGAACAGGGAAACGAGAACGCTTGGCTGCCAATCAAGGGGCACAACAGCCAAGCCAGCCACCAGTAAAAGTGCCCCAACCAGACCCCCCCAAGGCGGCAATAGCCATCGAAGTGGTGCTAGAACTCCCAAACGGGCACCCAGTCAAGGTGAAAGGCATGCTGGATTCAGGCAGCTCATGTAATTTCTTCAGCAAGGACTTTGCATTAGAGCACCAGCTCCACTTACTGCCTTTGGATTTTCCCTTGCAAGTGACCACCATTGATGGCAGGGAGCTTCTAGGAGGGGAAGTGACACACCAAACCCCGCCAATGAGAATGAGGGTGTCCAGGCACTCGGAAACCATCGCCTTCACGTCGCCTCGCTAGCAGGACCCCAACAATATTAGGGATGAGCTGGCTAGCACAACATGATCCAGTGGTGGCGTGGCATCAGAGGACAGTCACCTTTGGATCAGCTTACTGCCTGGAACACTGTCTAGGGGGGGAAGCCCCAAGAATGACCGTGGCCAGGGTGGCTGGGATGGCGGTGGAGCGGAAAGGGGAGGTGCCGCCACAATACGCAGATCTGCGGGAGGTCTTCAGCGAAAAGGAGGCAGATAGACTGCCACCCCATAGGCCCTTTGACTGCCAGATCAACTTGCTTCCGGGGCTCAGCTGCCAGTGGGTAAGCTGTACGCCATGTCAGACAGGGAGATGAAGGAGTTGCGAGAATTTATCGACAAGAACCTGAAAAGAGGCTTCATAAGAGAATCAAAGGCAGTAGGGGCAGTCCGGTGTTCTTTGTGGACAAAAGGACACAAATAAACCCAGGCTCGTAGTGGACTATAGAGCTGTCAATTTGGTGTCAGAACCCGTGACCTTCCCAATGCCCAGGATTGACGACATTTTAACGCGAGTGAGGAAAGGCAAAATTTTTACCAAGCTGGACCTCAGGGGCGCATACAATTTGATCAGGATGAGGGAGGGGGACGAATGGAAGACCACAATGTTCACACCCCTAGGTGCCTTTGAGTACTTAGTTATGCCTTTTGGATTACAGTCAGGCTCCGCCTGCTTTCAAGCTTTCATGCACCACGTGTTGGGGTCTCTGCTGTACAAGAACTGCGTAGCCTTCTTGGACGACGTCTTAATTTATTCGGACAATGAGGAACAACATGTTAGAGACGTCAGGGAAGTGTTACAACGACTGCAGAAGCACCAGTTGTGGGTCAAGCTGGAAAAATGTCAGTTTCACGCCAGAGAAGTCGAGTTTCTGGGGTACAAGTTGTCTGACAAAGGCTTAGCGATGGACCCAAGCAAGGTGCAGGCAGTGCTGGAGTGGAAGGCTCCCAAGACACGGAAGGACGTACAGAGGTTCCTAGGGTTCAGCAACTTCTACAGGAAGTTCATCAAGAACTTCGCCCACTTGACAGCGCCAATCACGGATTGTCTCAGTAGCAAAAAGAAGTTTGTGTGGACAGAAGAGGCCCAGCAATCCTTCGAAAAACTGAAGAAGGCGTTCGCATCGGAAGAGCAACTCCTGCACGTAGATCTGGAGAAACCCCTGAGGCTAGAGACCGACGCGTCCGACAGAGCCGTGGGGGCGGTCCTTTTGCAACCAGGGAAGGGAAAGCAGGAATGGAAACCGTGTGCCTTTTTCTCCAGAAAACTGAGCAAGTCGGAGCAAAACTATACAGTGTATGACCGCGAACTGCTGGCAATCTACGCGGCCTTCGTCGTTGGCGTCATCTACTGATAGGAGCGCAACAACAGATCCAGGTTTGCACAGATCACAAGAACTTGGAGTACTGGAGAACCGCACGAGTACTCAACCAGAGACAGATTCGATGGGCACAGGAGTTCTCCAAGTTTTTCTTTGAAATCCGCTACGTGCCCGGAGAAGAAAACGTAAGAGCAGACGCTCTTTCGCGTAAACCGGAGTACCTGGAAGGAGAGGGGCCGCCGGAGAAACGACACGTGATCCCCGAGGACCGATGGGTGTGTGGGGAACTTTGGTGGGGAAACGAGAACTAGCCGGGCTGACCAGAAACGACGTGTTCGCGCAAACTAAAATCCGGGAACTACGAGACGGAAGAGGGACCCAAGAAGGGTTTGAGGAGAAGGAAGGGGTACTGTACTATAGGGGAGCGCTGTACGTACCGGGGGAAACCCTAAGGGAAAAGTACTCAAACAACTCCACGACAACCCCACAGCAGGGCACTTTGGACAGCACAAAACCATGATGCTGGTGACCAGGCAGTTCTGGGGGCCCAGGGGGAGGGAGGATGTACGGGAATCTGTACGGGGGGTGCGACCGCTGCCAACGGGCAAAGGGGGGGAGAGGGCGGCCCCCACAGGATTGCTGGAACCCTTACCCACGCCGGGGAAACCCTGGGAGGTGGTATCCATTGCTTTGATGACAGATTTGCCCAAGTCCCGGGAAAGACATCAGTCATGGTAGTGGTCGACCTACTGACAAAAATGAGCCACTAGATAGCTTGCTCACATGCTGTAACGGCAGAGGAAACAGCCCGGTTGTTTGTGGAGCACATATTCCGGCTGCATGGCGCCCCTTGAGGGTTATCTCCGACCGCGGAAAACAATTTACTTCCCGGTTCTGGAGGAAACTCATGAGCTTACTGCAGGTGGAGGTGGTTTCTCGACGGCGAGACACCCAGAGACCAACGGGCAAGCAGAAAGAGCGAACAGTATACTCCAGCAATACCTACGCTGCTATGTCAGCGAGAGGCAGAACGATTGGGTAGAAAAGCTAGCGCTGGCTGAATTCGCGTACAACAACGCGGAACACGTGTCCACGGGAATGAGCCCATTCATGGCCAACCATGGGTGTCATCCCAGGGCCTTCCCGGGAGTGGGGAGGAAAGCTGGAGCGCACCCGCCGCAGAGCAGTTTGTGGAGGAAATGGAGGCCCTACACCAGCAACTTAAGATGAACTTGGAGCGGGCCAAGGAAACTTAAAAGATGCAGGCAGACAAGCACCGCAGGGAAGGGAGACCATACGGGTGGGGACCGGGTGTGGTTGTCCACCCAAGGGCTACCTTTCAAAGGGGGGTGCAAGAAGTTGCAGCCCAGACGGCTGGGACCTTTTGAGGTAACACAGCAAGTTAATCCCGTGGCATTTAAGCTCAGGTTGCCTGATAGCATGAAAATACACCCGGTTTTCCATAGGTCCCTGCTTTCACCGCATAGGGAAGGGCGGGAATTCCAGGGGCAAGAGGGAGAAGTCACCACACACCCGCAGGTAGAAGAAAGGGAACACCACCACAGGGCCACGGAAATACTGGACTCAAGGTGGCAAGGGCGCCGGGTGGAGTATTTGGTAGCGTGGGAAGGGGAACCCAGGTCCGAAACACGTGGGTCCCCACGGAAGCCGTCGAGGACAGGTATCTGGTGGAGGTATTCCACCACCGGTTCCCGGACAAACCCAAACCCCTGGAGAGATTCTGGGAGGAGCAATTTGGAACCACAGATGAGGAAGAGGTTTTTGAGGGATTTTCTGACTCCGAGGAGGGAGGAGAGGTTTCGGAGGAAGAAGCATCAGACGGGGAAGACCACCCCGTTGGTAGGTGGAAGAGCGATTGGGAAGCGGGTTTCGAACCCACGGAAGATGGTGACAGTTCCTTCCGGGTTTCCCGCCTCCTCGGCCGACGAAGGGGACGGCTGGTCCCACAGGTCGGCCCAGGGGTGGAGGGGATTCTGGGGGGGAGGTGGATGTCAGGGAACTGACATCAGAGCGAGAGGCGAAGGGGAGGCTCCTGGATGATGCTGGAGAAGGACCCAGCAGCAGGGGGAGAGGCGACTCAGTGGAGGGGGAAGCATTTAAGCGCAACACCAGGAACAAAAGTGAGCAGATGGGAAAATCGGAGAGAGGGCTCACGGACTCTTCACTGGAACTCAGTGAGGAGGGGACAGGTCCCCGCTACCCACGCCCACCCTGCGCAGAAGGCTCCCGCGCAGTGAGAGGCGGAGGCGATTGGGTGTCAAACAGCTCTTATGTTGGAAGAGATTCAAGAAACGCCCACTGACGGATTCTGCTAGTGACTGAGACAGTCCTGATCAGAAGGGGCTGTGCAGTCAGAAAGGTTTAACAAGGCAAATCAGCCTAGAGAGGCACCAGTTTACGCACGAGTAACTCATACTCATTATAATGATATTTATTGAAATTTCAGAAAAAAGAATTACACAAAAACAAGAAGTAAAAATACAAGAAAAATACAAAATACAAAATACAGAATAAAAGAATAAAAAACACTAAAAAGAAAGAAAAGAAAAATATATCAATCTTTCCATAGCTTACATTCATATCCTTGTTTCCCTGACCTCCTCATACCTCCCTTTTTTGTATTCCAGTTCAATTAGTTAAGTCAGCAATTTCTTTCCCTCTTTGTTCTCTCATAATCCTTTAACTTAATATACTATAACTTTAAATTTTCATCTGTTATCAATCCTTTTTTACATACACCTTTATGGCATTACTGCTTAAACCACCTAGCTTCATTCCAACATCATTCTAACATTCATTAATTTTGCAATATTTCTGTAAATTTCTTCCAATCTTCTTCCACCGACTCTTCTCCCTGGTCTCGGATTCTGCCAGTCATTTCCGCCAATTCCATGTAGTCCATCACCTTCATCTGCCATTCTTCCAGAGTGGGTAGGTCTTGTGTCTTCCAATACTTTGCAATAAGTATTCTTGCTGCTGTTGTGGCATACATAAAGAAAGTTCTATCCTTCTTTAACACCAGTTGGCCGACTATGCCCAGGAGAAAGGCCTCTGGTTTCTTCAAGAAGGTATATTTAAATACCTTTTCAATTCATTATATATCATCTCCCATAAAGCCTTAATCCTTGGGCACGTCCACCAGTGGTGAAAGAATGTACCTTCAGTTTCTTTACATTTCCAACATTTGTTATCGGGCAAATGATAGATTTTTGCAAGCTTGACTGGGGTCATGTACCACTGACTGGCATGTTCTCTCCCTCCTGGTCGATTGTTCGGGAGCTTCAAAAGCTTTCTTCAGCCTGAACATCACAGCGACTGATGCCAACAGACACCGGCACACTTAGGGATCCACAGAGTTTGCGCATCATGCGTAACAGACCTCAGCAACTCAGCATTTTGGCTGATCTACTTTATTTACATATAAACACGCACAGAGCACTGCAACATGGCTCCCTCTTTCTCTAGCATCAGACAGCAAAACCAAAACCAAACAAAGGACAATAGTCCCACTTCACGGAACACAGTAACACAAACATCCTGTCTCCGTCACTTCCCACTCTGTGGAGTCAAAACCTATACTGTCATGTGATAGACAACAATCCCATGACTGCAATCATGGAGCAGGAATTCTAACAGTGGCTGGGTTTTCTCTCCTTTCTAGGGGTTGATGCAGTGACCCATGCAAACAGAGCTGTGCCTTTCCTTGTAAGCAGTAATATGAATCATAGAATTGTAGCGTTGGAAGGGATTCCAAGGGTCATCTAGTCCAACCCCCTGTGATGTAATTGTTGTCATCTCAGTCCATCTATCTTTCACAGGCTCTGAAGATGCCTGCAAATTAGTTGGTTGACACCTACAAGGTGCTTTTGGGGAGCTCCTAGAAAGGAAATGTAGCTCAGTGGTAGAGCACCAGCTTTGCATGCAAAATTATTGATCATTTTACCCATAGAAATTACTCAAAGCGATCTACAAACACAATAGAAATACTGAAACCATTTAGAAAAGACACAATGAATAATAACTTTTTTAAAAAAGAAAACCAGCTATATAAATGAGGTCTGAAAGAGGCTACAAATACTTAATAACACTTAAAGTGAAGGGCCAAAAAACCAGGTAAAAAAGAAATTTTTTTGCTTGGTGTCTAAAGATGGTGCCGGGGAGAACATTCCAGAAGTAAGGAGCTGCTATTGAAAGGGCACTTTTTTTTGTAGCCAGCCTCCAGACCTCCCATGAAGGAGGCTTATGGAAAAGGGCCTCAGATGACGATTGCAGGGTCTGGATCTGTTCATGTGGGGAAAGATGGCTCTTTTGTATCCTGAGCTGCACAATGCTGTAGCAGTCAGTGTGGTGGAGCCACCCTCCTGACAACAGCATCGCTGTAGACTGTCCTGGGGCAGTGGTGAAGTTGGGGTTGCATTGGACCGACTCTACTGAAGTGTGCAAGCCGCCTCCATGCTGCTGCTGTCTCTTCCCAACACTGTCTGGGTAATCCACAGCGACATCAGTGAACCCAGCTGTTGCTACCATTAGGAAGCCAACTTCCAGTCATAGAATCATAGAGTTGGAAGGGACCCAGAGGGTCATCTTAGTCCCACCCCCTGCAATGCAGGAATCTCAACACATGGACCCTCTCCTATCCAGTTTGAAACTATACTAGACACTGCTTATCTTTGCAAATGCGCTAGCAGTGTTATTGCTGCACCGCTAGATAGCCCATGCACTCACACATTCCTATAGGCCAGCATCTACAAACATGTGATGTGGGAATGGGCTGTGATACTGAAAACTAAGGGTGGCATTCGACTAAATTGTTGCAAGGAATAGAACTAAAAAAAAAAAAGGTAAAAGACCCCTGACAGTTATGTCCAGTCGCAAACTACTCTGGGGTTGCGGTGCTCATCTTGCTTTACAGGCCGAGGGAGCTGACGTTTGTCCGCTCCGCAGACAGTTTTTCCGGGTCATGTGGCCAGCATGACTAAGCCACTTCTGGCGAAACCAGAGCAGCGCATGGAAACGCCATTTACCTTCCCACTGGAGCAGTACCTATTTATCTACAGTGGTGCCCCGCAAGACGAATGCCTCGCAAGACGGAAAAACCGCTAGACGAAAGGGTTTTCCGTTTTGAAGTTGCTTCGCAGGACGAATTCCCCTATGGGCTTGCTTCGCAAGACGAAAATACCTTGCGAGTCTTGAGATTTTTTTTCGCTTTTCCCCCCCTTTATCTAATCTGCTAAGCCTTTAATAGCCTTTAATAGCCTTTTAGCAGCTAATCCCCTAAGCCTTTAAGCCTTTAATAGCCGCTAAACCGCTAATAGCGCTAATAGCGCTAATCCGTCAATGGGCTTGCTTCGCAAGACGAAAAAACCGCTAGACGAAGACTCTCGCGGAACGGATTAATTTCGTCTTGCGAGGCACCACTGTACTTGCACTTTGACGTGCTTTCGAACTGCTAGGTTGGCAGGAGCAGGGACCGAGCAACGGGAGCTCACCCCATCGCGGGGATTCGAACCGCCAACCTTCTGATCAGCAAGCCCTAGGCTCTGTGGTTTAGACCACAGCGTCACCCACGTCCCGAGGAATAGAACTAGCGTGATGCAGTTTCCCCTCTCTCTTTCCCCAACCCTATGTGAAGCCACTGCTGCCCACAAATCACCTCCAGAGGGTTGTAGGAACTCCCAGAACAGATTTTGGGGGCGGGGAGAAATCCCTGCACTGGTGAATGAGCTGTTTAATGCTACCACCTCGGTTGTGGACTGCCTTTCACTGGAGGTTTTTAAACAGAGGTTGGATGGCCATCCACCTGTCATTCTTTAGCTGTGATTCCTGTATTGCAGGGGGTTGGACTAGATGGCCCTTGGGGTCCCTTCCAGCTCTACATTTCTATGAATAAAACCCTAAAATTCAAGGTGGTGGTGGTTATACCTGTATAACAAAAACAAAACCTTGGAAGGTGACTTGAAGGCTTACAGAGCAGATAAGCTGTTCAGAGTCAGGATAAGTGCCTTGCAGTGCTATACAGTGTTTTCCCTGTTTTGCTTCTGCTTTTCACCTGAGAAATACAGTTTGCCAAGAGGGGCAAGAACACATTAATTTCCCCTTAAACACATGTAGGGGGCCTCTTGTGGGCTTTCAGTTGCATTTTGGCTGGCTGTTCGGGGAGAGCGCCAGGTGACTTAGTGTTTTTGTACCTTAATCAGTTTAGCTTTCGCAGAAGTGATTCATCTTACCATGCTCCCACTGTGCTCTCAAAGGAAAATATTATGCATTGGATAAATAATAGCACACACTGGAGCACATTGTGTGCAGAGCTTCTAGGTGCAATTAGACCTCGCCGGGTTTATTCTTTGTCACTGAAGAAAGTGGAAGCTGTGAAGAAAAGGGGAGAGAGGAAACTTAACAAATCTGTTAAGCCACAGTTTAAGAAACCAATGGAGTGTTGACTCTGACCTGATACGTGTGGCAAAACAAAACTCCCTCACCTCCCTCAACTCTTTGGGGAAATGGGCCCTTCTTCTGCTGTTGATGAACTTTGAGGTGATGTGCTTGCTGCTTGTAGGGCAAGATAGATGGCCTATTTTAATTTCAGCTAGAAGGATCTTGTTCAGCAGCCTCCATGTTTTTTTGTTGTTGTTTTTTGTTTTTGCATCCTTTGAAGATGAAGGATTCTGATAAATGCTGAATGGCAAAGGATTCTGTGATTGCCAGACTCTGCTCCTGTTCGTGGGATGGAGGGGAATTGGGCAAGTCTGACAGACATATGGTAAAGCTGGGAAGTGTGTGTGTGTGTTCCAGGAATGCTTAGTTTTAAGTGTCAAGCTCTGGTTTTCAGGAAGCCTGAAGAGGCGTCACTGCTTCCAAATGGGGCTCTGGAGCTTAAATCTGTTGGGAGTTCAAGCTCAGTTATTTCCCATCACCCTTTGGTCATGCTTGCTGAGGCTGATGGGAGTTGTAGTTCAGCAACCTCTGGCAGGTCAAAGGGTCCCCATGCCTGCACTACAACATGCTGACTCTCAGCATCACACAGGCACATAAAAGGGGAGGGCTGCATAGGCTCAAGGTATGGATTTGTATCTAGAGCACAATGTTAGTTTTTCAAAATGGCATGGCCTGTTGAACCCAAAACTGATTATTACTACAAAGGCCAGCACTTCAAGGCCTGCTGTTTTGTAGTGGCTGGGCAGGGGTGATAGTGACATTTGCCTTTTGGCAACAAAATGATCCCCTCAAAGGCAGGCAGGCAGGCAGGGAATGCATGTCTCTCTAAAAATGTTTGCCCTGCCATATTGTTTTCCCCCTCAAGGAATTGTCAATTTTGGCAGGGAAGTAGAAATGCTGTAATTAAGCCCCCCCCCCCCCCAGCATTTGTTTGCATGCCTTAAAAAAACAAACACATGTGCAATACCAGCACAAAACCTTGCAATAAACGTTAGGAGATTGTCCATCTCTCCCTTAGAGAGCTATTCAGGAAACAACCATTTTAATATTCTGTTTGCTAATCTGTGCCTCCACATTTTACTGTACTACCCTGAGTCAAATGGCGGAATGCCTTTTTTTTTTAAAAAAAGCAGCTATTCTGTATGTCACGGTCCTTGGCCTAACTCAACAAGCATTGTCCCTGATGCTTGCAATTGGAAGTGAGTTGGAACTGGCTCATGGCCCAAAGTGTTAAAACGCTGTTGCTTCTTTCCAGCGATTTCCCCTATTTGGTTAGAGTAACTTTTAGAGGACTGTCCTTTGCCTTGTTTTTCAATATGTATTATTAGGACATCCTGGCATGCAGAACATCATCTGGGTAGGCATGGAAAAATGATATTATTCTGATGACTTTGGCCAGCAGCCTAGTGATGCAGGGACTTGCTTTTCTTGTGGTTTGGCATTCTTAACCTGTTATTTAACAGTTCACCCCAAAGTGTTTCCCTTTTCAAGTATGTAGGCTGGAATGGAGAATACAAAAGCAACATCTGGAGGAATATTTGCTGCTTGTTGTCTTTTTCTTTTTAAATATCCTTACATTTAAAGCATTAAATATAATGCAGTTTTGTTGCTAATTTTCTAAACTTCGAGTGCTCAGTTGTATGTAATTTAATACTGTGCGTGTACCCCCCCTCCCTTGGGTATAAATTGGATGGTGCTGGCAAGGCCAGGGCTGAGGAATTCACACAACTGACATTCAGGCTTTATGATCCCAGTCATTGACGCCATCTAAGGAACTAACAAGGGTCATACCTAAAAATATTGATTTACACAGGCATTAGGAAAGGCAAGTCAACTTTGCATCAGGTTCCCAATCCAAGGATGCAAAGTTGGATCCAAAAAGCAGGCAGGATTAATTCGTTTGGCACTAGATAATCAGTGGAAAAACTGCAGAGCACAAGAATACAGACCAATAAGGATCAAAGGGAGGATAGTTTGACATGTTTGTTTTTATTCTTCTAAGTAGCTGGTTACGACAGCAGTTTATCAAAACTTTATAAAATGTGGCCCCCTTAGATCTTCTGATCTTTTACTCTAGCCTAGAAACCTGCCTGCCATATCCCCTGGGCTGCTGCTTCCCCACATGCTGGGTTTTTCTATACACTTCTCCATGATGGCTTTTGCATGGCCTTTTTTTATGCTGCTTGTCCTGCGGTACTTCCAAACCAACTTAGCACCAACCCATCGTATGGTGTCATTGTATGCCTTTGCATGGGAAGTCCTGTTGCGCAGAAGAAGTCCTACCACTAGGAAGATGAACTAGTTGCGTATCAACCAATAATGGGGCATGGGGTAATATGTGTCTCGTTTCTCCATTGTAGTATTTGAACTAGAGGTCTGGGGAGCAAGTGTGTATTGGTTTGTGTGACTGTAACTTTTTCATCTTTACTTTTTTTTTATGAACAATGTTCTATAAAATCTCTTGGAAATACCTCATCCGCATAGGTTAGCGCAACCTGAGGAGGCCCTCTTTTCTTTTTGTCTTGAGCAACTCTTCCCTCTTGGTATTATTTGCGTTGCGGTATCTCTGTATGGTCGGTGGCTGCTGTTTTCAAATTTAACGCAATTCTGTTGCTATGGAGGCAGAACGTTGAACAGAAGTAGGTCAATTCAGTACAGGGTCTGATGTGCTTGGGAAGCAGAGAAGCTTAGCTGGAGAGAAATGTGGATCGGGTGAGCACCAAAGGTGTCTCGCCTTGCGGACTGTCTGTTTGGAAGAGCACATGTACTTGTATTTAAGTTCATATCTTTCTGATTGGGGCTGTCAGATACGCTGAAGTGGACAGGGAACATGCCGTGAGACAGGTGGGCTGATAGTCTTGTTTACTTTGCGTGGGTAGAAAAATAAATCGGGCCTGAAATCCTAAGAAGACTTCTTGTTGCCTTAGTTGACAGAGGTGGGGTTGAGCAATGGGCATTGTGCAGGCTGTCTCCGTTCCGGCTTCTGGAAGAGGAAAACTGAAAATAAAATAGCTGCCACATCGGTTGTTGCCCACAGAGTGACAGGGAAGCTTTGTTGGGTACGTGGGATGATGATAATGTGCAAGCTGATCCCATTTACTTTAGGGTCAGAGACAGAATTGAGGTTGGCAGTGAAAAAGACAGGCAGGTACTTATTGAGGTGTCATCCTACAGATGGGACTTGGATAATTGTATTGCCTGTTGCAGAGCCTGTTCCTGTGTAGAGAAAATGCTATGCTTGTCACTTCACAGGAAATGAAGACACACTCTTCGGGAGCAAAGGGTGGCAGCCTGAGGATGAGATCAAATATGGTGTAAACTGGTATCTGCTGACCAAAGAAGCTTCTACCTTCCTCTCCCTGGCCCCCCCAGCATGCTTCCCAAATTTTCTCCGTAGTCTTAGAGGACAAGCGGGCAGACATGAGTGGAGGTTGCCCTGAGTCAGTGATGCTAAAACCAGCTGGGTAGTCCTCATGGCAACAGTTTCTCCCCATGCCCACACCATTTTTAGTACATTAAAAAACACCATATTATTGCCCAGAAGGATGAATGCTTTCCCACTGTACTAAAGAAGCTTAATGCTGAACACAACACCAACAAAGCTACCTTTCTCCCTCCCCAGTAATTTTCCTATCATTTTAGATTCCTTTCCCATTCTTTTTTTATTTGAAAGCTGTGCACCCCACCCTCTTTCATGGGTAAACATCTTGGGATGTTCCTTGGTCTGAGAGAATTCTGGTCTTCTATCCTTTCTCTTCCTTGCTCCTAATAGGAGGCTGACAGCTGCATTGTACAGCATGTACAGTTTGGGCATTGTCCTTAAGGGTGGCTACCCTAAGGTTACACTGCAGTGTCTCATCTTCCAGCTAATGAGGAGGCAAACAGTGGTGTGTTCCGACAAGCTGGATTTCTGACACATGCAGCAAGAGTGGGAAATCTTTTTCAACTCACAAACCCATCTGGGCAACCCGTCTAGGGCCAAATGCTGGTTGTGGGCGGAGCCAGAGGCAAAAGCAGGCAGAGCAATACATGTGAACTTTACCTTTTCCGTAGTAGGCTAGTTTCTACCCACACTCATGCAGCCTTCTCTATCCTCCAAAGCAAGAGGCATTGTCAGAGTTCATGGCTGCATTCCATCCAGGCACAAATGCCCAAGGAGGCTCCAACAGAGGGCCAGTGAGAGGTGTGGCTGGGGAGTCCCAAGAGCCTGGAGGGCTGTATTTGAGCCCTGGGCCCGAGGTTCCCCATCCTTCGCCTAGAGCTACCGTCTGGCCTATGGACTCACTATTTTGGGAAGATACAAGAACCAGGAAGTCTTTCCCGCTAGACTGTGGGGCTCCCAACCATTATAACCTCTGTTTTGTCCAGCTTTGGTTTACTCATCTTCAGTCGCTCCACAACAGCCTGAACCAACGCTGCTGCTCTTGAATTTGAAGATAATGAAACTGTGAGCAGATAACACAGAATATATTTAAAGCCTATTTAGCGCACATTTAAAGCTCATGACTCCCCCACCCCACCCCCTGGCAAAACAATTTAGGGAACCATAGTTTATTAAGGGTGCAGGAAATGGTAATTCGGGGGGGGGCCACAATTCTTGGTTTGCTCCAAGTGTGTGGTTAATGATAAACTTCAAATGGAGCAGGGGGGAAGGCCCTCTCAACCACTTGCTCTAGGGAGTGGTTTTCTTAGCAGCAGCGGCTAGCTCTGCAGCTTGGGAAGAAAACACCTATTTGTATGAAAGAGGTTGATTTGATATAATTAGCTATAAGACAAGCCCTGCTGGATCAGACCAAAAGCCTTTTTTAGCCTCTCTTCTTGTTTCCTGCAGCAGCCAACCAGATGCCTTTAGGAAGCCCACAAACAAACATGTGGTTTCATGGTCTTCTCCGTGCACTGTTTCTGCATCCATTGATATCAGCAACCAAAAACTGAGTCATATAATTTCCAGGGTCACTTCTGGTTTGCCTCAACTGCAAAATCTAAGTTTGGATCCCTTGTGAGAGGTTTTTTTTTTAATACACAAAAATTGCCAAAACACGTCACATTAATCAAAAGTCCAGCTTTCATTCTTCTTTTTGTCGATTGTGCTACTTCTGATAGGTAACATTCAATACAATAAATTTCGTGAGAGAATACAATAGAATTCACTTCAATTTAGTTAATTGAGCTTTTGGGAAATAACTAAAGGTAAGGCACTAAAGCTTCCTAACAAACAGGACAAACAGAATGTCCACATTCGTTTTCTTTTATTAAAAAGTGGCATTTTAATGGATTTGTTTTCTACTGTTAGGCACCTCCAGCATTAGAGTATCGGACCTCATTTTATTGGCTTTACTTTCTGTAAATTGTCTTTGGTTTTGTTGTCAAAGGGAAAAGACTTAAGAAGCTGTTTGGATATTATCTCCGCACTCTACCCTGGATGTGCTTCAGGCTCATGCATTTACCAACATGTATGAATCTTATATTGAATCAGAACAAATGCATGAACTGAGGAAGCCTACATTTATTTGATAAACTAAATAGGTTTGATATCCATGCTTGAGAGAGACCACAGTTTATACAGTCACCTCTGCAAGGGAGTGGGTGGGTGAGTAGTGTGTGTGTGTATGTGTGTGTGTGCATGCGTGTGTGTGCATGCCTAATTCCTGATGTCACTATGCATAAGATGGCAGTTTTGGGTGGGAGGGAGAAGAATGCTCAATCCTTAAATGCACTTCCCTTGGATTTCCAAACATTAGCTGCTATGTATTACATGGGTGCTATTGTGAGTTAAAGGGTGGTAAACAAAGCAACGATGTCTCTTTAAATGGACATTTCCCTCTTCAAATCTGGAACCATTTCCAGTTTTAGAACACGCAGTCTTGCCAACCTAAGGGAATTAGAAGTATTTTCATGATTTTGTAAATAACCACTCTGTAAACAGTCAGCTTCAAAACAAATGTACGCCAGCGATGTTCCATAATTCTTTTAATGCAACAGCATGACAGTTTTGCATTAGTAAGAATCAAAATTATCAAAGTAAACAGGTTAGCAATGGTACAATAAAGGGACCAAAACGTTTTGTTTTTTGTAATTTATAAGCCCTACCTCTGGCAGAGTAAAGCTTGAACATGCAGCTGTGGCAAGTATCCCAAGACCTGTAGGGAAAACATAGATTTACTATTGATGATTTATATGACATATTTCAAGTTAGCAAAGCGCTATGGAATGTTCTTGCAGGGTTTTTTGCCCCATGTTTTCCCAAGAACTTTGGCTACTACCATACTTATTTTGTAGGTGAACAACAGAGAGCGTAAAAGGATCCACTCCCTCTACGGCCAACATTGCATTGGCAGCAAACCTGCCTCCATGACTAGCATCTCTGTAGGAGACTGGTGTTTGTAGACATGTTTTGTTGCATGCACACTTTTACACCAAAGATGTATGGATTTGCACATGAAAAGGTCCATACTTTGGTGGCCTCAGCACCGAGGCCAATAGCTCAGTTGCTAGAGCAACATGACTCCTTCATTAAGCTTTTAGGTGCGGTCTCCTCAGCTGTAGGCTCCAACCTGTGGGTTTCTCATTCTTGCAGCTGTTGGGAGCAAGCTGCAGTCCTGATTCTAACTGAAAGAGCAGGAACTCTCCTCATACAGGACGATGGAGCTTTTTTATCAGATTAAGTATTGCGTTGCACAAGCAACAGTCTCTCCATTAGTACATTCCATCATCACAAACGTTTCATTGAGAGGAAAGAGGTTTTGAGACCTTTCGCAGTAAGCAAAGGCTGTGTGGAACCTGGCCCACAAAAGAATTAAAGATCTTGTTCTGAGACATAGCCTGGGTTGTTCGAGTGCAGATTAAAGTGTGCTTTGTTATAAGCTCGATATACACACACTTCTGTCAGCCACAGCCAGCTTGCCCAATGGGCAGGAATGATGGGAATTGGCTGGGCATAACATTTGGAGGGTGCCACATTGGCTACCCTTGGCTTAGGTGTTTAGGGAATAAGCCTCTATTTCATAGAAGAATCATAGAAGAGTAGAGTTGGAAGGAATCCTGGGGTCATCTAGTCTAACCTCCTACAATACAGGAATCTCAATTAAGGACCCCTGGACGGTTAAGTCCAGTCAAAGGTGATTATGGGGTGCATTGCTTGTCTCGCTTTTCAGGCCAAGGGAGTCGGCATTTGTCCACAGACAGCTTTCTGGGTCATGTGGCCAGCATGACTGAACCGCTTCTGATGCAACGGGACACTGTGATGGAAGCCAGAGTGCACAGAAACACCATTTACCTTCCCGCCACAGTGGTACCTATTTATCTACTTGCACTGGTGTGCTTTCAAACTGCTAGGTTGGCAGGAGCTGGCACAGAGCAACCGGAGCTCACCACCACCACATGGATTCGAACCGCCGACTTTACGATCAGCAAGCCCAAGAGGCTCAGTGGTTTTAGACCACAGCACCACCTGCATCCCTAGGAATCTCAGTTATAGCATCCATGACAGATGTTATTGTAAGTTGCTTTAAACTGAGTTTAATATTGCATTTTATTGTTGTAGCCCGTGCTGGGACACTATGACAAAGGGTGGGAAGTAAATAAACGTATACGTAATCACACAAACACGCCACTGTCTACCCATCATTCCTATTTGGGCGCATTTCTTTTTCCCGGAAGGAGTTTCAAACCCTAAATGAGATTTGGGAGTGGGGGTAGACACTGAGGAAACAAGTAGTGATTTTTCTTCTCTCTCCCCCCCCCCCCCCATTCCCTCTACCCCAAGTGTGTATTGTATTTGGCTTTGAATTCAAGTATTTGGTATGCAGCTGCCAGCTTTAGGCATTATGTAACTTCAGAAAATAAACGGCCTTTACGGAAAAGTGAAATTGCTATGTTTCAACATTTTAAAGGAAGCTTGGCCATGACCTGATGACTTGGCAAGGCTAATAATGCCTTGTCAACAGAACACAGATTTCTTTGCGAGTGCAGTGATGGAGCTAATCTATGGTCATGGTGATGTGGGTTTTGTAAGCTGATCACACGCACAAGAATGCAAAACGATTGATTGGAGGTTTCTGCCTGTGAAATACATCACACCATATCTCTGCATTTGCAATTATGCAAGCATTTCCCTCTGAGATCTTGAGCCTGTGCTTGTTAATGGATCAGGACTCGGTCACAATCATATGCCAAGACCCGAACAGAGGCAGGGTTTAATTTGAGCCAGGGCAAAGTAGCAGGACCTGTTTCAGTGCCAAGTTTCAGCTGTGGAGTCTACATGAAGGAGTAAGAGAATGCAACTGAGTATGGATAAGTTCCTTTGTCTCACCACTCAGTAGTCACACCCAGTCTCTGAAAATCTGGGGTAAAGAGAGAAGACCACTAAATCAGAAAGCATGACCTTGAGGTAGACCGGAACCCTCCTCTATACTTCGGTATCTACCCTTACTTTCCTTTCAAACTTGGTACCCTGAACCCAAGTGGAGAATCCAAAGCACACGTCAAAACTTATTGCAACCCCATAGCATCTCTGCAAAGCACCATCTGTGCTCCAGTTTCCCTATTAATGCCCTGTCACAGAATCCCACAAGTGACTCCCATCGTATGCCTTTCCCCCCAATTCTGGGACCTTGTTCTTTGTGTTTCCCAGCTTCTTTTGTAGTCTTCCATCTACTTCTTTCAAAATTGATGCGCCACTTCTGCCACTGTGCTATCACCATGTTGTTGTCTGATGCTCCCACTGTTGTTAAAACAGGTCGATTATAAATGCTGGCTCCACTTGGGTCAGAGTGGGTCTGTTCGAAGGCTCTGTTGTAACTGCACATTGATGTCTGTTTTTCCTGGAAAGCTTCTTTCACTGCTAAATCTTGAGAAAGAGCCAGGCTTGGTGGTCTGATTCTCACTTGGGGTATGAGAGATCTTCAGGGCAGGTGTGGTTCTCCAGAGGCTGCATATCAAAAGTGGGTGTAGCCAAAGTGTGATTATGGGAGTGGCAAAAGCTGCAGTTCTGAATGCTGTCTTCCAAAGGTTTCCAGTTATTTTAAATAATGTCTTTATCATTCATTCATTCATTCATTATTAAATCTTTTTATCATTTATTCATTATTAAACAGAAGTTTTCCCCCCATTTTTTAAAATGACAAATTTTGAATGGGGTTTGGGAGTGTCACAAAAAAAAAAAATTGGGTCATAGAATTCCAGTAGGGGAACCTGCAGAAGCAGTAAGTTTTCTAAAAAATTAAAAACATAATGGCACGTGGTGGGGGACTTGAAGGCCACAAAACCTGGTTTGGCCTCACAGTATCACATGTATCAGCCTTTCTCAATCCCCAGATGTTGGACTACAACTTCCATCATCCCTAGCTAGCAGGACCAGGGTCAGGGATGATGGGAGTTGTAGTCTAGTACCTGGGGGCCCATGGTTGAGAAAGGCTGCTATATTATTAGTATTACAGTGGTACCTCAGGTTACATACGCTTCAGGTTACAGACTCCGCTAACCCAGAAATAGTGCTTCAGGTTAAGAACTTTGCTTCAGGATAAGAACAGAAATCGGGCTCCAGCGGCGCGGCAGCAGCAGGAGGCCCCATTAGCTAAAGTGGTGCTTCAGGTTAAGTACGGACCTCCGGAACGAATTAAGTACTTAACCTGAGGTACCACTGTATTATTATTATTATTATTTATTTATTTATTAGACATTGAGGGGAGGAAAGACACCAGATTCATGGAAGGAAGCCTATATTACATTGATATCTAAGCCTGATACAGACAAGTTGGATTTGAAAAATTATAGACCAATATCATTGTTGAATAACGATTATAAAATATTTGCAGAAGTAATGGCCAGTTGTCCCAAGAAGTGTTTAACAAACCTCATTCATATAGACCAAGTCGGATTTTTACCTAACAGACAATTAAAAGATAATATACGACACATAATAAATATTATTGAATATCTAGACTGTAAAAATGAAATCCCTGCGGCACTAATCCTTATTGATGCCGAAAAGGCTTTCGATAAAATATCTTGGCAATTTCTTGTAGGATGTTTGGAAACAGTAGGGATAGAGGGCACCTTTTTAGAGGGAATAAAAGCTATCTACTCAAGCCAAAGAGCAAAACTGATCATCAACAATGACTTAACTGAGTCTTTTGAAATCTCAAAGGGCACGAGACAGGGGTGCCCTCTATCACCTCTTCTATTTATAATGGTATTAGAAATTATTGCCAATAAGATAAGAACAACACCAGAAATACGTGGAATTAAAATCGGGGGAAAAGAATATAAATTGAAAGCATACGCTGATGATCTGATGTTATCATTAGAAGATCCACAAAACAGTGTCCACAGGGTAATACAATTATTAGAAGAATTTGGAAAGTTATCGGGTTTTAAGTTAAATAAATCCAAAACTAAAATGATGACCAAGAACATGGAAGGAGCAGTGAAAAACCAGTTAGAGGCTCAAACTGGAATTAAGGCGGTAAAAAAAGCAAAATGCTTGGGAATTTGGCTAACCATGAAGAACATAAATTTAATGGCGGACAATTATTCAATTATTTGGAAAGAAATCAAAAAGGATTTAGATGTATGGAACAGGATAAAATTATCATGGTCAGGAAAAATGGCCACAATTAAGATGAATATACTTCCAAAGTTGCTATTTTTGTTCCAAAATATTCTGGTGATAAGGGGAACCACAGTATTTAAAGATTGGCAAAAAAAATTATCTAAATTTATTTGGCAGGGAAAAAAGCCTAGAATTAAATTTAAATTACTTACTGACAGAAGAGAAAGAGGAGGATTTGAGGTACCGAATTTAAAATTGTACTATGAGGCCTCATGCCTCTGTTGGATTAAAGAATGGATTGTCTTAAAAAATACTGATTTGTTAGATCTAGAAGGCTTCAATACCAGATTTGGATGGCACGCATATTTGTGGCACGGCAAAGCAAAAGTACATAAAGGATTCTCCAATCATATAATCAGAGGACCACTGTTAGAGGTATGGGAAAGAAACAAAAATCTGCTTGAAAGAAACACTCCCTGGTGGTTGTCACCAATAGATATTATAACAACCAAAAAAATAAACATGGAAGGTGAAAGATGGACATACGAAGACTTATTGGTTAGAACAGAAAAAGGTTGGAAAATCAAAACATATGAAGAGTTAGGAGACAAATTAACGAGTTGGCTACAATTTCATCAAATTAATGCTCTGTGGACAGAAGACAAAAAGATTGGGAGGAACGAAAAAAATCTAGATTTCAGATAAAAATATTGGAAGGAAATTCAAAACTCTTATCAAAAATGTATAAACAATTGTTAGAATGGGACACTAAGGATGAGGAGATAAAGGAAGTTATGGTGAAATGGGTGATAGATTTAGGATATAATTTGGAATACGACAGTTGGATAAAGCTTTGGAACAAAGATATGAAGTTTACAGCTTGCGTTGCACTAAGAGAAAACATGGAAAAAATGATGTACAGATGGTACATCACTCCTGTAAAATTAGAAAAAAATCTTTAAGACTGGAGATAAAATGTGCTGGCAGTGCAAAAATAAGGAAGAAAGTTTCTACCATATGTGGTGGACTTGCGAAAAAATTAAAAAGTTTTGGGAGCTTGTTTATAATGAATTAAAAAAAATGTTTAAATACACTTTTGTCAAAAAACCTGAAAACTTCCTTCTGGGGATGATTGGTAATGAAATCAAGAAAGAGGACCAGATTTTATTCCAATATGCAACAACAGCTGCTAGAATATTAATAGCACAAAATTGGAAGTCAACTAATATCCCAACGATAAGAGATTGGCAAAGCAAATTATTTGAATACATAGAATTGGCAAAAATGACACAAAAAATTAGAGATCAGAAAGAAACAAAGTTTATTAAGGAATGGAACAAATTTATAATATATATCGAAGCAGATTTTAAAAATGTAAAGATCACAGTAGGCTCAATATAACCCTACAACGTGCAGATATTTTAAAGAGAAACTGTGGGGGGGAAATCCTTTGTTACATAACCCAAGACCGAGGTGGAGGGAAGTCAATTAGTTATATGTTGTTTTGGTCTTCTGTTGTTTTTTCCCCCCTTGTTAGTTTTGTTGTGTGTTTTGTTTTTATTTGTGATGAATTTGTTTTGTGTGTATTTGTGTGTAATAAAAATCAATAAAGAGAAATTTAAAAAAAAAAGACATTGAGGGGACGAGGCACAAAGTTTGGGGGTTGCGGGGGACAGATATAGCCTGTGAGACATGCATTAACTACCCCTGTTTTAGAGCCATTGTTAGTCAGCGCTAGACTAGACAGCCCAATGCTCTTAGGTTTATATAAGGCCAGGGTGGGAAACCTGGGGCCCTTCAGATGTTCTCAGATTCCAACTCCCATCAGCCCTTTCTAGAATGGCCAGTGCTCATGGATGATAGGAGCTGGAGTCTGACGACAGCTGAAGGGCCACAGCTTCCCACCCCTGCCTTAAATGACATCATTCCTGACCCTACAAGACATCATCATATAAACCTACAGGGCCAAGATTTGTGTTATTGCTGTAGGAAAATTAAAAAATCTATCTGCTTATTAACTAGATTGCAATTGTTATTTTGTGGCTGAATGATTAGGGCAACATCCAAAACTACTCAAAAAGTACCAAAGGCAGAAAGTGTTTAGGTACGGAATACATTATCTTTGAAGCAGAGGATTGAGTCTGTTGATCTCCCTTCTACAGAGAGTCGAACACAGTGGAGTCCATGTTTTTCTCGCTAGTCAATACTCCCTACATCTGTGTTTCTGCCCCAACCCTTTTCCTTTCCGACGTATTGCTGCTTCTGTTGTAGAACACATTTCCTTTGATCCGAAGCATGAGAATGCAAGGTATTAGGAAAGCAATTAATCCCCTTAGTTGCAAGAGAAGGATTGTGGTATTAAATGATCTGGGGCTCTTATATCTCTTACCTCATTAGTACAAAGGCTAATTAGATTTATAACAATTAGAAGCTTTACAGCATTCTGAGAATTTTTTGGGAAGGATGTAAGGTTTAGGCAGCTCACTCTATTTTGAACAGAGCAGCTTGAAGCATACTTAGAGGATGTTGGAAAATAATTGACTTAATAGGCACTTGGAAGTTTTCATTCTCTGGTTGCGACATTGTTTTGGCAGAGGCACTGTCCTGTGAATTTTGGACGTACCTCACATTGGAAATTGGCTTACCTGCAATGGGTGACTGTCATTTTCTCTTTATTGCAGTGCAGAGTATGAATTGGATCTCATCACAGCATCTCCACATGTAAAAAAGCATGGATAGCCAATGTGGAATTTTCCAGGTGTTGTTGGAAAACAACTCCCATCACCCCCTGCCATTTGTGCACCTGCACTTTTCAAATTTTATTTAAGGAAAAACAAGATCTTGAGTAGCACGGGTTGGGAAACAACAGGCCCTGGGCAACAAGAAGCCCAGCAGCCAGGGAGTTAACACGCTCCCTCCCCCTGTTTCTGCTTTCTTCTCAGTTTTAGAAACGCAATACGGGCAAAAGCAATAAAGATTAAAGCTCTAATCCTTGTTGATGACTGAAAAACCTGAAGCTTTTACAATGGTGGAATACCTAAAACTTGAAACTGGGACGTTGTTGTGATGTTTACACACATGTTGGGGGTGGGGAAGGTTAGTAAGAAATCCCTAGGCAAGGCTTTATGGATATTCTGAGCCCTTGCAACTGGAATTAGGTTGGATGACGTATACTCAGCCATGTTCTTGGGACTGCTGCTGGAAGCGTTCCAAATGGGAGAAAACGTTCGTGGTGTAGCATTTCAGACAGAGGAAGGCGGAAAAGAAACCCAAAGGTGATCGATGGAATAGGATAATGGAACATAGGAAGCTGTTTTATGCGAGGCCACACAATAGTCTAACATCAAAGTACGGTTTTCTGATCCTGGCTTGTTCCAAAGCTAGTAACCATAGTTTCCTTGTTTGGACGAAACAGGAAACTATGGTTAATTAGAGACTTCCTGGACAAATCACAGCTTCCATAAAGTAATTGTGCTTACTCGAAAGTCGTTTCATGTAAAATGTGCACCAGTCATTTCCTACCCCTCTTTTTACTGCCAATGATAACTTCCTTATTGAATGACCTCTGATAGGCTGCCAACACTTTCTTTGCCTGTTTTGTTTTAGGTGGCCCTTGCTCCTTGGTGGCTGCCTGTTAAAGGAGCTAACTGGAAGCACCCAGAGGGTCCTGATTCTAATATCTCAAACAGGTGAGCCTCAGATAGGTATTGGGTTTCAGCTGTGGTATTTAAGGCTGCTTCTCACTGGATATTTTGAATTGAGGATGTATGTACATTTCAGCAATTATGAAAGCCACATTATTTCTAATGCGGCTTTTTAAAGAGAGGTCGAGGGCTTTGCTCTGATCTTTAAAAGGAAGAGCAGCAGTTTTTGAAAGCCATTTGTACCCATAATTGATGCAGGGTGCATATACTTTGCTCATGGACATCTTCCCAGATACTGAACACTTAGTGAGAAATGGCCCTTAAGTACATCATCTTCCTGTGAGTAATGTGATCCCTAGGGTATTTGGCTTCCTGCTATTTGACCTATCTCTTTCCTTTCAGGTTTCCATGTTTTTCTTCCATTTTCCTCCCGTGAACATTGGCAGAAGCATTTATTTGCTAAAAAACAAAAACAATAAACATAAAGAAAACATTTCATTGTGTGTTATTAAGACCTTCTTTGAAAAATGGCACCATGGTGCCATGGCGAGTGAACAGCATTAACCTATTGATACGCATTGCTTTGTAGATGCACAAGGCAAGGAATTATGAGTACCATAGGATCTGTGAACCTATTTTCTGTTTATAACCTCCTCATGTTCTTTACAGAGTATTTGAGGAGGGCATGCAGGGTTTCTGATCATTTCTCCCCAATAAAGCTACCATGTTGTATCAGGGAGCACTGTAATATGGTGAAGTATTCTGGTCTGCTATGAAAACAGCAGACCAGCCTTCCTCAGCCTTGGGCTTTCCAGACCTTTTGGACCATAATTCCCATCAGCCCTGGTGTGATGGTTGGGGCTGATGGGATTTGTAGTCAAAAACATCTGGAGAATGCCAAACTGGGAAAGGTTGCAAAAAATACTTAAAAATGCATACAACTTCAGATAAAAACAGGAGATTTAAAAACAAACCCTAAGAGAAACTTTTATATTCTGATTTTATTCTGTGAACCGCCCTGAGACCTGCGGGTATAGGGCGGTATATAAATTCATTCAATCAATAAAATAAAATAAAAAGGCCACTCCTAATCCCCAGTACCAAGAACACATATTTGACATTTTTTTGGGCTGTTTGTAGAATATGTTAAAAGTTGTGTCACAGCTGTTTGGGTTCTTCATATTTGCTACTTTGAATGGTCTGCTTTTGCTCTATTATCTGAAGTTGTATGTATTTTTATATTAGTTTTTGCTTGTCAATTTTAATGTGAGCTGTTAAGCTGCCTCACAGGTACATTTTCTGTTAGACTATTTTATTAGGTTGAATCAAGTATGTAGCGAATCTCATTTATATTGTCAAAATACAAAAAGCCAAGATAGCTGGAAATGGGAGGGATGGGATGGAAGAGCAGAAAATGACCTAAAAGGCCTGAAACATTCATGGAAAGCTTTGTTCTACTTCATTTATTCTCAAAATTTATGCCTTCCCTCCTCCCTGCACCCCTTTCCATGATTATTATGTGTAACATCACAATGTGCACCCTTTATTTTTCTTACCTGAATCGCTTTGCGGAATGCTACAACAAATGAAGTGGCCTTGAGTCTGTCATTAGCATGCATTAATCAGATTCTCCCCCTCAGGGCTGGCAAAACTTGGCGTATTCTTCAAATCCTTTAAGACAAGAACCACATCACAGTAATATCATCTGATGCTTGCTCCTCAGGACAATTCCGTCACTCGCTCTCCGATGGGACGGAATGAGAATGAACTGACATCAAAAATAGTTACACCAGTTGCCAGAAGATAATTAATAATAAAAAAAAAAGAGGTCAAAATTAGTGCTAAATAACAGTTCTAGAAAGCGGCTCCCTTTCTTCCTACTGCATTCTGGAAGTTTGTCATCCTGACCTAGGACAGGTCAAAGGCATGCTATTCCAGAATAGTATTCTATAATAAGAAGGCAGTGTAAGACACTTTCTTATTATAGAGCAGTGTTCTATGATACTTTCCTTTGTAGGTTTTATAAAAACCTGAAAAAAGAAGAAGCCAAATACAGGTGAATAAAATGGGTTGCTGAATTTGAGACGTGTAGAGAGTGTTGTTTGCTAAGGGAGATTCAGACAAACTGCTTCGGCAAGACCATTATCTTATCCGGACGGCAGGAGTGAAAACTCACAACATGTAGTCTGCATGTGAGGGAGGTGTGTGTGGGGAGAATCAGAGGGGAGAGATGAATGAGCATTGCTAAATGCACTTTTGGTTACCGTTGGCTGGTCCTGTGGCATGCACACACGTCATTGCTCTCTGTGAATCAAGTTAGTGCGGCAACTCTCTGGCTTGGATTGGACGTAATGTTCCTGCTTTTCTTCTTGAAGAAAACATAATGTATTAAGCTAGAAGTGGGTGTCAGAATGCCACACATACTCCCTCTGCCCCCTCTGTGGCTTAATGTCTGTTTACTAAACCAGGATCTCAAACCACAATTTGACCATTGTTAAACAGGACTAAACAGGACATTATTAAACCACAAATCTCCATTTCGGACATCATGTAGATCTGCAGATCAGCCAGATTTGGGCCAGCGTGAGAGCACAAATGAAGGAAGTCAGGTGAGGGATGGCAGGGGGAGTGTGCACTTCTATTTCCTGGCTTAATTAACTGGTTTTATTAAGCTAGGTATATTCAACCCAAAATGATTTTTTCAATGTCCCATTCTTTTTTCTTTCTTTTTTTTTAAAGCAACTTTGGATAATGATGAGCATTCAACAAAGATTGCTTAGAACTCATTAGAGTATTGTTTGCCATATCGTTTTAGACATGTTGCGCGCACAAAATGAAAGTGGTTTCCAAAGGTCTGAATAACACTTCAAAAAAGTGCCACCATATTGATCTTTAGGTACCTGATCTCCTTTGTATTTGAGTGACTCCACTTGGCTCATATATACGCCAAAATCAGTTTTGTTACTTCCCTTGCCATTTCCACCTTCCTCGCTTTTCTGAGCCATTCTTTCTTTTTTCCTCCAGTCATCTTTGTATGTTTGTGTTGTGTTCTGTCGTTCTACCCACTTGAGCCTAATGGGAATAGTAGCAATAGGCAGGTTGCATTTGTTTAATATGCTTCGGTGGGCTCGTACATTTTTGTGTCAAGCAGTTCCATGGTTTGGTGTGACGTTCTTAGTGTTTCACTGTGTAGGACCTGTGCTGAGGTTAGTTAGCACCTCTGATGCCCTTGATCACACCGTTTTGTTTTTTGTTTGTCTTTCAGAATGGATCACCCAGTTCTTCATGTTTCTTGGAATGACGCTGTGGCATTTTGCAGTTGGGCAGGAAAACGGCTACCAACAGAGGCTGAATGGGAATATAGCTGTCGAGGGGGCCTTGAGAATAGGTTCTTTACTTTTGATCCTTTCCTTTTTGCAAGTGGAAGCAAAAACAACAAAGAAAGCCCTTTCCTATATATGCTTCCTTAAGTTGATCCTATATATCCTCCTCGGTCTTTAGGTCTTGCTAGTCTCACCTTCTAAATAGACAACATGCAACCCCCCAATAACTTAAATTGTTTAAGTTTAAATATGAGTCCTACAAATCTTGTAACTAACGAAGACTCCCCCCACCCATCACCTTGTGATGAAGGGACTTTTGATTATTCTAGCTGCTGGAAAACCTGGATGGAGAGAAGTAGCTGCCGTACTAGAAATGGCCTTTTCTATTTGATGGTAAACAGCTATATGCAGAAGCATCAACATAATAGAACTTTAATAAATGCACATGGGGATCTATGAAAAGGGGGAAGAGGAAAGGAATTGGATTGGATTGTCATTTGAGGCCCAGTCCCTTCCCATATTCCTTTAAGCTGTGAAGGGACTTCCTCATACACGTTTTAACATTTCCTAATGCCAGGGAGTGGTTAAATTCTGCCGTTTATGTTGCATGGTGGAAATTGTGACCCACAAGGCATGATGTATAAATCTCCAAACTTAATCCCATTATTGCTTCTGTTTCTTAAAGCCACTTTGTGTTTAAATCAGAAGGATAATACAGTGTCCCCTTTTTGTAAACAAGAGCGCAGCCTTAATCTCCTGTTCGTATGACTTACATTCTGCTTTGTATATCCTGTTCATCTGGACCCCCAGGATGTCAACTATATAAGAGTTCCAGATTCCCAGTTCTTGTTCCTTTTCAGAGATACGTTTTGGGTAATAGGATCAACAGTGTTGCTTTTTGATATGTTAAAATGTTGCCTTGCAAAAACTGTCACATAGGTAGAAAATGTTGGGTACATGTTTTTGACCTACTTCTTATGGATTAAAAACACTTATCTCTGTGCGTCATTGGGAGCTATAAAACTATCATTGAAATTCATAGCCACTCTTTTCTCTCATTTTTGAACCTTCTCTCATCTCCAAGCCAGAAGCAGCCTACTGTTGTCATGAATAACACTTGCCTGCGCTTTTTCCAACAGACTTTTCCCCTGGGGAAACAAGCTTCACCCAAGAGGTCGGCACTATGCTAATATCTGGCAGGGAGAATTCCCTACAAGCAACACTGGGGAAGATGGATACCAGGGAACTGCACCCGTAAGTGTGGTGGATGAAATAAACTGGAAGCATCAGTGCAAAGGTGTATAAACTTGGGAGATCATGGGAAACATAAATCAATTTCAGGCAAAGGCATAGAGTGCAATTTGGCCCTTTTCTCTTTTTTGCTGCTGAAAAGCTGATCAACAAATTCTTTCCCATGACAACTACCCCACCTGAAAATGGGGACTTTTCCATTTAAAAAATGGCCACATGCCGCACTAATCCTTAGTATGAATGCAGGAAGAGACAAAACTGGAACAAGATGAGAAGCAGGAAGTTGGTAGTCTCTCTTCCTTTCCTTTCCTTTCCTTTCCTTTCCTTTCTTTTTGTGTAGAAAAGGCATGTATTCAAGATGTAGGCTACTTGGCTCTATGAACTGATGACTGAAGCCTCATTCCTATTACATTGCAAATGAAGTTACTAACCGGTTTGTTGATGAGAAACATCCGGCTGTCTGCTTGCCCTATGCAGGGTGTCATTTTTCTTGCTACAAATCATTCCCTGGTCACAAATGTCAGGATCAGCAAGTAGACGATTGACAACTTAACAATTGTTCTTGTAAATGCAATGAGAACAAGTTGTTTCAATCCATGATGGTGATTTATGCCCATTGTCGCTTAGTAAGAAAAAATGTCAAGGATTTTGTAATTCAATTGTTTTGCTCTTCCATTGCCAAACCCACGCCTAGACATCATTCCACACCTGAATGGTGTCCTTGTTCATGACCTTGCATATTTCCTTTCTGCTTTTCTGCTGCTAACCTTCTGCCAAGGCCCAATCTGGAAATGTTGGTTTTTAGATACGCAGTTGGCAGGAAAGCAGGTAGGCAGCCTGGAACTGGTGCAGTGATTGGACCAAGATTGGCTCTCATGCTTTCGTTTGATGGCAGCGAGGCTGGCTCAGGATCCAGCAGATCCCAGGCTGGTTCAGTCCCCATTTGGGTCTTTCCTCTCACTGCCACTGATGCGATAGCTGGTTTCCAGTATCACAATACAGTGGTACCTCTGGTTAAGAACTTAATTCATTCTGGAGGTCCATTCTTAACCTGAAACTGTTCTTAACCTGAGGTACCACTTTAGCTAATGGGACCTCCTGCTGCCACTGCACCGCTATCGTATGATTTCTGTTCTGATCTTGAAGCAAAGTTCTTAACCCAAGGTACTATTTCTGGGTTAGCGGAGCCTGTAACCTGAAGCATCTGTAACCCGAGGTACCACTGTATATCACCAGCTAAACATCATGATATACTGATATATCACGTTATCTGAAATAAGATGGCGCTATTTAGAGGTATCTGAAATAAGATGGAGCTATGGTAATGTCCTGGGAACTCCTACTAAGTTATGGGTCTAAATCACCACACACTAATGAAATCATCACTTTGATCAGCAGGCAAGCCAAAATTCATCCAGACAGGATTTTGGTTTAGGGCTTGGACCAAATATATATTCAGGTCCAGGACAATCCAGAATACAGTGGTGAGTCATAGTGAATACAAATAATCTGGGAAAATATTGAACAACAACAACAGAAATCTAAATTTGATGTATATAATTATATGAAAATTAACTCATTGATAGTATGCTTCAACTAAACCATTAAAGATTTATGGATAATATATTAATGTTCTTTGCAGTTTCAGGGGCAAATTTAAAATTTACAGAAGTAGTAGATTTAGTAAAAATATTAGTTTAACATGCATATGATTTTCTACCAATTTAAGAGTAATATCAGTAATTTACTAGTGTCTCCTTCCCCACTCAGAGGGTGAACTGCAGTTCTATGCATGAGTAAGCCCCACTCAGTTCAACTAAACTTACTTCTACTTTCCTGGGAGTAAGCACCATTGAATTCAGTAGAGCTTGCTTCTGAGCAGACACGCATTTGCTTGCACTGCTTAAAGATAAGCACCCACCCTCCTCATCATTCTCACCTCACAACAACCTTCCAATCTCCCATTTCAGCATAAGGCAGCAACTGTTAAATCTTGCCTCCTCCATTCCCCCCACCCACAGAGGGGCCCCCCAAAGCCCCCATCCCACCAATCTCTCTCTTTTTATCAAAGGAAAGGAGGAAGGGCAAGCAAGCAATGAGATAATATTTTTGTTAACTTCCTTTTTTATATGAGGGAAGCTATTTAAGGCGAACCAACAATGTCTTACACAGCAGCTTGGTTTTTTGTTCTTACTTTTACACGGGGGAAAGGGGCTCCATCAAAGCCTCCGATGGTAGTAAAAGGCTTCAGGGAGGGCAGAGAAAGGCTTCTCTCTCACTCTCGTACACACACAGACAGAAGGGGAGACGGGAATATACAGAGCTTTAAATAACAGGGCAACTTGGTTTCTTGTCCTTTTACACGGGAGTGGTGGGAAGGCATCAGGGAGGGGAGACGCTTAGCACATGCACTCACACACAAACACAGGCAGAAGGGGAGATGGGAGTAAAGAAAAAGAGCTAAGTAACAGGGCAATGTTTTTTGTTTTGACTCTGAAGAAAGCAACCCCAGTTTCTTCTGGAAGGGGTAAGGCTCAGACCAGCATCTTTGTAAACCATACCTACAGACCTGTCACACAGGCTACTAGCCTGCTGAGCCAGGGCTTGCTTCAAAATTGAAAGAAGTATGTTGTGAGGGTGGATAAGTTCTGCTGCTGGTTGGCTGCTGCTTTCCCAGCTCCTTTCATAATCATCACCTGCTTTTGCAGAGGCAGGGGAGCTGAGCTGGGGCTCATTGCAGAATCAAAAAGTGACGGCTGCCATGCCTGCTCTTGTGAGTCGCTCGCTGCAGGAGGCAGAGGAAGCACTAAGAAGCACTGGCCGGCTGCACAGTTTTTCTCAAAATCGCAGTGTTTGCCAGATAACATTTTATGAAACCGTTATCATGCTATGGACTGCACAACTGATTTTGAACGATATATTGAAAAATCGCCCAGGTCTGGAGGAGACGCTTGCCCACACATTTGGCAAGTAGAAGAGAGAGCTCTGCACCAGCAGAGTGCCACTGGTGCCACTGGTGCCACTGATAAGGTGCCAATAAAGCCCAGTAGGGCTAGCTGGAGGGACAGCTTTCCCCAGTCACCCCACCTTGCCCAGCGGATGGTGGGTTTGGATAGCTCTGCCCATTAATGACTAATGTGATATATACAGATAGGTGAAATGGCCAGTGAGGTATGAGGTCTTCAAACAGGGACCAGATTTATTTATCTTCTGGATCAGGGGAGAAATAAAATGAAAAGTGGAAAATAAAAACAACAATATTGTATTGGCTTGTGTACCTCTCTGTTCTCCAATACCCTTTGTTCTTTTTCTTTTCTTGGCAGGTAACATCATTCCCGCCTAATGGTTATGGCTTGTACAACATTGTGGGAAATGCCTGGGAGTGGACCTCGGATTGGTGGGGTGTTAGGCATTCTGCAGATGAAACATACAATCCGGTGAGCATTTTGTTACTGATAAGCATATCAGAAGGCACTCATCTGTTGCTTTGCTCCTTCTCCAATTATATCTCTGCATGTGACAGTGCAGGTCCTGCTCCGGTGTAAAGCCTTGTAAAACAATGCTGGATTGTAAACAGACACGTGCCATGTAACAGTTCCATGTCTGTAACTAAAGGTGGAATGGAAAATTCCCAACAGCTTGCACCTAATACAATGGCGGTGTCTACACTAGGAGCCCCAGGATCTTTTCCACAGCCACCCACTCCATCTGTAATTTGCTTTGGGACCCAACTCAGGGTGCTAGAATTGACCTTTAAAGCCTTTTATTAATTTACATTCGTAGCCCTGAGGTTGTGGAATGGTTTTCCAGAAGGTTGCTCACTTCACTCTTATTTTTTAGAAAGAAAGGTGAAACCTGCTGCAGTCAAATAACAATCATACATGTGCCTTCTTTTTAAAGATTGCACACACACACACACACACACACACACACACACCTTTATCACTTGTCTGCCTGCATTTATGTTTGAGTTGGCACAAAACGGCTCTGTTGAATTGTCCTATCTTTGCAGCCTCAGGTTTGAGTGTCTCTAGGTGATTTCTTTTCAGTGAGTCAGATTATTAGCCTAATACTCTGATTGACAATCTCAGCCAGCATGGCCAATGGTCATGGGGGATGGGTGGGAGGTGTCATTTCTAAGGCAGTGGTGAGGAACCTGTGGTCTTCAAAAGGTTGTTTGAGGACCACAGGTTCCCCATCACTGCCTTAGGAAACGAGTCAGGACCCACCAGTTAAAGACCAGTGGTACCATAGATAGTGAGAAAAGGACCAGGGAAACAAGCAGTCAGATCCTTGCCCACCTGCATGCTGGACTGAATGACCTTGGCATACATTTCATTGTCTCTGTCTCTGTCTCTCTCTCTCTGCCTAATCTACCTTATATGGTGGTTTTGAGGACAAAGGGCGCTTTTTGTATGCTTCGTTATAAGCAGCTTCACAAACCTTGGATGAGAAATGTGGTATAAATACCAACCTGCTGTCTGTACTCCTGCATGAAATCTCTGACAGAATTAAAATTTGACAGATGACTATCTGGGGCGTGAAGCTTTCAGCAGTGAAGGTGTTGGGAAAACTGTTCCGAGTGCAGCACATCCTTGTCATGTTTCACCTCTAGAGATCACGGTGCGTTAAAAAGTCAGCAAGCTCAAATATAGCTGCATAGAAGGTCACACAGGGACTCCTATACACCTGGAGTGGGCAGCCTTTTTCAACCTGAGGGCCATCTTCTTTGCTGGGCAAGTTTCCCAGGGCCACATGCCAATGGTGGATAGCAAGGGCAAACCAGGAGGGCAGGGAGGTGTCTACACAAACCCACATCTGTATTGAGCAAAAGTAGCCAAGGTGTTGCCGTCCAAATATTGTTGGACTACAACTATGGACTACAGCTGTGCTGGCTGTGGCCGATAGGAGTTGGAGTCCAACAAAATCTAGGGGGTACCACCTTGGCAGCCCCTGATGTAGAGAGTCTCCCATTCTTCCTTTGTACTGTTTTGTTTGATATGCAGACATTGGATTGAAATATATATGCAGTCCCATATTATTCAACATGGCTGTTGCATTAGACGCCTATCTTTGTTGTTGATACACCCATGTCCTATTAATGCTATGGAATTATCTGAAAAAAGCACCATTTTTGAATACTTTTGAAGATCCTCATCACCTCAACTTGGGTTTGTGGCTGCTTTACCTCCCTGCAGCTCTGAGCTGCATTGTTTGCCTGAGCCCAGTGTTAGGGGTGGAACACCAGCGGAGCAGTAGCTAGGAAAGCAGGTAGCCTCCAAACGTGGATTCCCATCAGCCCTCCTCCAGCATGGTCAGTGGTCAAGGATGATAGGAGTTGCAGTCTACCAACATTTGAAGGGCACTCCACCTTGGCTAGTCCTGCAGTAAAGAGTGGATGTGGCAGCTGTCTGGGTTTATTTCCTTCTTGCAAAGGTGTTACACTGCAGAGATGTCTTTCAAAGTGAATGATGGTCCAGTCTGGAGACAAAGCAGAGAACAAGCATCTGTAGAAGCATCCAAGGGGAAAAGAATGTTAAAACAGCTGTATAGAACACATCCCTTATTCCTGATGTGTTTCAGAGTCAACTCTCTTTTCTCCCCCAGGGTTAAGGTTTTAACAAGTTCACTCATGAAAACAGTCTGAATCCCCACAGACTGGAGCCTTATATGCTTCTTTGAATTTGAGGCAATTAGAATCTGCTTATCTCTGAAAATATATCTGAAGTTGCCAGCCTGTTTCATTTATCTGCTTAAGAGCGGTTTTGAAGAAATTTGCAGATTCTAGACACGTTGACTTAACCAAACATAAAAAAATGAAAACTTCGGGCTCTGTGAGATGGACTAGCTGATTTTCCAGTTATCTCTCATGAGTGAATTTTTCATTTGTCAAGAGTTGCTCTTGAAGCACATTGGGGATGGAGGGCGGCATCCCTCCTCACCCTTCCTATCATGGGGGGTCTGTCTGTCCTTGGGGTTGTTGTTTCCTCTGAGGGCGAGTTTTAAAGACTCTACATTGCCTTCATGCCCTGAGCATAGGCTTCCCAAGAGCCATCTGGTTGGCCTCTGTGGGAAACAGGATGCAAAACTAGATAGGCTTTATCTAGCTGAGCTGGTGCTCAAAATGGTTTTTTTCTTGCAAAGGAACAGGAGCCTGTCATGCCATGTTCCTCTTCAACGTGTGAAGATTCTGCAGATCTGCTAGTTTGGAACAGGAACTTTTAATTAGCCACTGAATCGGAAAACGCAAGCAAAGCTTGATGCTCAGACCTACAAAACACTATTGCCGTAAAGTAGTAAACACAAATTCTCCGGGTGGCCTAAATAATCAAGAATTCTTCATTACTCTAATTAAGATTTCCATCAGGCCGCGTCTTTGTTTTTGTAAGGCTTTCTGTTTTCATGCTGGGGTCAAGGCATCAGAGCTTGAGGAATGGAAGAAGTTGGGCTCTTGAGCACCATCCTGAACAGTAGCTTTTTCTGTCTTTTTTCTCTTTTCATTTTGGTGCAAGGCTGCTGCGGCACAGACCGGGAGCACACAGCTGTGTAAATACAGGCATATCTTTCCAAATTTAATGCACATCTCCCACTTTCAAAGACTTTCTTCTTTTTATTTTTCTTCCTAACATCCCCCTTGTGATTCCTTCTGCTTCCCACCACCCCATGCTGGTTTTCTCCTCATGACACTGGGCCAGTAGGCAGCCCTGGAGTATGGTATTAGAGCAAGGCGCATGGGATTAGGGCCTTTGGCTAGAGCAACATCTCTCTCATTTTGTGCTGTGGAGGAGATTTACATCCTTATTTTTATTTTTTTGTCCAAGTTATCAGTTTAGGACAGATTGAAGGAGCCAATTATGTTTAGCCTTGAAGAGATTACTATTAATGAGAGATAAGATAGTTGTTGTCAGATACTGAGCTGTGACCTCCTAGATGATGCAGCAAATTATGTTTTCTGCTGCTCTAGAGGATAGGACCCTGAATAAATGAGTTCACATGATGAGAAAGGATAACTTTTGACTAAACATTTGGAACAACTCTTATTTTTTTTATTAATAAAGTTTTTTATTTATACAACAAGAAAAACAACAACAACAAAACCCAAATACCAAATTACACACAAATTACAAAAATAACCATAGACACATAATTTTCTTAGCAAACAATAAAACATCTAATGGTCTTAACACTAAAGACCCAACTTCCCGTCTATTCCATATTTCAAATTCATATTACTTATTGCCAATACACATTTTTTTCATAATTAAACTTATTCTCAATAAATCTAATTTCTTATATCTACCTTGCAACTACTACTGAAGTTCCTCGAATGCTGCAGCAGAATTTAAACACTATATTTATTTTTCAGATATTCTTTGAAAACCTCCCATTTAGAAACAAATTCCTGTTTTGATTTATTCTTTATTTTTTCTGATAAACCATCTAATTTGGCATATTCTGTCACCTTTTGGATCCAATCATGGCTAGAGCAACATCTCTCTCACTTTCTGCTGTGGAGGAGATTTACATCCTTATTTTTATTTTTTTTGTCCAAGTTATCAGTTTAGGACAGGTTGAAGGAGCCAATTATGTTTAGCCTTGAAGAGATTACTATTAATGAGAGATAAGATAGTTGTTGTCAAATACTGAGCTGTGACCTAGATGATGCAGCAAATTATGTTTTCTGCTGCTCTAGAGGGTAGGACCCTGAATAAATGAGTTCACATGATGAGAAAGGATAACTTTTGACTAAACATTTGGAACAACTCTTAATGGCACAAGCTGCTTGGCAATGATGCAGACTGCCTCAGAAGGTGGTGCAATCTTCTTTGTTTGAGTTAGTTTTTCAAGTAGAGGCTGAATGGCCACCTATGCGAGATTCCATAGTCTCCTCCTCCTCCTCCTCCTCCTCCTCCTCCTCCTCTTCTTCTTCTTCGGCAATCACTCATAGCCGAGTAAGATTGTCTTCCATAAACACGGTTTTAACAATGAGTCTGTAAGTGACTGCAGAGGCCAATTCTGGACCCACACGTCCTTCCACAGTGGGGACATTGGTTCCCGGGTGGGAGTTGATCACGGTGTGGATTTGCCAAGTGTGCCTTCCTCTTAGCACATTTCTCCTTTGTGTTCTGAGTTTGAGTGTCTTCAAAGTCCATGACAACTTCCTTGGCAGGGAGTGGACTAGACCAGTGGTTCCAAATGCCAACAGAACTTTCAGATTTTCAGCTTTGATTCCCCTTCTCCAGGTTTTCTGAACACTCTCTCTTTCTCTCCCTCTCTTTCCCCATCCCTTGCAAATGAGACGCAGCTCTTTCTTTAGAAGGGAGCCATAGTACTAACTGTGAAGGGCCACCTCCACTGTAGTAACTTTAGCTCTCTTTGGGATCATACAGTTGCAGAACCTCACAGGGGTTGCAGCTGTCACTTTACCAGGGAGGAGGAAAAGGGAGAAGGGGATGGACGGACGAACGGATGGATGTGGATGCCTGTGCAAGGAAAACCCATTCACTTCTCTTTCCTGCTCCTCATACCCACTCATACAGAAACAGTGAGAGCCACTCTACCTGACGCACACGCAGCCAACTAGTTGCCCCATTCCCCTTTTCAAACGATGGGTCAGCTGCTCCCCCAGGCAGTTGGGGCACCCTTGCCCAACTCTGAGCCACCCATTTTCCCCTTGAGGGGAAGGACAACAGGAAACATCTGGCAATCTCAATGGGATAGCCTTTGTCTCTTCTCCTTGAGGGGAAAATGAGCTGAGGGGCGCTAGTTGCAAAGCTTTGCAGACCCGCTGGGATAGCTCCAAGGACCCTAGGTTATTTCTTTAGGAGTTTAGTATTTTGACATGGCATTGTTTCAGTATCTGGTATTTCCTGATCATGCTTGCTAACAGAGTTGTGAATGAAACAGCATAGCTACTGTGAATTATCAGTAGCAAACCAAGCCATTTTTCCTGATAGTTCCAGTGGAGCGAGGGCTGGTTAACAGTACCGTTGTATGTGAGAAAAAGGAAGGACTTGAATGACTGTCTCCTCCTGTTTTGTCAACTATAACTTATCAGCTTGCAGAGAAGCAGCCAAGCATGAATGTGATAAATGAACCGTGCTTCTTAACCTAGAGATGGCTTTTAATTCCATCCCTTTTCAGCTCTTGGAAATGCATGGTTGCTGGGCAGAACTGTACGCAGTTCAGCACTGAGAGGCTAAATTAGCTTTGTGGCGCCACAGCAAGTTAGAGCTCTCCATTTTTATATGTGGACAGTTACAGATTGGTGTTTTGAAATGCATTTTGGATTGTTTCATAAGTGTTAGCAGATGGGGGACAGTTTAAATGTTTAAAGAAGCACTTGTAAAACAAGCTTTTATGGGTGCTATATTGAGACTTGCTTTCCCTTGAATCTGTCTTTGCATATTCCACCTCAACCAGTTTCCAGGCTTAGTAGGGACCTTTCCTGGTCCATGGAGGGAAGCAGGCTTCCAGGTTGAGTACAGTGGTACCTCGGGTTAAGAACTTAATTTGTTCTGGAGGTCCGTTCTTAACCTGAAACTGTTCTTAACCTGAGGTACCACTTTAGCTAATGGGGCCTCCCACTGCCACGCTATTTCTGTTCTCATCCTGAAGCAAAGTTCTTAACCTGAGGTACTATTTCTGGGTTAGTGGAGTCTGTAACCTGAAGCATATGTAACCTGAAGAGTCTGTAACCTGAGGTACCACTGTACCACCTTCTGGCCTGAAGACTTTCCCCTCAGTTTTCCTTCTTGGGTCTAGGCCTCAGGGATGGACCTAGGTTCTGAATGGAAGGGATACAATGTCCACAGAAACCAGGGCTGCATGCACACCATACATTTAAAGCATATTTTCAGCAAACACCTTTCCTCCAAAGAATCCTGGGAACTGTAGTTTATGCCTCACAGAGCTAAAATTCCCAGCCTCCTTAATAGACAAAGTTCCCAGATTCTTTGAGAGAGTTTTAATTGTGCTTTAAATACATGGTGTGCTCACATACAAGATGCACTGTGACCAGCAAAGAAGCTGAGCAGATGCAGGGCTGTAGTCTGCCAGCAAGGGCCACAGCCTGCCTAATTTCTGTAGTAAACATACTTATTGGCCTTATTCGCTGGGAGTCACAAGTGGGTAGAGCGCTGTTGCACTCAGGTCCTGCTTGCAAGCATCCTTGGGGATTCTGGTTAGCCATTGTGAGAAAAAGATGCTGGACTAGATGGACCATTGGCCTGAGCCAGCCAGCTCCTCTTATGTTCTTAATGGGATCCCTCCCTCAAAGCAAGCCAACCAGAGTGCCAGGCATCTGTCCACCCAGCCACCCTTGGAATCGTGGGTAGAATTATTCCCAAGAGGGGGAATAATTCCCGTATAGCCTTGCTATATATTTTGGGGAGCTCTCCCTCTTGGATGATGTATGCTTATTGCCACCTGAGCTTTGAATCAGTTTCTGGGTTACCAGAAGGAGGAATAAAATTCTATCAATAAAATATAAAATAAAACTCTACCTTTCTTTTGTCTCTTCCTACAATAGCCAACATCTGTCTATCCCTAAATCTGTAGTAGATGACCTGATGGATTTGCCTGCCTTGGTTACTGCATCTCTCTTTCCCTGGCCTTCCTTGTTCTCATCTCTGCTGCCACAATTAGCCATCATTCATTGGTTTCCTTCACTCGGTGCACTTCCACACAGCAGTTTTGTTTGGGGCTTGGCGTAGCACATGCATGCAAGTTTTGTGCAATGTCCACGAAGCACCATCCTCATCGATGTGCCATCTCACATCATTTCCCCATTTAATCCAGGTTTACCATTTCCATAAGAAAATCTGATTTGGAAAAAAAGCAAAACTACACCCCCCCCCAAAAAAAATTGGACAGAGGAGTGGGATGGCATTTTCAGTCCCCTCCTCCTCCTCCTTCTTTTTCTTTAATAAATTATACCTCACTTTTCACCAAAAATAAAATAACCCAGCCAGAGTAAATTGCCCGTGGAATTTTTCAATCCAGCTTTCCTATCTGGGATAAATTCTTTGTGTTTACTCAACAAAACTCATCCTTCATTTTCCTTACCTGCCCAACCTTTTGTTTCTTATCTTTTTACTCTTTCTTCATCCAAGAATCTTTCTAACTCTCAAAAGTGTTTCAACTCAACTTAGGTATCTATTTTCAGCTCTTCCCTTAGAGTGCACCTTATCCCCCCACCCCCAATTTAGTCTCTCCATGGTTCTTTTCTCCCAGGATTATTGCAGAGCCGTACTGTACTTGTAACGTGTGTGTTAACTTCTGTCCCTCCAGTGTTGGTCTCTGTCCTCTGAGCTAAATTGTAAGCCACTTTCAGGCAGGGAACTATTTTTAAGTCTGTGCTTGTACAGCGGCAAGCTGGCACTTAATAATTGGAAGTAATTAATAACAGTGCATGCATAATGACATATAATCAGAAGGTCTTCGGGAGGTGTCAAATAGGGCCCTTAGTTTGTCTCTTTCATATCAGCCAGGCTGATTTTCAGGCTTTCGTTATGACTGAAGGCAAGCAAGCAGCAAGATGCAAGCACAAGTAAATATTAGCTTTTCATGACCTTAACCTGCATATAAACTTAGGTGGGAACTTGACTCAGTGCTTGTTGTAAAAATAATATACTACACATATGGCATGCTGAGGCCTCTATATAGGACCAGTCCAGTGATGGGGGTGCCTGCTGGATCTGTTGGATCACATTGCAGTTCTGAAGCAGTCCTGCTTCCGAGTCTTCAGTGATTTCTAGTTTTGGTGGAAATTTTAGTAAATATTGTAAAATAAAATCTGCATAAAAGAATAACAAAGGGGGGGGAATCGCTCTTTTTTAAAAAAAAGAAAGGCCAATTCAGTTCAAGGATTGTTTATCTAAATGACTCTGTCAGGGTTCCTTGCAAATTATATTTCAGAAACAGCTTGTTTACTCAGGTTCCTTTTAACTACAGGCAGATCATCCTGATATGAATGACTGATATGAAGCCCATCTGTCGTCGCAATTTAAACAAAAACCAGCAGAAAAACAAATAACCGTATTTTTCGCCCCATAGGATGCACCGCCCTATAGGACGCACCTAGTTTTTTTTGGGGGGGGGAATAAAGAAAAAAATTTATTTCCCCCCCCCCCAGGCACGGGGCTGGCGCGGGGGAAGTCCGAGCTTCCCCCGACCCCAGCCCCCAGAACAGCCTGCTATCCGCAAGCCTAGGGAGCCGCACTGGTCTCCCCAGGCTTGCGGACATCTGTGCGAAGCCCGGGCGTGCTGAAGAGGCTTCGAAATGCAGGCAGCTCTGCGCCACCCTCCGGAGGCCGGCGCGGCTTGGCGCCGGGCTCCGAAGGGTTGCGCAGAGCTGCGCGGACCCCGGGAGGGCAGGCAGCTCTGCGCGACCTTCCGGAGGCCGGCATGGCTTGGCGCCGGGCTCCGGAGGGTTGTGCAGAGCTTCCTGAAGCCTGGAGAGCGAGAGCCTCTCGCTCTCCAGGCTTCAGCGAAAGCCTGTATTCACCCCATAGGACGCACCCACATTTCCCCTTCATTTTTGGAGGGGAAAAAGTGCGTCCTATAGGGCGAAAAATACGGTACATTCTGTATTCAGGCCACTACTTTTGTGACATTGCGGATAACCTAACTGCATGTGTTGTAACTGGACTACATGTCCCATCACTCTTGACTGCTGACTGGGGCTGATGGGGGTTGTAGTCAAACAACGTCTGAAGAGTACCACATTGGCTACCCCTTCGGGTGAACTATGGTATAATGGATAGCAAGCGAAAGGAACAGTCAGGATGACAGAAGATCCAGTGATACAGCTACATAGACAAGCCTGCCCTTAATAGGCTTGCAACATGCCATCTTCATAGCCCATGCGTTGGCATTTTGAAAGCAAGCTCCAGCAAGTTTTTAAGCCACGATTTATGGTCCCATTTCTAACGACGAGCCAGATTTCATGGAAACAGAAATGAAACTGCTGCAGTCATTCTCCTGGCTATGCAGGAAGAGGAGAGGGGAATCGTGAGAATGAGATGCTAGCAGCAGCTCCTCTCATTAAACCATGATGCAGTATTACATGCAAATGTCGCCAAAGACACTAGAGGACCTGCAAGTGTTATCTGGGAGAAATGGCAGTCTTTGGAAAGGGAGAGGGGTTTTTTTTTATCAATAAGAATGGTAACAAAATAAAACAATAGCTTTGTTTTTTAAAAAAATAAATCGGTTGTGATTATTACACTCTTAAATTTAGGCGAACTTTTAAGGGCTTAGCTTAATCCTAGATTTTTCCAGAATGCGTTTTAAGATTCTGCATGGTATTTCTACACATGTATGATTGAGGGTTTTTTTATTTTTAAAAGGTAAGCCATTCCAGAATCAACCCTTAACCGTTCTTTTTAGAGTCAGGGTATGTGTGAAGAGAGAATGAGTACAGAAGCATATTTGCGGCTAAATAAATAGAGGCCAACAAGCAGAGGGAGTGGGTCTGTTAGGATGGGATATTTTCTACTTATCAGTGAATTCCCTCTACTGTAATAAACACTGTTTGTACTTGAAAGGGGATTCCATTAAGGGGATAATGTTGTGTAATGCAATAGGCAGCCTGAAGAAGGTACAGCTCAAGTGGCTCAGTAATGCGTGGCTATGTACTAATCCTATTTTGCAACAGGCAGTTTTCACTTTAATTTTTGCTTTGCTGCCAAAACACTCTTCTCTTGCATTCTCTTCATATAATTAATAGCTTTTGAGGGGGCACTTAATCCAAACAACCCCCTGCTCATTGTATCTGTACTTTAGTAGCAGAGGTTATCCTTTTATAATCCTGAGCACGTACCATATTTGTGAGAGATTGAGCCCTTTGTGGAATCAGAGACTGCAAAGCTTTTCATATCAGTTGCTCTTTTTCCACCAGCAAAAGACTGACTACCCTAAGATCGGGTCACATTCAGTATTGCTGTTGATAGACATGCTTTCTGGATTTTCAGTCACACTTTTTGTTGACGGCACAATGTTTCTACAGGGAACCCTGTTTCAGGCAGTGGTCAGGTCCTTTTCCACATTTTGTACACAGTTTGAGAGGTTCTTTAAGGCAATAGAACTCCCAGAAATTATATTAGTGGAGTTAAAAGGCACAGACCCTGAGAACTACAAGTACCTCTAGAAGGACTTTTGCCTGGCTCATATATCTCAGCAGATTGTGATTGAAACCAGTAGGATGAACCTGAAACCTTTGGTGACATTAAGAGTTGTAGCCAAATGTTAGTCGGAGTAGACACATTGGAATTAAAGGACATGGCTACCTTAGGTCCATTAATTTCATTGGGTCTACTCTGAGTACAGTGGTACCTCGGGTTACATACGCTTCAAATTACATACGCTTCAGGTTACAGACTCCGCTAACCCAGAAATAGTACCTCAGGTTAAAAACTTTGCTTCAGGATGAGAACAGAAATAGCGTGGCAGTGGGAGGCCCCATTAGCTAAAGTGGTACCTCAGGTTAAGAACAGTTTCAGGTTAAGAACAGACCTCCAGAACGAATTAAGTATTTAACCCGAGATACCACTGTATGTTGGATACAATCCTAAACTAACTCTTTTGTAGGGAACAATGAGACTATCTCCCAACCCTCCGCATATCCAGGGAAACAAACAAACAAACAAACAAACAAACAAACTGCCGTTCTTCTGAGTGGGTACAGGGGAGAAAAAGATTGGGATGTGGTAGCAGGCAGAGAATTACACAATTTGCTTTGGTTTCTGCTTACAGTGCCAAACGAAAACAAAGGAGACCCAGGTTTGAATTCTCAGTCAGCCATCAAGCTTTCTGAGTGACTTTGGGCCAGTCAGAAGGAAGGAAAGATGGGATCCAAATGTCCACTGACAGAGGCATTATGCTTCTGAATACTAGTTCGTGGAAACTACAGAAGTGGGGAATGTTTTGCTCAGGTCCTGCTTGTGGACTTCCTGTAGGCATCTGATTGGCCCCTGTGAGAATGGGATGCTGGGCTAGATAGGCTACTCGTCTGATCCAGCAGGTTCTTCTTATATAAAACACACATCGGTGTATTAATTCTTGTATATAGAGCATTTGACTGAAGGTAGGCTTGAAAGTGTGTGGGCAGTACCCTTTGAAGCAAGAATAGTGTCGTGATCCTGGCATTCTGCAGGCGATTCAGCCCAAGGATTCAGAGTGGGAAGATGGAATTGTCCTCAAGGCCAGCCCCAGGTGTGCATACCAAACCAGGAGCACCTATTCATGATGAAACCATTGTCCCAGTATCTCTCTGTCCCCTCCTCTGACTCTTAGGACTCCAGCTCAGTCTTGGTGGAACCGCAGCATGAATCATGCTCATTCCCTGCAGTTCTGAAATGAAGGACTTCATGGATGCAGTGATTCAGCAGCATCAACAAACAAAAACAGAAGCAAGACAAGCATTGATGTTCTTTCTGACTCAAGACTTTATTTTACTTTTTGTTAAGTTTTTATTTTAAAAAGCCAACTTGATGCTCCAGCTACTTGCATGTAGCTAAAGGACCTGTATGGATTTCCCAAATAATACTAGAAACAAAGGGGTGCATATTTTTTTTCCTGCCTTATTTTTTCTGCATTTTAAATGCCTATAAGTAAAAAAATGAAAAGAGAGAAGTATGTAGTTATTATTGCATAGATCCCTCTTTTCAATTTTTTTGCTTACAAGCTTTTCTTGAGATTCTTTTAGTCCTCAGACCCTGGATGCATTTAGAACACATAATAGTACTAACAATGCTAATTACTAATAATTCCAATGACATTATGAAATAACATCATACTGATCGTTTTCACCCATAAGTTTCCCAAAGTTTGTAATATTAGAAAGCTTTCTTTTACTTCTCCCTCCTTGCCATTCCCAACACCTTAGCCTGCACTGTAGAGTATGGTTCTGTTACAGTCATTGCCTTGCCAGCATCTTAAACCCTATCCCCATTTCACCATTTTGCAAATTGTTCCCAAGGGACCCTGCTATGTAGATCAGGCCAAAGGCCCATGTGTTCCATGTGTTAGAATTCCATGTGTTCTCACAGTGGCCCACCAGGTGCCTTTGGGAAGTCCTGAAGCATGACAGCACTCTCTGCCCTTGTGCTCCCCAGAAACTGGTGTTTAGAGGCATGCCACCTTTGATACTGGACGTATGAATGAATTTATTATTCCGGTCACAGACCAGTTCCAGCCCACATACAATATCAAGGAAGTCATAAAACACAATAGGGGTACATTTGAATTTGCATTTAGGTATAACAGGGACAATACAGATAAAGCAACAGTATATATATATATATATATATTTAAAACTTAGTCGTTAACATATAACCTAAAATTATCATTTAAGGCCTTAATGATTATGATAGCACAGCTCATTCACCCTTGCAAGATTCAACGTGCTGCCATCTGCCTTATTGAAGGGCAGATTTGAGGGTAAACCATACGCAGAACAAGTCTGCCCCTGCGACTTGATAGAGGTAGAAACTGTCTCTCATGCCTTGTTATGCTGCCATTTCTACGGGGATGTACGCTCGGTATTTATTACCCCTGCTATGCAAAAATCTCCAAATAAATCCGATACTGGACATAGTACACAACCATCATGGCTGCTACCCCTGAACAGCCTTACCTTCAATGTTTTTTCCCCCCACCATCCCCTTTAAAAGCTGTGTAAGATACATCTTGTGGTAGAAAATTCTATAGTATCCTGAATCTTACACCCTTCAGCTTCACTTTGATGGCTCCTGGGTTCCAGAATTATGGGAGAGGGAGGAAACTTCTGTCTATTTTCTCTACACCATGCATAATTTTATTCACCCTCTATCCTGTCCTCACCTTACTCCCCAGCTTTTAAAATCTAAAAACTCCCAAATGTTTTAATCTTTCCTCACAGAGGAGTTCTTGCAGCCCATTGGTCATTTTTGTTGGCCCTCTTTGGTACTTTTTTCAGCACACCATTTCCCCCTCAGCTCTAAAGCACTCTTTTTACACAAAGCTGTAGGTTCCCGGCATTAGTAATTTCCTTTAGACATCACCTTTTGGCAGCTGCTGGGAAGCTGCTGTTCCCCAGGGCTGCAGAGCTTTCTGAGGGTCCCAGGAGCCAAAGCGGGAAAGGGCCAGTTGTTGTTTTGTCAGATTTCCACTGCTTAAGGATTTAGTCCTTTGTGTACCTCTTCCCACTTCTATGTTGACTAGCAGAAGCCAAATAAACCAAAAAATATATGATCAGATATATTTACTAAAAGGTTTATATCCTGCAGTTTCAACTGAATCAATCTTCAAGATAGCAGTGATTTTCTTTTTTAAAACAACAACAACCCCAAACCAAAAAACAACATAATTTTACCAGTTCCTTTAATTTGCCTTGTTTATACAGGTTGTAAAGCTCAGCTATTCTTGGAGCATCATTTGGGTTACCTTGGTACAGAATGTCATTTTTTAAAAAATGGAATAGAGCACATAGCCTAGTCATAGCGCAAATGACAGAATTAAGGTAGCTCAAGATTAATTCCAGAATTAGTTGGTTATTACAGTTTCTGCCCAGTATGTTTTTGAGGTGAATGAGTCCTTTTAAACCTTAATTCTTAATTAATTAAACTCCACACAGGGTTTTGTTATCTACTGCCTGACCTGTAATCTTTATTAAATCACAAAATGCTAAAGTACGTGCACCTGGCAAATCGCAAGGGAATGATTCTTACCCAGCTATACTCTTTGAGGAATGACGTGTTTTGTCAATTCAAAATTGGGTTGATTAGCAGCTATGCAATTGTTCCTGAATAATCTCTTTCCAGGCCTTTTATTTGGTGCCTTGGCAAGCAAGGTTGTGTTGGTAGTAGAATACTGGCTTTCCAGGGCTTTGACCATTTGTGATATCTCAGAAAGCAAGTACTTTCAAAAGCAAACAAAATTTCCCCAGAGCCATGCTGTTTAAGAGCATGGGATGAGACCTGCTGGATCAGGCCAAAGACCCATCGAGTCCAGCATAGTGGGCAACCAGGCCTATGGGAAAGGGGGACCTCAGTGCAGCAATGCTCTCCTCACTTGCAATTGCCAGAAACTAGTATTCAGAGGTATACTGCCTATGTCAGTTGAGGTATGGCATAGCCATACCTCAACTCTTTGAATTTGTCTCATATTCTTTCAAAGCCATCTAACTTGGTAGCCATCGCTTGGTAGCCATTGGATGACCTTGGGGGAGCGAAATCCATAGTTTTAAGTATGTGCTGTGTGAAGATGTCTGTTCTGAATCTTCCAACACTCTGCTTCATTGGATGACCCGACTTCTAGCGATACAAAAAAAGGAGAATTCACTTTCTCTGCACCATAATTTTATAAACCTCTGCTGTGCCCCCTGTTACTCACCTTTTGTCCAAACTTAAAAGCCCCAGATATGATAACCTTTCCTCGCAGGAGCATGGTTCATTTTAGTTTTCTACCATTTTCTAGCTGTACAATATCTGTTTAATCATGTGATAGTTAACACGCGTCGTTTTTACCCGTCTAAAAGAGGGAGCGGGGCGAGATCTATATGCTTCTCAGGTCCCGAGCGATATGCTGATAGCGGCACACATTATGGGAATATGGACTACCACCAAATAGGTGAATGTATCACAGTGATGCATCTCTTAAATTGGCACAAATCTTAACGCTATATGCCATAGGAGCACAGCAAGTTGGACAGAATTCTACTAATTGTTAATACATTTTCAATCCATCATCACAATTTCTTTAGTGTCACTGAGCTCTGAGCAGCATGTTATAAACTTACCCAGGGAAACCAAAATAACATGCTTGCTGCAGACTTGACAGAAGAAAGCAGCAATTAGACACTGATGCAGTCACTGCTGCGCTTTGGCTGGAGCAATTACGCCGGACTGTCTTCTAGTCCTGAGCAATGTAATTATTTTCAAGCTTTTTCAAACCCCCCTCCCCCTCCCGCCTGCCAAGCAGCTGTAGTTTGCTTACACAAAGATTAGAACATCTATTAATTCCTTTCTACCTCTCCGTTGGGTGGTGTTTGCTCCTAGTTTTGTACAGATGATCAGTCATTGGTATTTTTCCATCCACAGAAAGGACCCCCGACCGGGACTGACCGAGTGAAGAAAGGAGGATCCTATATGTGCCACAAGGTAATGCTAAAAGGCAGTTGTCAATCTGCTGCTGTGCAATAGTCTCTTATTTTGTACACCTGAGAATTAGTGACACACAGAGAGAATTGCATCTCGTGATGCACATCTGAAAAGAAGCACTTCTGGGTGGACAAATGTGGGGGGGTGGGGTGGGGGAGATAAAACAATGAACTGTTAATTTGAATTCCCATTTATCTAAGCTGAGATAAAATATCAGTTGTCTCCTAATTTTAGCTTGACGGCAATTTAGCTGTCCCACTTTTGCATAGTTAAGACAGCAAGGAACTTTACAATCTTCCTTTTACTCCAGCGGCCAACCCACACAACTGCTGGCACAAGTGCTTCTTTAAATCGAGCTTCTACTGGGGCCTCTGCAAGTGCAACTGTGTTAAGGATATAAGGAGAACGATGCTGAATCGCAAACAAGGCCCATCTCACTCTCAGGGGTGAGGAACTGGATCTGGTGGGTGAGCCAGATCCTTATCTCCCTGCCCCAGTTTGACAACTATTTATGGCCACCTGATGTCAGTCACCTGATGTCACAAGGACGTCAGGCAACTCAGTTTTGCCTGTGCAGTAGTTTGAAGGCCTCCCTCCCCCTAAAAAACCCTCTGATTGTCAGAGTTTGCATAGCACATGGAGCTATGCAAGTTCTGGGCTTTGCAGGTGCCTCCAGCTGATCAGCGGTGTCTGCAGCTCTTAGGGCCCAGCCATGCCTGCACTTTCCTCGTACCTGATGTAGAGCAGGTAGGTGTAGCTTGGCCAAAATGGGCTTCTAGGCTAACTGGAAAAGCCTGGCCGGCTAATTAGGCCTGTGGGTTGGAGGTTCCCTACTGCTGACAAATCTAAGCCAGCCCCACAGACTCGTCTGGTGGATGGGCTTCTGGGGATGGCACTGCATTCCTTTCCCCCTCTGAGTCCTCAACCACATCCCCAGAAGAAGGAGATGATGATGAAGAAGAAGATTATTTTGGCAGGTTGATTTAGAGCTATGGTGATTGGAATAAGGTAAAGGTAAAGAGACCCCTGACAATTAGGTCCAGTAGTGGCCGACTCTGGGGTTGCGGCGCTCATCTCGCTTTATTGGCCGAGGGAGCCGGCGTACAGCTTCCAGGTCATGTGGCCAGCATGACTAAGCCGCTTCTGGTGAAGCAGAGCAGCGCACAGAAACACCTTTTCCCTCCCCCTGGAGTGGTACCTGTTTATCTACTTGCACTTGGACATGCTTTCGAACTGCTAGGTTGGCAGGAGCAGGGACCGAGCAACGGGAGCTCATCCCGTCGTGGGGATTCAAACTGCCAACCTTCTGATCGGCAAGTCCTAGGCTCTGTGGTTTAACCCACAGCACCACCTGCGCCCCTTGATTGGAATAAGAGGAGTGTACTATTGAGGGAAGAAGCTATTGGTGGGTTGTGTATATGTACCTACCACCTCTTGAAGATCCCAGGACACCTGTACTTTATTTTTTAAAACATGGTCTTACAACCAATTAGGATTCTGGCTCCTGTCACCACTACAATGCCAGGATGACAGCCGAGCGATTGGTTTTCTAATGCGGAGACTCTCAGTTGCTGAGCCTGATGATAGTGTACTTTTTAGGCCTCCAAAATCAAGGATGCTAGCTGTTTTTATAGGATAGTGAACTATATTCTGCAGGAGCTATGTAATTAAACAGAGCCCTCAGCTGACCCTACAGTAGTTCACACCCAACCTTGGGTGTTGAGATGTGTTTTAACCTAAGAGGAAACCAAGAGAAAATCTTAGCTAAATGCTTAATTTCCCTTCTTTTCTTTTTTAAAATAGCACGCTTTCTGGCCTGGAAAGTTATTGCAGGTAGGAATGTAAGCCACCTCAGCCACAAAGCTAAATTTAAGATTGTGGGATCTCCAATAATTTTTATGAAGCTAACTTTTGCTAGAGCTGGACTACTCACCTTCAAAGGAAAAAAAGAGGAGAACCTATGACCCTCAAGATTATGTAGAACTCCAAACCACATCAGTCCCAGCCAGCATGGTCAGGGATGATGGGCTCTGTAGTTCAAATATCATCTGAGGTGCCACAGGTTTCCCCTCCTTGCCTTATGGTGAAGAATTGAGTACAGAGACAAGACAAGCAGTCTACCTTTGCATTCTTCTCATCTTAAATATGAAAGTTTTGGGAGAAGTTTTTAAATGGATTGTGAAAAAGACTCATGAATATAAGAGAAGCTAATGATAAAGCAATAAATCCTACATTCTTAGCAACCAGTAATTGATATGAAACACTTCTTGCACAGCGTTGTAATAGGAAATGCATGCTTCTCCATCTCCATCATTTGGCTAATTCCAATGAACCACACAGCATAATTCTTAAAAAAACAACAACACCTAAGTCACAGCTATGACCCCAATTTTATTTATTCTAATTAAAAATTAATCTTACTGTGTTTATCTTTTCATTTGGGTGCTTTGAAAGGTCCTGTTTTAAAACACACTTTAAGATTCTCATCTGTAACCTATCCTTCATAGGAAGCTTACATTTCCTACTTTCAGATCACATGTTCCAGGTTTTATTTTGGGGTGAAATCAATGTCACACATTAATTAGCAGATTTGATTAAATTAACAGCGGCATTGCAGTTTTCTTTACAGATGAGTAATATGGCCCATTTTAGAGTCTACTGAAGATAGTGTAGTCTTTTTTCTTTTCTTTTTTTTTAAGCATGTGAAAAGTCATCTGTTATCTCAGGGTCAGAAAGCACAGTATAACGAAGCAGTGCAGAGACTAAACCTTACTTCTGGATTGTCTATCCATTTCTAGGGTTTAGACATAGGTAAGGTAACTGAGACTAAATCTGCAGGAGATTATCTGAAATAAGCCAAGAAGCTTTCTCTGAATTCTGAAAGTACCAACCTGAATTATCCCCTCCTGAGCTCATAAACTCCCAACCTCCCTTTCCTCCTATTACTTATAGTAGAATACTCTTCAAAGCCGCTTTTGTTTCAGCACGACAACTGTACAAAAGATTTCATACGCCCAGCAATAAATGTTCGAGGTCAAATGGCATAAGCTTACTTAGAGATCTTATATGCAGATTTGTTCTTTGTCTTTTGCCTGTCAGTAAACAGTGTTTGGGTGTGAAAATAAAAGAACCTATAAACAGAGAAACTGACAAAGTGTTATGATAGAAAGCAGGCATACTAACACAACACTTTTCCTTGCTGTCCAAAGATGTCTCCGCAAGTTTAACAGTTCAAAGTGACCTGCCTTTATGAAGCAATCAAAGTGATCTACCTGTAAGGAGCACCACACAAACCTTGCACTTGTATTGCCCCGTGTTTTCCCACCTTATACCTTGCCAGTCCCAAGCTTAACATTATAATATGCGGTTTGTGCCAGGATTTTAAAATTATAGCGTGCAAAAAACAGCAAAACACAAACACGATCTAGACGAAGGTTACACATTTTTAAGGGCCTATTGAACTCATTCATTGCGACTTTGTTCAGAGTAAGCATAGAATCATAGAGTTGGAAGGGATCCCAAGGGTGATCTACTTCAAGCCCTCTGCAGTGCATGAATATGATTAGGTAGCCCGTCCTGTTTGTTTCAATGTGAGGGTAAAGCACCTGCCCAATTGTGGCGGGCTGGTTTACAGTCTCTCTTCTGCCCACCAATTCATGGAGGCCCTGTGGTCTTACAGTCCTGCAGCTGCCCCCCAGTTTGTCATGGAGGAGGCACTTAAGGGAAATAGGGGAGGTGGTTTCTTGGAGGCACTGCGGGAGGCCGTTCCAGGCACAATGACAACATACCACAGCAACACAGAGATGGAAAGAGAAGTGCCCGGGGCTTGAAGTGGCAGGGTGATGCAAGTGATATCACTGCAGCAGCAGCACTAATCCAGGGCAGGGTGTGTTGGAGAAGCAGAAGCGTCCAAAGGAGAGCACAGCAACAGTGATACTGTTGAGGGGAAGCCAGATTTTGCTGGTCAGGAAAGGAAATGACCATAATACACAGAGCTTGCCTATTGAGGTTCTGGGTACAGAAATATTAAAGCTAGAAGGAAAGCAGCAGTAACCTTATGGTTACAGGCCGAGCTTCGGGAATTGTGGAATGGGGAAAGGGAAATAGATTAAGCAGTAGATGACCAGGGGCAGAGGGAGTGAAGAAAACTGGGACTGTGATGAGTTTGAGAGAAGCTTCCGGAGGGAAAGAGGATTCTCAGCATCAACAGTAGCTGAGAGGAGATATGAAATTACACTGACGTGTGTCTTGTAGCTGATGGTTGTGTTGTATATTCTGGCATGTCACTTTTAGCCCATCCTTGCTATATCAAATTAATTGAATCTCTACACTGACTGGCAATTTTTGAAATCCCAGGGCACAGCTGTATGGTCCACCCTTCCTCTTTCTTAAGTTTTCAGTCAATTAAATAAGATTCTCCTAGACATATGTCATTACCTCTCTGTTCCAGGTCATCTTAATTCAAAGGCAGTTGTTGACCCGTGAGCCGAGTTTTAATGCAGAAGGAAAATGAGTAGTCAGTGTTTATGACTGATCTCGTTTAATGGGAAAAGTCATCTTGATGTCATGCGTCCCAACAACTGCTGACTGTATCAATTTAATCAGTCACATAAGGAAATGTTTGGCTTTTCTAAATGTAGTGCTGCTCAGATAGTCAAACACGAAAAACTGAAAGCAGAACCCTCTGCCTTATTCGGTAAGTTTCTGTCTTCTGCCACAAATTAATAGGGTGGCCACAGGCAAACCAAATCCAGTTATGGATTTGCCTTACAAAGTGCATCAGGTCATTATCATTAATCACTGTCATTAAGTAAACATTTTGGGCTACAGCTCATACAGAAAGGTTGAATCTGTTTATTAAGCTATAAATCCCATTGGGGGTTACTGGCTATAGACTATGAGTGATCCAGCTGTGATCACATGTGATTATGTGCTGCAGGATTAGGCACTGGATGGCCCTTCTAATCAAGATCTCACATGATATATTGTGATAATGTGTGTACTATTTTGAAATAAGCCTCTGTTGGCAAAAAAACAAACAAACCAGTGGTCTGTTATTTGTTTTATTTTATTAGATTTGTATCCCACCCTTCCTCCCAAGAATCCCAGGACAGCAGGTCTAGTCTTTGCATCAAATGCAGGTGTGTGTGTGTGTGTGTGTGTGTGTGTGTGGCAAACACATATAAGAAATGCAGGTTTATGTCTTTCTGTGCAGGGTAATGGATAATTGGATTTTAAAATTTGCTATACTGTCACATAGCTTCTAAATAGGATCAATAGAAAGAGTTTGGCTGTATAATAGGTGGTTGAGTTTTGCCCCATGAACTAAGGTTTTCTCCCTTGTGCAACCTGTAGCCAGTGCTCACAGCTATCTATTAAAGTCCAAATTAGTTGATTTCAGTGGATCTGTACATGCTGAGCCAGCCTTGCAAATGCTTAAAGCACATACCTACAGTAGGGTTACAGATACACTTACAGGTGTGTTGGAAGTATTCTCAGATAAATACACTCCAACCTGTTGAAACTGCCAACTTTAATGTGTTTTAATAAATATGTAAATAAAATATTGGGATTTATTTCGCGTTAATGGGTTGTATCCAATGGGTGCTTTGCACTAGTGAAAAGCATTTTGCCAGTCGCTCCGACTACCTTCAGTATCATTTCCCAAACTGTTCTAGAGGGTCCCTCCAACTCTCAGCCACACATCTTTTGGATGGCTACAGTGGATTGGGGGTGAACAGGTAACAAATATTGAAACTGTGCCCTCTGTAAGCATAAGAGGGTTTTTTTCCCTAATTCAAATCCATTTGGATGCAATTTGGAAAGTTTTCAGATAATAGGGATAAGAGGCAATTGCAAGATTATGGAACGAAAATTTGTGTCCTATTAGCTGTATTAGAGGGTGTGTGTGTGTGTGTGTGTGTGTGTATATATATATATATGAATGATAGACCCCATGACCCCAGAATCTCTACTAGGTATGTGGTTGTGGACATCAGGTATGGACACCAACAGCATTTCTCTGTTACCACTTCCCCATCTCTAAATATATCACTGTATCACACAGATACTGCTGCCTTACATATCGCCGCAGCAGATATGCTAAAGGATTACAAGGGGCTGAGATCACTATGGCAACAAAATTCCTATCATTCTCTTACAGCTGCACTTCTCAAAAGATAAGGCAGGCCTCCCCAAGGAGATTGAAACGATTGCTAGGGAGGCGCAGTCCATGACAGAATAAATTTTTTTTAAAAGGGCAAAAAGTGTGGAGGAGGATTTTAAAAGAAGCTGAAGTGGAGAGAAAGGGACAATTCTTCTTAGAGGCTCATTCAAAGGTGGTAAAACATTGGCACCAAGACCCCTGACTACTAAAGGGGTTTCAGATCACGTGCCAAGAGACTCATGAAAAGCAGCCCTGGCTTGACTACGTCTTCCCACAGATGCTGCTAGGCAAGGGGAGTCATACACCTAGGAAAACGTTACAGGTTTGATAGTCTCCTATGGCAGAAGAAGTGAAGGGGTCCAATCTGTGACTACTTGAGAGTCAGGGTACTGGATGATCTGGAACCATTTCCAAAATAGAACCATAAAATTGTAGAGTTGGAGGATGTTCTTAAAGTCAGAAGGTGTTGTTTTGCTTGTTGGAAAAAGAAGAAGAAGAGTTTGGATTTGATATCCCGCTTTATCACTACCTGAAGGAGTCTCAAAGCGACTAACATTCTCCTTTCCCTTCCTCCCCCACAACAAACACTCTGTGAGGTGAGTGGGGCTGAGAGACTTCAGAGAAGTGTGACTGGCCCAAGGTCACCCAGCAGCTGCATGTGGAGGAGCGGAGATGTGAACCCGGTTCCCCAGATTACAAGTCTACCGCTCTTAACCACTACACCACACTGGCTCTCTGTTGGAGTTGAGCTCCAGTAGTATTTGCCTGAGTGAAAAAGCCATGAAATGTGAAACTGGTGCCAAGCCTTTACATCAGTATTGCACAGGAGGAAAGCTAACCATTTTTCTTCTCATCCTAAAGAGGCAGGCTGTCAAGACCATCCCTTTAGCAGACGGGCTAATTTATCTAGTTTATGATTTTTCGTTTTGGGCAGGCACCAATTTTTTTTTGGGGGAGGGCACATGTTCCTTGTTGCTAATATAGGATCTCCCCAGTGCAGAGCTACTTTGCCATGTTCAGCTAATGAATTGGCACACTTGAATTGACACCCGTGGTAATGTCGCTATTGTCCCTCTCAGTCCTACTGCTATAGGTATCGATGCACAGCCCGAAGCCAAAACACCCCTGACAGCTCTGCTTCGAACCTGGGGTTCCGCTGCGCAGCTGACACTCTGCCTGACTACTTAAAGTGACAAAGGCTGGCTGGCAGCTGTGGAGGACTGAAAGATCTCACCCGAGGCGAGAAGCGCTTAAGGAAGAGAAGGACCGTGGCTCAGTGAAGGATGTCTTGCTTGGAAAGATGAAAACTGAAATGCTGAACTTTCTGCTTTAATGAACCTTGGCGGGAGGGGGGAAACAGGCTGGATTTCCATTTGTGTTTCCGGAAATCTAGCACTGATGTATGGAGTAATAACTTTGATTGTTTTACGTCTGAGAAGTGAGAAGAATTACGGCCATGAATTGAGGGGGTTCTCTCTTAATAAGGAAAAGTAATGTTTAGAAGCAATTGGCTTCAACTAGGAGATGGATTTACAAAAGCAGGAAGTGAAATGCTGCTTTATTTCTTTTAATAATTCAGTGTGTGGCTTCCAAGTGGCCCCCCAATACCAGATATGGCCTCCAGTGGCCAACTTCCTGCAATATTGGAATCAACTTTTGTTTAAATAGCTTCATGGATTACAGTCCTAAATATGCAGGCATCAGTGTATACAGTTTTAATTAGTTGCAAATATGTTTTCATAGAGTGTGTAGAATCCTTATAGGGGCTACAAATGACCCAAATTAGAAAAATGTGCACAAACAATGCATTTAATGTTTCCAGTTTATCATTGTTGCCAAATCTATGGCACTTTCACTAAGGAATGAAACCTATATACATTTAGTTAGGAGTAATGTTGGCATTTCTGGACCAAATGTGATTGTTGGTTGAATGAAAGTGTTGGTGTATGGAATGAGGAGGGGCAGGGTGAAAATCAGAAACAGTGTACATCAGAGATGGGAAACCTGGGCTCTCTAGGTGTCTGGATATTTTCTACCAAACTGCCATTGAACTTTTGCACATCATTGACTTATACTAAGGATACTCCTTTTGCAAAAAGTTCCTTCTCTTGTCAATGGCCCTTTTAGGGGGAAAATACATAAAAAATAATGATAGGGAAAATGATGATGAAAGTAAGTTGTGAGGCTTAAATGTGCTAATATTGAGACCTAGCTATAGAATTTTGAAGCAGTTAGCTAATATCTTTGATGTCACTCGGTCTGAGAACAACTGATAAAGGTGGAAGCCAAAACGTTTTGCTGTAAGAATTTAAAATTTCTGTCTTGTTTCTAGTCACTATAAAGTGTGTGTGTGTGTGTGTGTGTGTGTGTGTGTATACACGCTAGTCTTCTGGTTGTAAATGGTTTTAACTTTTAACTTATTTTGATTCTGCATTTTATATACAGGTAGTTGTAACCTACTCAGGAACCTTATGATGGGTAAGAAATACAGTAAATCAGGCATAACCAATGAAGTGCCTTCCAGATGTTTCTGGATTATAACTCCTGACATTCATGACCATTGGCCATGGGGCTGATGGGAGTTGGAGTCATAAGCACATCTGGTGGGCACCATGTTGTTAACCCCTGAAATGCCATTACTGCTAAGGGATAGAGAACCTATGGCACTTCAGCTGTTGTTGAATTCTAATTTCTGTCATGCCTGACCATTGGCTGCTGGGGGTCCATCTGGTGGGCCACAAGTTCCCCACCTTTGACTTAAAATGTTTCTAATCATATGAATTAAGCATCTGTTAATGCTAAGCAAGCTGGTGTGCTGTAAGCTTCTCACATTTCATGATGTTGTAAAATACATGGTTTTAAATTCATTTAATTTGAGTAGCATATTCATTTTTGCCTATCTATTCTACTGTTTTCCATTCTTCTTCCAAAGAAGGATATTGTAGCTGTTTGGTGTTTTGATACAATAGAACTGGATGCCACAGAGACATTTTCACTGTAAAACCATTTAGGGTGGAGTTCTGGGTAGTAAATGTACAGATTTTGACCTTGGCAGAATAACCAACCCAAACCATCAAAGTGACATGTGTAATGGAAACTGCCAGTATTAGCTTGTATATACCTGCACATGGCGTGGCCTTGTAAATAGCACAAAACTGAGACAAACTAAGTTAATCAACAGCAAACACTTGGATAGTTTTGGCCTTGGTTTCCATGTGTAAAATGGAAGTAAGAAAAATTTTCACTGGGGTGAATGAGACAAGGATGTTAAAGTGCTAGAAGGATTAACAATCACCACAGCCTCATTCTGCCTAATGGTAGGGCCAGCCCTGTATTTGTTTTGCTGACAGTGGGGCAAGTTACAGCAAAGTGCTGGAAAACTGAAGAAGAAATAGCTTTGACTATCTGGTACCGTCTAGACTACATTGTTAGCAGAGAAGCTTATTAAGCAGATAAGAGTAGCATGAGCTTGTGTTGCAACAGATGACTTTTTGCAAGAGTGGCACTGCTTTATACCTCATATTAATCATCACTAAAGCCACCAGCTACCCACAACGACCTCTGCAAGGGCATCTTCAGATGCCAGTTTTCACAAAATGCACAGAATATGAAGCAAACCTTTACCACAAATAGACACTGAGAAATTTGTAGCAGACTTCTGTATCTAATTGTCTTGTTAAGAAAAGCATTAAGAAGTTCATGTCAGAAGTTTAGCATAGAAGTTTGAACATGTCCAGCACTCATTCCTGCTCATTCCTGCCACTATAATGCTCAGGGATTTCTTCACTATACTGGATCTCATATTGAAATCCATTGATAATTATTGAGCAGTTTCACCCATCTTCAGCTTTCTAGCAAATACATTTAAAGGTTGACAACGCAGTCAAGATTGTTGCCTGGATCAAGCAATGTGCTTTGTTTTCCATGTTTCTTTGGGCAAGAAAAGTGTTTCCCCTTTTTCTTCCTGGTCCTGCAATTTTCTTTTAAAAATACAAAATCAAAATAAATAAATCATGGCTTCTAATTAAACACTCTGTTCCCAGTTGTGATTCTTGCATTGGGCTAATGTTTTGCTTGCTTAGCTATTCAGCGTTTGTGGCATTTCCTGTCCTAAGTAATTGTTGTCAGTCCAGCTGTGAATTTAGCAAATTGCCCTGTGTTCTACTAGGGAAGAAGTGCCCAGCAAGATTTGGAGACGTGGAAAGATGGAGATGGGGATTTTGTTGTTGTGTTAGATTATGTCAGAGGGAGTTGTTTTGATCATAACGGAAAGTGCTCAGCTGTTGCATCATCCCGTAGCCTTTGATTGCACAAGTTTGCTGTCTAAAGTTATCATCAAAGGCTTTCCTGTTTGTGCTGTGGCATAACACTGCAGGAGGCAAGTTGTGTTGGGAAGTGTGCCCCAGTGCAGTTCTCCAGTTATGAACCCTGATTCGTGCGGCAGTAACTGAGAAGCCACTAGGTAAGTAGAACCTTGACTCCCATCCTTCAAGTTCATTCAGCTACACCCTGAAATCTGAGAAAACCTCTTGATCCTGTGCATGCTTACTCAGAAATAAGTCTCACTATGTTCAGTGGGGCTTGCTGTCAAGTATGAATAGGATTTCAGGATAAAATTACAATTCCTGCTTCTCCAGTGGCACAGAGTGATCCTTTGCACTACACCCCCAACCTGCAACCTGTCTCAGTTAACCCAAAACATACAGTGGTGCCTCGCAAGACGAAAAGAATCCGTTCCGCGAGTCTCTTCGTCTTGCGGGTTTTTTCGTCTTGCGAAGCAAGCCCATTAGAGGTTTAGCGGCTTAGCGCTACAGTATTAGCGGCAGCGGCTAAAGATCAGCTGATAAGCGGCAACGATCAGCTGATAAGCGGCTTAACGATCAGCTGATAAGCGGCAAAGATCAGCTGATAAGCGGCTTAGCATCAGCTGTTAAGCGGCAAAGATCAGCTGATAAGCGGCTTAGCATCAGCTGATAAGCGGCTTAAAGATCAGCTGATAAGCGGCTTAGCCATCAGCTGATAAGCGGTTTAGCGGCTTGGGAAAAAGGGGGGGGAAAGGAAAAAAACCCCGCAGGAACTTGCAAGACATTTTCGTCTTGCGAAGCAAGCACATAGGAAATTCGTTTTGCGAAGCACCTCCAAAACGGAAAACCCTTTCGTCTAGCGGGTTTTCCGTCTTGCGAGGCATTCGTCTTGCGGGGCACCACTGTATCTACAAGCTTAAAACCATTCCTTGGTCTTTCCTGCTGGTGTATCTAGCAATTACTTGTGTATGCCCATAAATAACTAAGCCGCTTCTGACGAACCAGAGCAGTGTGCGGAATTGCCATTTACCTACCTGCCGGAGCGGTACCTATTTATCTACTTGGACTTTGACATGCTTTTGAACTGCTAGGTTGGCAGGAGCTGGAACAGAACAACAGGAGCTCACCCCGCCGTGGGGATTCAAGCTGCCGACCTTCCAATCGGCAAGCCCTAGGCTCTGTGGCTTAGACCACAGATGTCTACAATGTACCAGCATAATGGCAACGATGTGGAGGGGGCACTACTGCACTATGCAAGTAATTTCCCAGTTGTGATAGCACAGATGTGGCTCAATCAGACTGTTTAATATGCAAATCATTTAGGTGTAAGAGACCCTTAAACAGGGATTCTTTTCTCACCTTGGTTCCTTTGTATGCCATGATAATGCAGATTTTCTGCCTATCTTGGGTTAGCAGGAATGATTGCTTCTGTTTCTCTCCTCCTCTGGTTGTGAGTGAGATGAGCAAACCAGGAAGCCTTGGCTTTGTAGTACATCCAAACCAGCATTCTTGGTTTGCTGCTCCTGAACAAGCCACCATCAGCAAACCAACAACAAGCCATGGCTTCTTGTGACTTGTTAAGGAGCAACAATACATGATCCCTGGTTTGTGTTAAGACATGGTTTCCTGGTTTTCTGATTCTTGACAGGGGACAATCAAAGCAGGTGTGTGTTTATGTGTGTTTATGCACAAGCAGAACCCAAGTCAATATAAGTATTTTGAAACGTCCAATCTTAGATTTAATCTAAATCTAATCTTAAATAGAATTTTATGTGCCTTTTTGTGCTTAATCCCTACAATTAGTAGAATTCAAGACTATGAAGATATATATTTTTAACAGAGCAGAATATTAATTCTTCAAATAAATCTAATTTTGAAAGATTAGTTGGGAAGTAGGGGTGCTGAAAGAAATGCAGTTGTCACTAAATCCTACTTTAGAACATTTATAGATAGTTCAAAGCATTGGTTTCCTGGTACTTTCTGCTGTTTAATATTCCACCAGTATGAAACAAAACAAAATGTTCCCTTCAAGCTCCTGACATATGGCTGAACAAATCTCTTGTATGGGACTAAAGCCTCTTGAATATATTTATTAACAAGTCTGAAAAGCCTTGCTCTTGGATCTACCCACTCATCTGTAAAATCAGAACACAAGTGAAATGGATGGCATCTGAACCAGTAGCTTGTGATTTCATGCCTGTAGAGCTATGCATTTGGTAAGCATGACATCTCTCTCTTGCTCTGGTGCCTGTCAACCGATCTTGCTTGCAATCTTGCTTTTAAAGAGGTACTGGTAATGGTAAGTATTGGGTGAGCAGAGGCGTGCAAGATAGCTGATTCTCTGGCATCCTGGAACTCCCAGCTCCGGTTTTACACAGAAAGCCTGTATTTTACATTGGAAACTGGCTTACCCTAAGGTGAATATAGGACTGCAACCTTCATCTCTTGAAAAATGGTATGTTTAATAGAATGAAACTGTAGGTAAGGAAACCAAGTTAGTCCCTCAGCATTTGTTGATCTTACAGTCAGAGAAGAGGACTCCTAGTTTGTGGCAGCACCTGGTAAGTCAGGGCTGTTCTTCAGCCTAGGGTCTACAGATGTTGATGGACTATAACTCCCATCTTCTCTGATCATTGACTAAGCTGGAAGTGGATCATGGGAGTTGTAGTCCAACATCTAGGGACCAATTAGGAGGCACAGACTGGTGGGGATGGAATGAACAAAGACACTTCATTCACCTAGATACTGCTTAGAGAATATTCTAGAAGACATTTGTCACATTTTACATCTGAGTAATGAACTTTTTGAAAATCTTCTTGTTAAGGGTAAGTAATTCATCCTTTTTTCCGTTCTGTGGTTGTTGGTGTATCCTAAGGTTGCAAACTTGCATTCTGATACAGTGGTACCTCTGGTTACGTACTTAATTTGTTCCGGAGGTCCGTTCTTAACCTGAAACTGTTCTTAACCTGAAGCACCACTTTAGGTAATGGGGCCTCCCACTGCTGCTGCACGATTTCTGTTCTCATCCTGAAGCAAAGTTCTTAACCTGAGGTAATATTTCTGGGTTAGCGGAGTCTGTAACCTGAAGCGTATGTAACCCGAGGTACCACTGTACTAAGGAAGGGGCCCAGGGCTAACTTGGCCATGAGACAGACAGCTGATGCTGGGGACCACAGCAGCTTGCCATTCTTTCCCCCTGAGCTAGCCTGCTCTACAGTTCCTGAGCTAACTAGCTGCCCTCAGGTACAATGGAGGATCACCCAGGTCACATCAGCATGCTGATCTGTTTGAATTCTGTATGTGGATTGGGCGAGGGTACCATCTTCTCCTTTGCCTCAGGCAGCAAAATATCTTGAGCTAGCCCAGCAGGGAGCAGGACTTGGCAGACTCCTGTGGCCAGTAGTGGTGCACCCTGCTGACACTTACCTGGACACGGTTGGGCCAGCAGGGTGGTGAGGTCGAGTCTATGTGGGTGAACAGGAAGGAGCAATCATTCCCCATCCCCCATATGCAGCAGTAACTCCAATAGCACCCCAAAACACACACTACTACTGCCTGTGGCTGGTGCTGGCAGCTGCGAAGGAATGAGTCCGCCCTTAGGTTCTAACATAGGGAGGAATGTACAGCAAATCAGCTGCTGCTGTAAACCTCTCTTCGTTCTAGTCTGCTACTCTAGCTATCCCCAGCTCAACAGAGCCTATGGAAAAGGCTCAAGAGAGCCTATGGAAAATGGCTATGAAAGAACCATCTGAGCAGGTAAAAAAAAACACCCCAAAGCCTTGACTAGGCCATTATTTTTTTGGTTGAGTGGCTAGCTGTGCTGATCTATGTCTATCCCTCTGGGTCGTCCTCCATGCATCTTAGAATTTATAAGCAATAAACGGCATTTCAATGCCATTTTTATTTTACCCCCTCAATAAAAAAATAAATTCTATGGAAGACGAAAGTGTAGCACTGAGGGTTGTGGAAGGTAGGGAAAATAATAATAAGATCACACTCTAGGAATAAATGAGTGGAAACATGGGTGAGGAACCAGATGTTGGAGTGCAAATCCCATAATCTATCTGTTGTCCATAAAACGGACTGATATTATTATTATTACCACCCTTCATCCGAGGATCGCAGGGGGCTTTACAATATAAAAACACAACAATACATACCATATGGGACGCAGGTGGCGCTGTGGGTTAAACCACAGAGCCTAGGACTTGCTGATCAGAAGGTCGGCGGTTCAAATCCCTGCAATGGGGTGAGCTCCCTTTGTTCGGTCCCTGCTCCTGCCAACCTAGCAGTTTGAAAGCACGTCAAAGTGCAAGTATATAAATAGGTACCACTCCGTCGGGAAGGTAAACGGCGTTTCCGTGTGCTGCTCTGGTTCACCAGAAGCAGCTTAGACATGCTGGCCACATGACCCAGAAGCTATACGCTGGCTCCCTCGGTCAATAAAGCGAGATGAGCGCCACAACCTCAGAGTCGGTCACGACTGGACCTAATGGTCAGGGGTCCCTTTACCTTTACCTTTACATACCATAGTAACAATCAAAAACCATACCCACCCCCAGTTTAAAAGGCCATAGATTGTTTAATTAGCCAAAGGCCAATAACAGTTGGAGTCTAGCAACATCTGGAGGACAACAGTTATCTAAGCATGATAAATCTTAGATCATACATGGGAAAGTGTGGGACAGTTTTGCAGCAGAGATTTGTGAGAAGGGGCTATGATTTCGTTTTGAGGCAGGGATAAGAGAGATCGCAGCTGCTTCTCATGAATCTCTGCCACAAGATTATTCCACTATTTATTTTGTATTTTCCAAATAGATTTATTATGCTTAGAGCAAACTCTAAGGTGCACCTATGTGCAAGTCTTCCAGATGGTAGAAATAGGAGCTCCACTGCACCTCTTTAACTGTTGATTCTGACTGGTGTCCATACCAGAGAAAAGATTGCTAAAAATTTGCTTAGTAGATAGAACAAAGCCAGCTCTGCATGGCCAAATCAAAACCTGGCATTAAAGGATAGTGCAGTCAATTCTTTCATATGGTTTTTCAGTAAACTATGTTCACTGATACAGGAAGTCTTCTGCAGAGCAGGAATTAAAAAGCAACAACAGCTAGATATGTATAAACAAAGTGATTTGTCATCTTTGGATACCACTAGAACTGCCCCCTGGTATACTATGTTTAAATATCAGCAGGGCCATGAAATTACTTTACTGTTTTGAAAGCTTTCAGCCCCGCTAGCTCAGATTTCATTTGATGACCTCTGCAATTTTTAGATGAAAGACACAGCTATATTCCTTACGTTTGGAAAGGAGTACGGAGGTGAGGAACTCAGGAGTGCATTGCACTATTTGTCTTGCTGCCCTGTAGTAGAATGGCAGCATTAAGGTGTCACAGCAAATCTCCAGTATTGGAGGCAGTAAGCTTCTGAATGACTGTTGGGAATCACAAGTTCTGTTGGGCTTAACAGCTGCTTCCTGCAGACAGCTGTTTGGCCAATGGGATAACAGAAAGATGGATCAGATGGGCCTTTGAACTGATATTATTATTATTATTATTATTATTATGTTTGTTTATACATACCCCAGCCACTCTGGTCGGCTTTCAACAGAACATTAAAAACAGAATAAAACTTCAAACTTTAAAAACTTCCCTAAACAGGGCTGCCTTCAGATGTCTTCTGAAAGTCAGATAGCTGTTTATCTCTTTGACATCTGATGGGAGGGCGTTCCACAGGGCGGGCCCACTACCGAGAAGGCCCTCTGCCTGGTTCCCTGTAACTTCGCTTCTCGCAGTGAGGGAACTGCCAGAAGGCCTTCAGCGCTGGACCTCAGTGTTCGGGCAGAATGATGGGGGTGGAGACGCTCCTTCAGGTATACTGGCCCGAGGCTGTTTAGGGCTTTAAAAGTCAGCACCAACACTTGGAATTGTGCTCAGAAAGAGCAGCTCTCTTTTTACACTTTTAAAAGACTGGTTCAGAAGTAAAGAAACTTTAGGAAAACTATGGTGGTTTAGAAGAGGCAATAGTGTATTCACGTCATTGCTGAGAACTAAGCCTGGAGTAAACACCACAGAAGAACTGCAGTTTTGTTACTGACTCTTAGCTGCTTAAAGCCAAAGCTCATAAAGGGGGTGTTTTTGATCTCACACTTGAATATGATGCAGAGTTACAGCTGACTCTGCTGCTGCTTTCCTTCCCTGCTCATCACACTTGCTGCGTTCATTATCTGTGAAGTACACACTGCATTGCTCATATCACTTCTTTGTTTGAAAGATCTCTTCTTCCTGCCTGTGAAGAGATCCCAAGCCAGGTACAAATAGCACAGTCAATAAAAAATGAAATCCAAACCACAACTACAAATGCTATATGAAACAAATTGCTTTGGCTCTGGTCCTGGCACAAAACCATTATTCATTTCAGTGGCAGTCATAGGTTACGCCCTTAAGCGCAAAGCAGGTGTAGTTGAGAGAACTATTTGCAGCCAAGTTGCATTTCTCCATTGGGATGCTCCCATCTACTAAGGCGCTCGTTTTTCCAGAAAAGGCAACATAATCATTAGACCTGCCTAACTGTATGTTAACTTATTTTGCTACATTGGCCTATTATCTTTGGCATATTACACACACGTTTTTGGAACGTCTTCTGGGTTTCTGCACGTTGTGGGGGTGGGAGGCTATCTGAAAAATACTTCCATCGTGCCATTCTTGATTGTGGCTGAGCAATTTGTCGGAAGATTCAGGACAGAGAGAATAAATCACTTTACACACTGCATAGTTCAGCTATGGAACTCACCCCCACAGAAGGGCCACCCTCAAACTAGGGTGGCTTTTAAAAAGGATTAGAAAGAAATCGTGGACAAGGCTAACAATGGCTAACTCCACTATTAGAAGGGGCATGCCTCTGAACACCAGTCACTTGGAATTGGCTTCCCACAGGCATCTGTTTGGTGCCTGTGAGAACAGGACAGTGGACTAAAAGGTTTGACCCAGCAAGCTCTTCTTGTGTTCTTAAAGGTATAAATGTGCACCCATACACACAATTGTAATAATTATAATAATTCTGTATCAGAAATCTAAGCAGATAAAATACTTCTGAATGCCTTTATAACAACGACGCAAGCTGTTTGTGCTTGTGGATTTTGACACAAAAAGGGAAGAGGAAAGGTTTGAAGTGTTACATTGTAAGTGAACATTCATTTTTAAAGGGGGAAGTGGTTCCTCCCCAAAAGTGGTTAATACTTGAAGTAATACAATGGACACATGTCGGTGTATAAAACGAAAAGGGAAATGTCTGACAGGGCACTGAATTTCAGACTGCTTACGTGGCGCCTCAAAAGGCAATGGTAGCAGTCATGTTATGATAAGATTAGCTAATCTTCATCTGTCCACTGTGACCCAGTTGGTTTCCCAAACTTGTCTCACAAAAAAGAAAAAAAGAAAAAAGTGTACTGGGTAAAGTAAACCTGTCACAGGCAGACCGAAAATGAGAGCAACACCCAATATCCTCAAAGAGAACAAACTTTTCTCTTTACCCCAACATCCCCCCCACCCAATTTGTTCCTTGTTTCCTCTGTATAAGCATGGAGTTAACGACTATGGAACTTTCCTTTACTAACTAGAATGCACAGCTGATCCAGAGCAGAACTCGGCTGCTGAGGAACTGTATTTTCCCAGCTAAAAAAATCTAACAATATGGAGTTGCGATGAAAATGAGATTCCTCTGCCCACCTCCACCTTCACTTCCATCCACCGAAACACGAGGTCTTTTGCGGTAATGAAGTTGTTATGAATTGCTGGTGTGGGAGTGCTTTGCTTCAGGAGTCAGCCTGGTGGTAAAAGTGGGTGGTTGGCAAGCTCATATCCCCACCCAAGCTTTTGCAGCAGAGATGCGATCAAGGGGACAGTTCAGACTTATCTTACAAAGTCAGATAGATGCCGAACTAGTTATGATGCTTGTCATTGCAAGGATTAGCATGGCTCTTGGCGGGTAAGGGCCATAGCTTAAGGTTACCAGATTTATTTCAATGAATCCAGGGACACAATCAATCAATCAATCAATCAATATTTTTTTAAAAGAGGAAAAAAGTTATTTAAAAAATAAAAAAATAATATATTCTCTTCTGTGGTCTCCTCTGTTGTGCGGCCTTCCTCTGGGTCCCTGCCTTTCTTGGAGCGCTAGCTGTGCTTCCCCCCTCCCTCCCTCCTTGCACTGTGATCCCCTACAGGCTTACTTGGGAGTAAGCATTAGCAGAACCCCCTCCTCCTACTGCTGCCCTGGGCGTCTCCTGCCCAGGCATCGCCCAGCGGCCGCCCATCCGTGCCTTGGCACGCCCAGTCAGCGGGTCCAGGGCAGAGGCAGCAGCAAGCGAGCGGGAGGAGGCGCGCTTGGGCTGGATCAGCTCTTCTCCTGCTCACCTCTCATCCGCGATGGCCAACGACGAGCTGGCCAACAAGCTGAGCCACCGCTTGCAAGTCGAGGAGCACAATGGTAAAGCTGAGCAACCGCCCAAGCACCACCCGGAGGCTGAACCGGAGCCCAAGCCAATGGCCTTGGGAAGCGGTGCTGACAGCGAGCTGAGCTCCAAGTTGCAGCAGCGCACCGAGCTCAATGACCCCGCCGACGGCACCCAGCACTGTGTCTTCAGCCCCTACTCCGAGTCCCCCTATGTGTCTTGTATGCAACACATCATATGGGGACTTCCAGCGAGGCAAAATGACGGGCACCACAGTAATGGGCAGCTCCTGAAGCTAGCCAGAGCTAACTACACTACAAGGCTGGCTCTGGGCTGCCGCTGCCATGCTTCCCGGGGACATTAGATGAAATCCGGGGACTGTCCCCAGGAAACGGGGACGTCTGGTAACGCTACCATAGCTCAGAGGCAGTGCATCTGCTTTACTTGCAGAATGGCTCCAATTTCAATCCACAGCATCTCCATGTAGAGCTGAGAGAGGTTTCCTATTTGAAACCCTGAAGAACTGCTGCCAATCAGTGTAGACAATACAGAGCCAGGTGGAGAAAGGGCCTGACTCAGTATAATGTTCCTGACAGTTTCTGGGGAAAACAGCGGAAGAGAGCTATCATCCCAGTGTCCTGCTTGGTGGCTTCCAATGATATTTGTTTGGCCTTTGTGGGAACCAGGATACTAGATGAGGGAGGCCTTTGGTCTGATCCAGCAGGGCTCATGTCTTTAAGGCTTGAAACACAGATGGTTTAAACATCATCACAGTATAATACTTTATTCATTTCTTTTTTAATGCCTTATAATAAACCGTATCTCAGTGTCAGGAATAACTAGACGTGCTAACAGATGGCTATATGGATGGGGGCGGGCGGTTGTATACAAATATATTTGTATTTTGAGTTTAGTGATCTGACATGGCCATCTCTTCCTGCCTCTGTTTATGTCCCCTATCTCTTGTTAAAGTTATTTGGTGGCTGACATCAGCCTTTAATGTATAATCTGGTGGAAGGAAGAAGTGGTAACGCAGGATACCTTCTTTGATGTTAGACATTGTTTGGAAGAACATGTGGTATTGGAAGAGGGGACTAGCTAATTAATAATCTGCACTAGCTAGTTGGGCAAGGCACGTGGGCTAGCAAGTTAGCTATCTATAAATTAGATAGTTTTGGGGCATAGTTCTGAGAAGCTCGTGCATGAACTGATGGCCAGAGGGTCGTGCAAAAACTGAAGGCTACCTGGGGGTCACTTTGCCACTTCTTGAGGGCTTCCCAGTGGCAGATTGAAGTGCTTGCTTGGTAATGTTTGCTGTTTAGAATAAAATCTTTAATCTTCTCACTCACTTGTGTTTGTATTGCTTCTGAATCTCATTAAAAGAAGCTCCTTGCATTTAGCAAGACAGGGCCACATTCAGCTTGTTGCTGCTTCCAAGTCAAACTGAAAAATTCACAAAATAGGAAAACAGGCCCCTTGGCTTTTACTGAAGGCAGGCTTGAATGATCACAGAAATAAGGCTTCATATATATGAATATTTCACTTCCTAAAAATAACTGTGCAGCAGTGCTATTGCATACAGTGATTTCCTTTCTTTGCTTAGAGAGCCGAAATTGAAGCGGTGGGAAACCATTTTTAATCATAATAATATACATTCTTGTGTATTCAACACCAGTATCAGGGTATTTGTTCTACTGGTATGCAAGGTTGGGGCACTGATTGACACATTTCCATTCTGGGAAAGGAATGTGAGATTCAAAGAAGGCAGGAAAATGGCCAAGACAGAAGCAGAGCTCTGCCTCCAGTCCCCACTGAATGAGTTATTAGAATAATCACTAGGTATAATTTATGTTGACTTGACTGCAACAGAGACAAGAAAAAGCAAGGGCAGTATGTGTTTCTGAAAACAGGACTGTAGAAGTGCAACAAAGAGAGCAAGATGGAATGGTGGGAAGACTCAGAAAATGTGATCAGTGGAGAATATCTGTTGAGGACAGTTAAACAAGTCAGTAAAAAAGGGCAGGGGGAAAAGTTGATGAGCAAGACGGTCAGTGGAAAGGGGAGTCATATACTGTGCCAGTTTATTGAGTAGAATTATTTCCTATTCTTTACTGAATGGCTGCACATTCTCACTTGTTTATGTTCAGAGTTGCTTTTGCTGCCTAAATAAAATAAAATACCTGGCTCATATACTTGATGCCTTCTGGTCCGGATGGATAATAAATCTCAACCCACACCCATGCTTTTATCAGCAAAGTAAAGGATATTTAAATATTTTGATATTATGATGGGTGTGAACTCAGTGGACTGCCTATTAGACAGTCATTTGAGATTACCAAGTCACCTCTAGGGGCAAGGGCCTGGTGATAATCCCAGGCAGATTACAAAGGTATGAGACAGCAGCTTAAGTTAAGCGGTTAACAGTATACACAGACTGTTTCATAATTTTTTTTTATATTGATAGATTTTAGGTCTGATGAGGAATCTAGTCACACTGGCATTCATTTGTTATGTCCCTAATGTTTTAACCAAAGGAGTTGGAAACCTGTGGTCATCCATGTATTGTTGGACTCATAAGCCCCAGAGAGCATGGTCAATGTTCAGGGATCATGGGAGTTGCAGTCCAGCAACCTATGGAGGGCCATAGGTTCTCCATCCATCCATTATCCTTTTATGACTAGAACAAGATATAGAAGGGGAATAACTTATTGCTGTACAATCCAAGACCAGAAAATTACTGGTTATACGTATGTACTGCTAATCACATGTACACAAAAGCAAGTTTCAATGAAATCATCATGTCCCATTTCTAGGTTTGGGTTCTGGATATAAATATGGTGAGTCATTCATTCCATAGTAATATATTTTGAAAGTTCATTAAGTCCCCAAAGGATTAGTTCAGGAAGAGAGGCCTTGATCCAGCTTTGGTTGAGTGCAATTAGTCAAATGTGACAGCTAGTAGTGGCCTGGGAAGTCACATGTTCCATGTGCATCAAAAGGTATATCCAGCCACTTCAATCAGCATTGCAATGTTAGATAGGGAAACACACCTCCATCATCTACCTATGTGGAATGCTGATTCCATGCACTGATCCCTCAACTCTGCCTTCAGATGCCTTCTACATGCTACTGGTTCTATTCTCAGAGTGTTTCTACAGCACGGCTTCTTAGGTCATCTTTGTGGAATAATGAACTATCATAAGGCAAAAAATTTGCACATAATTTGGCCCCACAATAACAGGGCTTCTTAGATACTTTCACTTGCTGCAGCTCTTCTTGATCTTTCTCAGGCGAGGAATTATGGTATCTACCTGAATAATCATATGAAAGTTCTTCATTGGCACAAATGTCACGGATGGCAAAAAGTGGCAATTTAGGTACCATTGAGTCTACTCGGACAGGGACCATAAAGAGGTTTGGTTCACAGGAATGGTTCAGGAACCTACCAACATTACCAATGTAAGTGGGATCCACAAATGTCTCCATTATCTGTCCATCGCAGAAGTGTTCTCTTACTGCTATAATGTAATTTGAATCGCTTGATGTCTGCGATTGTATCCTTCTACATGCTTCTCCGAAGCTGAGTATTTCCCCAGCGTATTCACAAACAAATCTTCCTTTGGGTATAAACTCCAGATTGCGGAGACCCCATCCTTTCTTGGCAGTCTTGAAGACTTCAAGCCGGAATTGCAAGCCCCTTTGAATCACCCTGTTTTGGCACAACTCTCCACAATGGCACATAGTGTTGCATTCAAAAACAGGCTTCGAAAAATCGAGTTCATTTCCTTCACAGTTAATGCACTGATTGTTATAGTTTTCCCCATAATGAAGGCAGGAACACGTGGAGGCAAGACAGGAAGAGGAGTGACAGCTGCAGCCATTAAGGGAGACTTCAGATGGGTCTGGTCCTCCTCCCTCTCCAGCCACATGATCTGGGCTGTACTGCAAAAGAAAACAGATCATTGTGTAGTGTCTTCTACATTAAAAACAAACCAGCCATAGCATATGATACAAATAGTGCATACTCCTATACATGTCTACTGAGAAGAAAGCACCACTGAGCTCAACAGGACTTACTTTTGGGTAAATACATATACAGCTGAATTCTCCATTCAAGGTTGCCAGTATGTTTGCTGAAATACACATCAACATATGAAATGTAAACATCCTGATGTTTACAAGCATACACAACTAAATGCTTTTCTGCATTTGCGTTTTTGATTTTGCCTTGCTCCCTAGAGGATTTCTGCAGAGATCTATTTTTACAATGCAGGTGCTAGTCCACATGGAATGGCTGAGGATGCACTAATAATTTAATTCCCTTAAAGTAGCTCATTAGCCAAAGCAAGGATAAAATTACACTGCCAAGCCCACACAAATCTCATGCTTCTAATTTTATCTGAAGGGACCAGCCATGATTCAGCGTGTTTGGGATGGCAAATAGATCCTTTAAGAACATTAGAAGAATGTGAAATAAAGTTTGCTTTATTTCTACATGACAGAATACAGAAAGGAGATGGTTGAAGTTTAATGCATTTCCTATTTAATTTTCATCAATACGTGGCTGTGATAATGTACATACTGATTTATCACAGCTTCGCTAGTTTCATTTCCCGGAAGGTGGAAGAAGCAACAAGGGGATCATCTAGCTTGGACCTGGTGCTCACCAACAGGGAGGAGTTGATTGACGAAGTGTAAGTACTGGGAACCTTGGGAGGAAGTGATCATATCCTCTTAGGTTTCATTTTCAGAGACAAAAGAAAGCTGAGTGTAGTTGGGGTAGCTAATACCGCAGAAGACAGAATCGGGATTCACTATGACCTTAACAGTTCAGAGAACTGGGCCATCGTCTCCCCATCCCTGAAATAGATGACACATATTCTGGAAGGGATTGTGTTGATGTTGAAAAGTAAAATATTTCCATAAGTCTCTTGTTTCTTTCCCCTTTCCCTGCCATATTTAATCCAAATTTAAATTTGTAATGATTTTTCACTGCAAATTGACTGGGAGGAATAAATTTCTGATGTATCATGTCTATTCCAAAATTTAAGATTATGTAATTTCAAACTATATTTCAATGAGAAAACATTTCAAAAGTTCACCCACTTTTTGTAGCATCTCATGTTGACGACTGATGTAAGAATATTTTTATTTGGTACACAGTGTACACACGTATTGGAAAAACATGTCATTGCAACCCTTTTAAAATCAATTTATAATAAGGTCAGCATTCATACAAACAACACATCTAATATTAACAAACTTTAAAATCAAACAGCAACAGGAAATCTAAACATTTGCCTGTGAATTACGTTTTCAAAGAACACTAATATAATTTAAGCAATAAGATGGAACGGTTTTGCCAAAGATAAGAGTGACATCTCATGGATGTAACTGATAGTGCAGGGTCATTTAGCACTCACTGGAGGAAGCAAAGGAAACCTGCCTGCTTTTCCACGTAATGATGGGCTGGTGTCTGGAAGGGTTCCAGCGGCTTGAGCATACGCACAAGAGCTAGAAATTGACCTGGAGGTAATAGCAGTGCAAATACCTTCAACTTTTGAACTCCTGCCTTAACAGGAGGATTAAAGTTATAGGAGACCTGCCAGAAGACAATGGCATCTATACTTTCAAAAGACAGGGGAGATTGCAATACAGTGGTACCTCAGGTTAAGAACTTAATTCGTTCTGGAGGTCCGTTCTTAACCTGAAACTGTTCTTAACCTGAGGTACCACTTTAGCTAATGGGGCCTCCTGCTGCCACTGCTGCGCGATTTCTGTTCTCATCCTGAAGCAAAGTTCTTAACCCGAGGTACTATTTCTGGGTTAGCGAAGTCTGTAACCTGAAGTGTTTGTAACCCGAGGTACCACTGTACCAAAGTGAATTAAACTTACATCACTCAGGCCTACTTAGAATCATAGAATGGCAGAGTTGGAAGGGACTACGAAGGTCAAGTCCAACTCCCTGCGATGCAGGAATCTTTCTAACTGGGACCGATTGGATAGCTCAGTTAAGAGTGTGGTGTTGATAACACCAAGGTTGCAGGTTCTATTCCCATATGGGACAGCTGCATATTCCTGCATTGAAGGTGGTTGAGCTAGATGATTATCAGGGTCCCTTCCAACTTTACCATTCTATGATTCTATAATATGTTTAGGACTAAGGTGGAATAGTATTCCAAGTAAAACAAATTTTGACTTCACACTTGACTTTAGAGAGACCACAGGAAGTGGACACCTTGCTGAAGGCAGGTCTGGGTCTGCTAAGGGCCTGGGTGGGAAACCAAGCAGTGCCCCCCCCCCAATACACACTGCCTTGAGTTCCATGGTGGAAGAAAAGCAAGTTATAAATGTGCTAACTAAATATATGTGTGGTGTAGTAGTTCGAGCACTCGACTAGGACTTGGAAGACCAAGGTTCAAACCCCTGCTCACCCGCAAAGTTACCCGGGTGACCTCTCTGTCTCTGCCTAACTCACTTTGCAAGTTATAGGTAGGTAGCTGTTGGTCTGCCATAGTCAAAACAAAACAAAACAAAAAAATTCCTTCCAGTAGCACCTTAGAGACCAACTAGGTTTGTTACTGGTATGAGCTTTCGTGTGCATGCACACTTCTTCAGATACACTGCAACAGAAGCTCATTGAAGCTCATACCAATAACAAACTTAGTTGGTCCCCAAGGTGCTACTGGAAGGATTTATTATTATTATTATTATTTTGTTTCACATTGCAAGGTTGTTGTGGGGGATTAAATGGGGAGGGTGGATGGGAGAGCACAAGAGCTATGTGAGCCACCTTGAGCTTGTTTGGAGGTGGGGGGAAAGAGGGCATGCAAATGCAATAAACCAATTAAATGAAATTGCACGAAACTATTCTTGCAGTGATGGGTGATATATTACGTGGGCTTCAGTCCCAAACATTGCAGGTACAACACCCGTACATGCGCAGCCCAATCCTATGCAACACTTCCGAGTACATCTGTGTAAGTGAATAATAATAATCAGTGCTTTTTTTCTGGGGGGGAAGCATACCCCTAAACATTTTTTTTAGAAAAAAGCACTAATAATAATAATAATAATAATAATATACAACCCCCCTTTTCTCCAAAGGAACTCAGTGTGGCATACACAGCTCGGCCACCCTCATCATTTAATCCCCTGTAAACTCTCTCCCCGAAGGAGCAGCGGTTAGAAGAACCAGCGGTTCTCCACCTCTGTATTGAGAGACCTGGGGAAATTCTCCTAACCAGAGGTAAGTGGCAGACCCGGAAAGAACTAAAATTCCCAGCGACCTTTGCGAGAGAGAGAATGAAAAGGCCGCCGTTCCCCACCAGCTTTCGCACAGCTGCTGAAACTGGCTTCGCCCTCTCGGTCCCCCGCCCTTCCGTTTCAAGGGTCGCCGCTCTCACCTGGAACGCCGGCGGCTCCTCCAGCCGCGGCCACACAGCCACGGGGAAGTTCTCCAGCCCTCCACTCACGTCCATGCTTCGCCTCTAAGGGTCAACCCGAAGAGCCAATACGGCCGGGGCTTTTTCTTTTTCTTTTAACCCTATTCTTTCCCCCGCCCTTGCTCTCTTAGGATTGGTCAGCTCTGCGCAAGGCTTCGTTCAATGAAAGGCCAAGCCACCAATGAAGGACAAGCTGGAGATGGACGCCGGAAGCGTCGCTGGAAGAAAGAGCCAAAGACTTGAGTTGAGAGTCGCGCGTGGAATATCGCTTGCGGGCTAAGTTGCAGGAAGGCATTCTACTTAGTTATTTTGTAAAATGTGCACACCGCTTGATTGTAAAACAAAACAAAAATAAAACGCTCAAAGCGGGTTTGCAAAAAGATAAAACGATAAAAGAACATAAAAAAAATCATAGCTGTATTTTAAAACATTACAAAGCAGCAATAAAACTGCTGTCACATTTGCTAAGCAGGGTTGATTTCAAATTGGATGGGGGACTGTGCGTTGAGATGCCTGCCCTGCAGGGGGTTGGACTAGATGACCCTGGGGACCCTTTTTCAACTCTACATTTCTGTGATTCTACAATTAAAATTACCTTGGATTTCTAAGAATATTTACTGCAGGTGCTGAGAAGAGTACAGTGAAGGCATTTGAGAGCTACCTGTAGAAAACTGCGTATGTGTAGGAAAACACCGTACATTTTAAGCATAGCAACAGTGTGTCTCATCCCAACCAAAAGAAAAAGGGTTTTTAAACACACACACACACACACACAAACAAATTTTAAAGTGGAAGAATAAGGCATCTTCAGAAAAGTCTGCTGAGCACTTGGGTCTGCATGTGTTGAACTTAGGCTGGAAGGAGAGAAGAAGGTCACATTTTTCCTTTGGTGCAAATTGAGAGGCAGTGTGTAGGATTTGTGGTGGCCATTTTTTGTGTGTGTGGTGGTGGTGGTGGGGGGGACGGTAAAGCAGCCACAGCCAAACCTGGTAAACTTACTGGATTACTTACTCGGCTACATTAGGGCTAGTGTAACCCCACTTCTCTTCTCACCCTCTGCATGTCTCTGTTACAACAGTTTCAGAGCATAGGCAACAGATGTTAGGCTATCCCTGTCCAGACAGAGGCCACCAGCTGAAGTTGATGGGAGGCAGTCTGCGCCACTGAGGCCACCGGAGCCTCAAGCGGCCGCAAAGCATCCAGAAGAAGCCCCAAGCTATGCTATGTACCCATTCCTTCAAAGGGAGTGTAACCCCATGAAGAGCAAGCAACCTCCCATCCGATCTGGGGTACCATGGGCCTGAAGAGCATTCCCCAAGCATCACCCTTTGGAAACTACCATACAAATTTTGTAGTGAGCCTAAACAAAAAAAGTGTGCTGTCTGGTTTAAATCTAAATTAAAGATAAAGAAACATGAGAAGGGAGAGGGGGGCCTTGAACAGAGCACCTAGACAGCAGACTGAACAGGCACACAGGCTACCTACTCAAAGTCTTCTTCACTATGGCAAGATACATTGTATTTCTATTAAAATTATAGCAATTATTTTTAAACTTTGCTTCTATATATATTAACATTTTTTGGTGATGTATCAAATTCCTTCCTTGCGGCAATAGTGAGTGGTTACCCACCTGTACAGGTGATAGAGACTGCATAAACCATGAAAAGATGTTGGAGAAGATGAGAGGGGGAGGAATGACAGGAAATAATTGTTTTACTAGTTTTTGATGCCTCAGCTATTACAATTAGGTTTCAAAGTTTCATTTTCTTGCTCCCAGCACAGCTAGATGTGTGTTCTCTCTAACAGCTAAATTAATGCAGGACATTAATTCAGTTGCAAAGCCAATCCCAGTCAACCCTTTAGCTCCATTAATTATTTTCTAGCTCACAAAGTATCTGAAAGTATACTTAATAGCTGCTCATTTTATAAACTTCTGTGTAGTCCCTCTACTGTGAAATGTTGCAAAGCCATTGGGCTGTCAGCGTGCCCCTCTTTTGAAAGGCCAAGCTCATTATCTGTAGGTCACAGCTGGCTTCTCCTGATCTGAGAAGCAAAAAGGAAGTCAAAGATCACTTCCAAGGCATTCACAAGCATTAGGGCTTTCCTGCTGTTTACTAATGAGACGGGCAGCCCTAATGAACAAAACTAGAGCTGGAACCACAATCAAATTAACGGAATATAGCAAAGTCAAATAAGTCAGTATGTCACTTGACTTTTCTTTGTCCAAAGGCAAAAGCAATGATAGTTAGGGTAACCACTCCCAACTAGCCCCTAAACCAACTAGGTGTCCCCATTGCAGCCCAAGACTATTGGTTGCCTCATTTTGCTTAAAGCAAACACAACACAACAATCTTAACACTTGATGGAGAAGAATGTCTGCCTCTTGTGAGAAACTTGTTCCAGTCGTAACTGAGGGCAATCATATCAGATTATCTATGCAATTTATAATTCAGTTTGGCTTATGTAAGCAGCAGAAGACCATTGTTGTAGATCACGTTAGAGGACTCTGCAGCTGAAAAAGCATCCAAAAGTAATTCTAGTGTTATCTGGTCCAATAATGCAGCATTGCTATGGGGAAATAATTGGCACTGGGGGTTGTTTCAGGGTTTGGTTCCCTTTGCTTCATTTTTGATGGTCCATTGCTGGTGGCAAGTAGTCATTTCAACTTGAGGGTCTGCCTAGGAGAAAGACAGGTGTGCATACCAAGGCCCAATGGAGGCATCATTTTCCAAGATGGGTTGCAGTTGCTTGAGAATACATTGGAGAAATTTCAGGCGAGAACTGCAGATAATATGGTGAGTTTTTTTGTTACTTTCCCTGAGGGTTCTTCCCCAAGGCCACAGTTTTGTTTTTGTGAATTCATTCATTCACATTGCTTAATAGACACTGAATATTTAAGAATGTCTGACATAAGATAGAATCCTTGCCCAAAAAATTGGAGCAAACACATTGCATAATGAAGTTTAGCTGAAAGACTGGGCAGTCTGCTCTGGAGGAAAGCTGGAATCACATAGGCCTATGTGGAGAAATTATTTTTTAAAAAATTATATTTCCTGTGGTAAGGATTTTGCTTCAATGAAAACCACCAACAGCATACGAATGTAACAAATCAATATGGCTAACTGGACCGAACAATATCCTCCTCACATATGCAAACAAACCTCACTATAGCCAACTAAAGACAACTAGCCAAGCACTCTCCCCCCATCCCTCTCACTGTCAAGGAAGTGTGATAAGTGACTAGAAAGAGAACCTACTCAGTTGACGCAGACACAAAACCCCACACATACACTATATAAAAGAATATGTTTCACTACCCCACTCCCTTTCCCCACTGTCTTCTTCCCCCAAATGTTGTGTTTTTCTCAACTGGATTTCCTTCTTTTAACATAACACTCAACAACCTTGAATTCTGCAAGTTGCTATTGCCATAGTAACAGTATATCTCAAATTTTCACTGTAATACCAGCAAAGCATTTACTACTGTACTTAGAATGGTTCAGTAGTCCAGACAAGTCTGACTAATGGGAGATGCATGAATTATTGAAATTCACTGGTTTTTTTGGGGGGGAGTGAAAATCCTGTGTAACATCATAAAAGTAGTCCATAACACCAGGCTTAAAAAACCCCCTAAGCTTAGTGGTTTCTCAATCATAAATAAGCGTAATTTCTTAATTGTATTTCAACATTAAGAATTATTAGGGAAATCTTAGACATGTCTGTTCAGAAGTAAATCCAGTCGAGGTATATAGGACTTACACCTTTAATCACAACAGCAAGAATGCAAAAACAATCCCATCAAATCCAATCAAAGTCAAGTCCTTTTTCTATATTTTGTCCAGTTATCTAATTTCTTTGAATACTACTTCCCAGATTGTGGCCACCTTATCACATGTCCACCACATGTGATACAAACCAAACATCACACACCTCCTCCAACAAACTATTCTCTAATAAATAATCTAATTTCATTATGGACACCAGATTTTCCAAGGTTGTTAGGGAGAAACCCTTTAGGGGCTCCCTGAATGACTCTTCTTCCTCACTGTCAGGTGAATAAGATAAACGTGGAGAGTACAAGCAAGTCTAAGAGCCTTGATACCAGCCTTGCTGGACCTCTTCTGGGTTATTCTAGTATTAGATAAAGTTCACGACAAAGAAGTAGATAACTAATTTTGTCTGGAAATTTTAAACACAACCTATAGATCTATAGGTCTGTGTACTCCTAATGCACCGTTCTAGAGCTGACGTTCTGTGTCCTGGTGTCTAATTTTTGTAAAAACTGCCAGTTATGCTTTTCAGTTTTTAATTTATTTGCCTTATGTGAAATGATAACATTTCTCTTGGGCTGATGTTGAATATTATCTTGTTATCAGCCCTTCATGCAGGACTAAATAAATAAATAAAATGCTTGCCTGCCTTCTCCCCCACTCCCATAGCAGCTCTGATTGATTTGTTTCTTTGTTTAGTGATGAATGTGGTACATTATATCAGACTGCTGTAGGAGATCTACAAGATACAGTATCTGATTTCCAAATTCCTTAGCTGATTAGACCCAACTGAAGAAAGTGAAGTAAGTTATGGATAGATAGTGTCTTATAGCTCCATGCTAATTTCGGCAGGGCCATAATACATATTTTTAATAGTACGGTTTAGCAAAATTAGCAAGTTACAAGTTAAGCTATTAGGAAGAAGTGGCTTGTAAAAGACACCCACCAAAGGGATGTTTCTGGAATGAAACCAGATGTTATGCTTGGCAGCGTAGTTTGCTTGTATACTGTACAGTGGTACCTCGGGTTACATACGCTTCAGGTTACAGACTCCACTAACCCAGAAATAGTGCTTCAGGTTAAGAACTTTGCTTCAGGATGAGAACAGAAATTGTGCTCCGGTGGCGTGGCGACAGCAGGAGGCCCCATTAGCTAAAGTGGTTCTTCAGGTTAAGAACAGTTTCAGGTTAAGAACGGACCTCTGGAACGAATTAAGTACTTAACCCGAGGTACCACTGTACTATATGTTTAATACTATCGTAGAAAAGGAAAAGCTTATTAAAACACATTCATTTTAACAGATTTTCATATTGCATTTTTAAATTATTACAACCTGCCATGGGATCTCACAATGAAGGGTAGGTAAGAAATCTAATAATAATAATACCAGTAGTGAATGTTGGATGGGGTGGTGGCATCCAGCTGGCCTCCCCACAGCGTAGTCGCTGCTATTTATGGGGAGGGAGGGTGGGAGGAGCAACAGGGAGAACAGTGCTGTGCAAACACACTGGCAGGAGTGCCAGGAAGTCATAGAACCATAGAATTGCAGAGTTGGGGGGTTTCCGGAGGGTCATCTAGTCCAATCCCCTGCAATGCAGGAATCTCAACTAAACCTTCCATGACAGATGGCCATCCAACT